CCCCCGACAGCAAGGCGACCAAAGAAGCCTTCAACATCGCCCACAAACCCAACCCTCCAACCCCTCCCCTCCTCCTCCAAGAATCCTCCTCTCTAATCTCCCGTTTCCAAAAAGACTGCCACACCCTCTGCACCACCATCCTCTCCCTGCTAGGAACCGCTCTCCAAATCTCAGACCCAGAGTACTTTTCCACCCGCCACGACCAGTCTCGCGGGCCCTCAGGCACCATATTCCGGATGCTGTATTATCCCAAGACACTCGCCTCAAAAGGTGAGGAAAATGGCGACGACGCCAGCAGTGAACCCAATACAATCACGAGTATCCGCGCAGGCGCACATTCAGATTACGGTAGTATAACCCTCCTATTCCGACTCCCAGGGCAGCCCGGACTGGAGCTATTAACAGAATCCGGCTGGGTCCCCGTACCTGTAAACCCCGACGAAGAAAACCTAGCACACCCCCCGATACTCGTCAATATTGGCGATTTGCTATGTTACTGGACAAACGGCATGCTGAAAAGTACGGTTCATCGGGTTGCGTTTGAGGGCGGGGAGGAGAGGTATAGTATGGCGTATTTCTGCCACCCGCTGGACGAGGCGAGGTTGGATGCTGTGCCGAGTAAGGTTATTGAGGCGTTTGGGACAAAGGGGGATGCGGAGTTGAGGAGTCAGAGGAAGAGGTTGGGGTTGAAGGAGGATGGTGGGGATGGTGTGATTACTGCAAAGGGGCATTTGGAGAGGAGGTTGAAGGTTACGTATGGGATATAATTCTTCTTCTTCTTTCGATGAAAGAAGAGGTTTGTGTATTATGGCGATGTGGTGTCTAAGAGGATAAATGTAACAGTAACGCCTAGCTATGCGTGTACCCAAAACACCTCGCTATGCAATCAGGCGTCCAATTTCTTTCGCCGTGGTAAACACAAAAACGAGACATAGTACAAAAACAAACCACTTCCATCATCCCCTCCTTTTCCTTCCTGTCCTAGTCGTCGTCACCTCACCCCCAGCGTCCTTGACAACTCCAATCCCTTCGACAGCTACACTGGTCTCCTTCACAGTTCCTCCCAGCTTCCTGATCATCTGCTCCCTCGCTTTGGCCGCACCAGGCGACTCCCAGGCTAATGTCTGACTAGCCTGATACTCCTCTACTAGCACAGTATTCTCCTCTTCGTCATCAACAAGCAGATTACCAGAACTATCACCCGCCGAAGCGTTTGACCTCGTCGATGCTGCACGGCCTAGTTGACGCCGCTTACGCGTCTTCGAGGTGGCTGGGTCGGCGGGAGCGGGCGCGGCTTTGCGGTTCGCGCGCATTTGGGCTAGTATAGATGAATAATCTTTCTCGTCTACTGGTCCTTTTTCTTTAGGCGCTTCATGCGGGAGCATCGGATCTGCTGCCTCGGCATCTTCCGGGATGACGGAATCCGGGTCCACGTCTGGGATGACAGAATCTGGGGTAGGTACTCGGCTGGATTTGGATTTACGTGCAGGGGCAATTAATGATTCTGCGGATGAACTTCTAGCCCGGGAGACAGGCTTTGAGGTGTTGGATGATGTTGACAGTCGGCGCGGGGTGTTGGCGTTAGTTTCTCGGAGGGGCAACGATGCACTACCATCAATCCCGGGGACAATAAATCCGTCTTCATTGTAGCTAAGGTTGCTATCATCGGCCCCATGACGACTGACCGATGCCTTTGTTGATGTAGGCGTAGAGTCCGTGGGTAGTGCAAGATCAAGGGTACCAGGCCGTTGCTGTCGCGGTGGCTTCGTCACGGCCTTGGCAGAGTGCTGGTTTCCTTGACGAACCTTTGTGCTCTGCTCTTCTGAAATCGATAGTGTAGATGCCTTGTCTTGGGGTCGGGGTGCCTGCTTTAGCTTTTGCGGCGGCGGCGGCTTATTCAATTGATACTCCGCATACGACTGCAGCCGACCAGTACGTAGACATGCCCATAGCCATTTCGCATGCACAGCGGGGATCCGCTTGTCCGTAGCAAATTTGAGTTTCGGCGTGTTGATGGTCGGAGGGTTGCACACAACAACCGAGGTCTTCGCGGATAGTTGTTCATCGTACGTAGCGCCTGTCAAGATTGTCAGACCATTTCAGTGCAAGTGGAGCTATCACCGTACCCATCAATGTGACCACTTTGGTCACATGCAGTAATTCAATTCCGGAAAATCCGGTCGAGTTGATGGTTAGTCCAGAGAACCCTAACGACGTCAGTCACGAAAGAAGCAATGTGGGGCGCAAACCTACCACTGATGGTGCGACTTTCAAACGGCCGACTCAAAACATCCTCTGCGGGGTCTACTAGACGTTTGCCATAGAGACAGCGCTCAACCCACCAGTTTGTGACTAAGGGTATGTGCGATCCGGCACGATCCGGAAGTGTTGTCAAATCGACCTCCACGTCATGCGGTACAATGAAATAGCCTCGCTCTAGGTCTTCTATCGAGGAGCTGTCGAGGTCACTTGCGCTGAGGACGCGTGCACCATTGCTCTCCAGATGTTGGCGCAAAATCCTTGTCTGATGGGATGTCAGCAGGGTCTAGAACGTGGGGGTGGAGAAGACTGTACCTTTTCTGTATCGAAGCCATGGGGGCAGACAATCCGGCCTTGAAAGATGCCGTCATGTTGGGAAGGTGAATCAGCCTGTGGCGGTATGGACGCGTTAGGATCTTCGACAGGGTCCGCATTGTTGAAATCAGCAAGCACGTCATCTTGATGAACAGACGAAGGCCTCGGCGATGACGGTGTATGCGTGCCAGTGCTCGGTCGTGTGGTGTCTTGCTTGGCGAGTGTGTCCTCTGTCCAACCGTCCTCGTCTACCTGTTTTTCGAAACTTGGGGCTGTAATCCCCGCCCATAGAGCCTCACTTTGACTGCCCAATCTAGTACTAGCAGAACGGCGCAGTTTCCTCCGAAAGGGGTTCAGGGCTTGGCTTCCTTCCGTGTCTCGTGGACGCTTGCTTGGGGCAGGGGACGCGGGTTGCCTGCGTTCCCAGGCACCTTTGCCTCGCTCTTCGACTGGAAGCGTGGGGTTGTAGTAGGTCTCCTCGAGCACCATGCCCCTCTCTAGACTTTGTTCGAGCCATTCCAGCGCCACAATCTTCATCCCCCAGTTCAAGGCATGCTCGTACTTCTTGCCCGAGGGCGTCGCGGCGATGAGGTGGGTCACAGATTTGGTAAGGTCACCATGATACTCTCCCCCATTGGCGTCTACCTTGTCTTGTATGCTCTTTCGTTGGTCAGCTGTATCAGTCAGCATCGTGTCATGCATTGTGGGGTGGTGGCGTACGATTGTCGAAACCGGTGAGGCAGATCTTTAGTCCGGAGAAGGTGGGCATACGATAGTCCTTCTCGAGTGCAAGTACGTCTAGGTTGTCATCTCCTGTCATCCAGACCTCGCGCAACGCTTCTAGCCATTCCGGTGAAAGAACCTTGACATCGTCGCGGGACTTTGCGACATAGCGGTATTTGGGGCTGTCCGTGCTGCCGACAATGAGGTGGGTTACATCCGAAGTAAGGTCGAGTTTGATGGTCGCGCCCATCTGCGCGCCGATGGCGGCGAGCTGCGCCTGTCAAGCGGGTTAGAGGCATGGAGCGGTGTACTCGGACGGCATTGGACATACCCGTTGCTCGGGGGCAATTGAAGTGCAGCAGAGGATAGCCCCAGCCAGGGGCAGTTGGCTCGTTCCTGGAAGTGTGTAAGTGCATCTTCATCTTCATCTGCATACGAGAGCGGGTGCGGCGCATACCGTATCCTGCATGGTTCACGTCCATGACAGTGGTGATCAAAAGTCGCAGTCAAACGCCGAGAGAAGGCGCGTCTGAGCTAAGCCCTGCACTAAACACACGCACACATTCGCCTCGGACGCGTTGCGGGGAAGCCAAGCGATATCACGTGCAAAGTGCTGAGGACCAGTGGTTCACGTGGGAACGGGTCACGTGCCATCGCCTTGTTTTTGGCGGTGAATCGCCTCGTCGTTCGCCTCAGACCAGACCTCACACCTCACGTCTTGACCCCAGAGATGGCGACCCCCGCGCTAGTACCTAGGTAGTCTTCGCAGCGAGATCGACCTGGGGATGATGACGCCCGCCTCACTTGGGCATTGCAGATTGGGTTGATGACAACAATCGCGTGAACCAGAAATCAAGGCGCCGCCGATAGCGCACCATGTGCTTCCTGCAGATCTATTTCCTCCCGTCACCTGTATGCCCACATCGAGTGTCCCCGACCGACGATCACTACGCGATCGCGACTTTGAAATTCTTTTTTGTCGCACCTGGCATCTTGGGCGCATGCAAGCAAGCAGCTTACGTCCTGGACGCGCATTATTATCGCAGAACCGCAGGATTCTCGGGCATTTCTCTGCTGTCTACGTCACGTGGCTATGAACATTAGTGTTCAATCCATCAATACCTGCATTGGGCGTCAACCTCACTGTTGCAGCAACACCATGCATGAAGAACAGCATGTAGTCGATACGATGACATCATCCCGATAGTTTGCTGAAATGATCCTCATGCCCTGAGGAGATCATGTCTCAAGATTGCGCGTTGGCTGGAAACAGCCGTATGCCGGTTAGTGTGTGGCATTCATGGATAGGAATCCTGACAGCCACTTGCTTGCATACCTGCTATTCCCAGGCTTGTCATCAGCCGTCCCTGTCTGTGCAAGCCTGGCCTCGCAGGAAAGTGTGCCGTCGATCACGGTGCCTTGCCGGGCAAGCCGTGTCGGTCGCTAGACGCCAACCGGTCTAGAAGCAGATGTCTTTGAGATTTGCTTCCGGCATCGAGTGGGCAGAACTCTTCGAGGTAAAGATGATGTAATGCATCCGAGCCTCCGCCGCCCGACGTGCGCCTCTTTGCCTGACTGAGCATCTAGCACATCCTCCGTAGGCATATCCCCAAAGAGTTTTCACATGGTTGACGCACTCTTTACGGCTCTTTGACGAGTCCAGATCCGGGTATCCACCCCAGCATCGAGCTAATCTTGATGCCAAATACTCTACGACGTGCCAGTCGCTGCGAACCCCGCCGAACAGCACCACAGCACTACAGCGCCATCCGCCGCGTCATCCGTCTGTTCCCTGCTCTCGACACACCGGCACACTTTGGCCGTCCATGCCCTGCCTTAGTCTGACATTGACGCTCGTGAAGTGATTGCTTGCTAGTTCGGGCGCGCCTCAAAACACGGCTGCACCCTGCTATTCGCCCTTGTCGTCCTGGCAAAACACTCCTCGACGTCGCCAACGCAGACCATCACCTCCAGGGTAATCCCGCACGCTTCCGACGCACCGGCTACTTCACCGCTCCACATCGCTGTAGTGGCCTGTCTTGCTGATCGCATTTACACATCACTTTGCACACCGAAGCTTTTGATACCCTGTCGCTGCTGTGAGTCCCTGTTTCATTTCCCTTCAACACTCTCGGGCCCTTTGTCTTGCTAGTGCCCAATCTTGGAACTCGACAAGTCCCTTCCCAAACCATCGACATGGAATCTGGTTAGGTTACCTTGACCGAAAGGCCCTTTGTACCCCTCTCATGACTCTGTAGAGTTGCACAAGCCGTGCTATACTTGATCCTTAGATAGCCTCTTGTATAAGACGCTGTGCCTCGCGTGCTTTTGCAACACTCCACTACCGCCTCGACCACCTACTACCTAACCTTACTGACGCATCATCGACATGCCAGAGTACCACACTGTATATACCGAGCGTGGTCGTTTGCGATATATCCCCGACCATCTAGACACACCCTTGCGCTCCTACCGCGGCATCTTCGCAGGCCGCAATAGACGACCGCACCGCATTCACATCGCACACGTCGCTCCCGACCCATTGCTACGTATCAAAAGAAAGAGCACGACTAGCACTAGCAAGTCGTACGTTACCGAAAAGCTGGCGGTCCCACGTGCCAACGCAAAACGTTATCTACGTTCCTTTATCGACTCCCATTTCAACAGTAAACCCGAAACCTCAGACCCACCCGCAGATCAACCCTCGTCATCGTCGTCGAGCACCAACAGCAATCGCAACTCTATTGCTTCTTCCCGAGGCTCACAGACTGCCCAAATGAGGTCGCTCACCAGGAACTCGGGCGTAGGTGCTGTGGGCGCCATTGGAAGCACGTTAGCTGCCCCAGCTGTTCCCAGGCCGTCATTATCAGAGTCAACTTGGTCTTCAGGCCGCACCTCTGCCAAAAGCATCATCAGCAGTGTAAAGAGCATGCCAGAGGAGAAGCCAGTAGCTTCGGGCGGAGGCGTCAGCGTCAACGTACAACTCACAGAGCCTGTCTTATTCTTACGTGGTTTCGAACAATCCGAACATGCTGAGCGAAGCACGGCGATGCTCCGTGGCACACTGTGTTTAAAGGTCACAAAGCCTTCAAAGTTGAAGGCCATCACGCTAAAGTTTCGGGGCCGTGCAACGACAAAATGGCCAGAGGGTTTGTTGTTTCCTAACGTTGTTTCTCCAAAGCTAATTTGAATCAGGTATCCCCCCAAAGAAGACTGAGTTCGAAGAGGTGGATACTCTGATGAGCCACACATGGCCCTTCTTCAACTCCCAATTTCCGAACGCGGAAAATGGCACCGGTGCAGATCACGTGGAACTCTACAAAAGTTCAGGTGGTTTGAGTGGGTCGCCAAACAATTCTTCCCTGAACCTGACAACGAAAGAAGCAAGACGCCTGTCACTGCAAGTCAACCAATCGCGGAGTTTCGGGAAGGGTGACACCCCTGGAGGGGGTCCTTCAGTAGCACAAAAGGGCTACAGGATGTTCAACCCTGGCGAGTACATGTACAACTTCGAGCTACCACTGGACAGTCACCTTCCCGAAACCATCGACGTTGATCTTGGCTCCGTCAAGTACGAGTTGGAGGCGACGGTCGAGCGTGCTGGAGCCTTCCGCACAAATCTTGTTGGATCAAAAGAAGTTCAGCTTATCCGCGCACCGTCAGAGGGTTCATTGGAACAAGTGGAGCCTATCGCCATCAGCCGCAGCTGGGAAGATCAACTCCATTACGACATTGTCATTTCGGGAAAATCCTTCCCGCTCGGAGCGCAGGTCCCCATCGCCTTCAAGCTAACCCCATTGGCAAAAGTACAATGTCATCGCATCAAGGTGTTTGTTACTGAGAATGTTGAGTACTTCTGCAACAACAAGCGGGTACATCGCATGGAGCCCGTCCGCAAGGTCCAACTTTTCGAGAAACGTGCGGATGGTCCTGCTACAAGCACTTTTCCCGGTAGTACAATGAGGATAGTGTCCGGAGGTGGTGTTCCATACGACCAACGGGTGGCTGCTTCCCGGGGTGAGGACGTACAAGTAGAAGACCCCACCAATCTTTTGGGTGATCTTGGTGGAGATACAAACGTTGGCCCCACGGAGATGGAGTTCAACGTACAATTGCCAAGCTGTCATCACCTCAAAGAGAAGGACAAGGCTTCCAAGTTACATTTTGACACCACGTACCAGAACATACAGGTGCATCATTGGATCAAGGTACGCTAGCTTTCCAGGTTTCACTGTCATACACACTAACAATAGACTAGCTCGTCATGCGCCTTTCGAAACCGGACCTGGTCGACCCGTCGAAGAGACGACACTTTGAAATCTCGATTGATTCACCCTTCCACATTCTTTCGTGCCAGGCCACTCAAGCCAATACCGCACTGCCAGCGTACTCTTCGCCAGAGCCTGCGCTCAGCGGAGCGGGAATACCTGAATGCGGATGCCCCAACGCACCGCCTCGACGAAACTCCCCAACCAGCTTCGTGCCAACTCTGAGTTCGATAGGCCGCTCAAGAGGCAACTCGGATGCACCGATGCCAACACCGGCCCCACCCCTCACACGACCACAAGCTGCACACATTGGTGGACCCAACGACTCTACTGTACAAAGGCCAATCCACCTAATGCGCGTGCCCTCGTTCAACCCGCCAGCATTCTCTGAAATAGAACCGCCACCTCCCCCGCCTTCAGAAACACCGCCTCCTCTGTATGAGACCATCGCATCGCCCACGAATGGACTGGCGGACTACTTCTCTCGCCTTTCAGATGCATACGACTCTGACAGCGACCCTGAGCGCAACGACCGAATGCGCGTCGAGATACCTCTGACGCCAGGAGGTCGTGCGAATCGGAGTATGGACGAGAGGCGAACATGGCTGCCCGTAGGCCACTAAGCTACGAGGATTCCAATGATATCACGCATTACGGTTTCATATTCTTGCATATACATTTCTATTTCGACAACATCCATCGACATTCTACGTCGTGTTCGACGCGCTTCTCGTTTTAGAGCCTGGGTTCCTTTGATGGGTTATGGTGCACTAGGAAAATCAGCGTATTCCAGTTATCAACTTGCATAGCTCACCGGTTGGGTCTCTTTTGTTTAATCGGCGAGGTTGGGCGTCGAGGGCCTGGGATGTGCCCTCGTTACAAGGCGCATGGGTGTTTCATAGAGTAACGGTCGTATCCGAATGCTTGGTCCTTGATAAATTTAACTGTCTAGTTGACCACATATAGCTGTAAATAGCGCAAAATACAAATTTGCATAAATCATGTATCATCTTTCTCTCCAATCCATTGTGAAGCATCGTGAAGTGTCACGCTTCTGACGTGTTGCAAACAATGGCCATGGTCCACCTGGGTGACATGAAATACTTGACATATTAGTGTAAAAGGCCATCGTAGGCGCCAGACACGCCTATTAGGTGCTTATCCACACTTTCAATTAATTCATGTCGCCCAGTTGGTCAAGGGTATATGTCCCAAGTATTATGATTTCTCCTCCAACCCAAGGCTATATCCACCAATCCAGTTGACCGCGGAGTACAATTAAGTTGGCGCGTAATCATGAGTCGTCCATCACCAACAGATAGCAAAATCGAAAATTTATGCCTAGGATATCCCTACACCCACGTACAGGGCTCGCCTTGTCCATCTACCGTCTTGTCCGATGCGTGTACCGGCACGATGAAGGGGATTACCTTGGAAGATGGATGATTCTGAGAGGGTTCTAGCTGCCTCGCTGAAACGTCGGGATGTGGACGTGACGTATGTGGAGACGGAAGACGGGTGGAACATGTCGACAAGAAGGACAACATAGTAGGATAGGAAAACAAAGCTATATATAGAATACGTGGACTTGGGCAGCTTGTGATGACAAATGCCGAGAGACACAGGTTGTATGTCAGAATTAATATTTCATTGGAGAAATCAAAAGGAAGTATGAATGCGATAAGGCACGAAAGCGTGTTGTTGTGATAGTGACAGGTTCGTTGTGGTGGTGAATTTGGGCCGCGGAGGCGGTTTGGGTACCGTGACACGGTGACTCTAGGGGAGTACTACAGCCCACCCGCTGCCGATCACCAAACATCAACACCCTCTTGGTACCCAAGACAGCTCGCAGCGGGCTTCAGTTAATTTCGTATTACGAACCCTAAGCATCCAACACGGGACCAAGGCGCCGTCAGGGTGTGATTGTGGCGGCCAAATTTAGTATTTCTTATCGACCGTGCCTTTTGACATGGGTGCGTTGTGAGGGTAACGGAGTATTAAGAGGATAGTGTTCACATTTCGTTTTTCTAGAAATACGAGAGAAAGAAGAAAAACATTCCGACGATTGGATGTTGTTTGCATAGTTCGCGTCGCCACAGATGGGTGTGAAACAGTTCCCAAGCCAGAGGCGCAGGTGTGGCTTGGCTTGCTTCCTACGATGCACAGAGGATCGCCAAGCATCTTGACCCTCATTTCATAGCATGCTTGACGTGGCTTGGGTTTGCAGCCCGATGGCTCAGCAAAGGCTTGCATCAACCATTGCATTACCCGCGCTACTCGCACCCTGAGCTAAGTTAGCGAATGCACACCGGTGCTGTTTACTATTGCTGGGTAGCGTTGTGGGCTTCCTGCAGAGACAAAGCAGAGCACATGGCGTCAGGTCATCATGTGATGAACAGCGTGCAGATGGTTTATCGTCAGGTGTGCAGCACTGACGAGGATGTTCACTCTTGGAAACAAGTTCACACAACCGTTGGGACGGCTCGGAGTAGGACCTATCGGAGCGACTTGAGCTCCGCCCCCGGTCGTTTGCTGCAAACACGACGAGGTGTGGAAGACTGGAGCATCAGATTGCCATATCGCACCCGTTTTCCAGCAGCGGCACTTCTCTCGGCCTCACATCGGCATCTTGGATGGTAAAGACGTTGAGGCGTGCGTCCATGTGGCGTGGGTTTAGGCGATATGCCCTTCACCCCCGGGGCCTCCCAACGTCACCGCCAAGTACCAAGCGCTTTAGTTTTGCAGTTCGATAATCGTTGTACTAATCTCACCTTCCGCCGCTTCCTTTTGCAGGAGAACACTGCAGGACTTGACAAGCCTTCTGCAGCGTGCAATTGCAAGAGCTTGACCGGAAAAGCAACGCACCATTGTCTTGTCAAAGTTTGGTTGCTACCCGGCCCCAACGCGCACTAACTACCACCCAAGCTCTCGGAAGCAGCTGCCGAGCGCAACTTTGTTCTTGTAAGCATTTGGCTTAGGACTTTTCATTCACCCGTCCAGTACAACCTTGGAACTAACCAGCCATCTCTAGAGCTTTCTCTCGTCGTATAGAAGCGGAGCCGCTTTCAACACGGCCCCACAGGAGCAGATCCAACGTCATTTCGCCATCTAGGGCAGTGTAGGACTGGCGGCTGGGCGGACCTCTCATACATGCCTCCGGTGTCGCTACCATCTTTCTCTTCCTTTGGCCGACAACCTCGACATCGCGGCCCCGGTGCCTCAATCCTCCCTACCTAGCACTCGCTTGCTCACTCGCTCACTCGCCATTGTTCGCGTCGGACCACGGCCGCGCTGATTCGCCTTTGCGCCGTTCCATACTCGCCTTCGTTGAAGCACGAAGTCGCATCGCATCTAGAAAGACACGTACAGAACAATACCGTACGCGCATCGCCATGGCGTGGGACCACCTCTCCATCACCAAGCCGCATCTGGTCTACCTGATCCTCGGAGGCTTCACCAGCCTGTTCATGCTGTGCTCTTCAGTAATCAAAGAGCGCCTGTACATTGGTGAAGCTACCGTCGCGACCATATGTGGTATCATATTCGGCCCGCACGCGGCGAACCTCATAGACCCGTCGACATGGGGCAACGTTGACTTGATCACGCTAGAGTTTTCGCGCATCGTTCTGGTCGTGCAATGCTTCGCCGTCGGCGTCGAATTGCCGCGCGCATACATGGAGAAGCACTGGAGGTCGGTCGTCCTCCTCCTCTTACCAGTCATGACATTCGGCTGGTTGATAACCAGCCTGTTCATCTGGGGCTTGTTCCATGCCCATCTTAATTGGCTGGATAGTCTGTGCATCGCCGCTTGCGTTACCGCCACGGACCCTGTCCTAGCTTCGTCGGTTGTCGGTAAAGGAAAGTTCGCCAAGCGAGTGCCAAAGCATTTGCGAGATCTGCTATCCTGCGAATCCGGCTGCAACGATGGCATGGCCTTTCCCTTCGTTTACTTGGCCATCTACCTCATCGAGTACCGTCCCGACGCTAATCAGGTTGCTTATCACTGGTTCTGCTACACAGTCCTCTATGAATGCATCTTTGGCGCTTTCTATGGATTCGTCGTAGGATATATTGCACGTCGCGCAATTAGATGGGCTCACGAAAAGGACCTCATTGATCGTGAGAGTTTCCTCGTCTTCTACTTTGTGCTGGCGCTCTTTTGTGCCGGCTCAGGTTCCTTGCTTGGAATGGATGACTTGCTCGTAGGTTTCGCTTGCGGAGTCGGCTTCTCCAACGACGGATGGTTTCTCGAGAAAACCGAGGAGTCACACGTCTCCAACGTTATCGATTTGCTCATCAACTTGGCTTTCTTCGTTTACTTTGGCTCCATCATTCCCTGGGAGCAGTTCAATTCGGACATTATCGGTCTATCGCCATGGCGTCTAGTTGTCCTTGGTATTCTGGTGCTTTTCTTCCGCCGGATTCCCATCATGCTGATGCTCAAACCCGTCATACCCGACATCAAGACATGGCGCGAGGCTTCTTTTGCTGGTCACTTTGGGCCTATTGGTGTTGGTGGCTTGTTTGTCGCTATCCTTGCAAGAGCTGAACTCGAGACCGAAACGACAACCCCTCTAGCCGTACTACCGGAGCCAGGATTTGAACATCTGAACATTATTGAGATGATCTGGCCGATTACCTGTTTCTTGGTCATTGTCAGCATCATCGTCCATGGCAGTTCCATTGCAGTCTTTACCCTGGGCAAGCGCATCAACACGCTTACAATCTCCATGTCTTACACACAAGCGAACGAAAATGGGCCTGGCTGGATGGATCGTCTTCCTCGCATTCAGTCACGTTCCAGGTCTTCCATGGCTCGACGCCCCTCTGAATCTTCGTATGACGAAAAAGCGGAATTGGCAGCGGCAGGTTTCGGTGGCACGTTCCTCCGCCGCCAAAAGGAAGACAAAACCCAAAGCCGGAACCACAGCCGATCCAACTCAGCAGAGCCGCGAGGACGACGCTGGGATGCGGGTCGTGGACCAGGTGGGCCCATCTCGCAATCTGCCATCGCTCCAAACAGGCGCGACGATGCCCAGACAGCGACAGTGTCACCAGAGGAAGATACCGATACTTTTGCTGATGCGATGGCCATCTCTAGTGAGAGTTCGTCGAGTGGAGAGAAGATGAAGATGCGGGAGCCTGAAGAAGAAATCTACCAGGAAGGCCACAACACAGTCTTTGAAGATAAAGAAGGCAATGTTCTTGGAGTCAGGGACAGCCATGGGGAGCATGGCGCGGAACGACGGAGACATGATAGTGAGAGGGCAGAGGAACTACTGAAGAAAAAGGACGTCCAACATGGGGTGTCGCAAAAGGAGCACAATGGTACATTTGAAGAAGCATCTGGTAAGATTGGGGATGCGGTTGAGCATCCTCACAAGACATGGCGCAACCGAATGCAAAGTTACACAGGTCGCGCTCCCAAGGATGGAAAGGCAGCAGAGCCCTTGAAGGCTGAGAAGCCAGCACACAAGTCAGGCAAGCATGGTCCCGCCCTCGCATATCAATATGGTAATACCATTATTGTTGAAGATGAGGATGGTGAGGTCCTGAAGAAGTACGATATTCCAAAGGGGCCGAAGGAAGGTCGGCCTGCGAACACTCGTGGCCAGTCTATGGCGGAGACGTCGACGAGTCGTGCTGTGCAAAGTCTGAAGCGCATGGGAACCCACATGGGCGTGGCAGCTACTCAGCAGGCAGGCCCATCCGGCACTCAACCCACCAGTAACAAGAAGAAGAAAGCAGCAGAGTTAGCAGCGAAGGAGCAAGAGGACGACGACCTGCTTCGTTTCACCGTTACAGCTGGAGGGCGTCGGATGAGCAAGTTGGAATTCATCCAACAGATGTCGCAGATGAACCCGAAAGACCGGGCCAAGTTTGTGCAGAGCAGCGATGCTCCCGAGGCTGTCAAGGATGCCGCACATCAGGACGCAAAGGACCATACCGCCGAACAACGACGCCGCGCAGCCTCTGTGCAAGCGAACGTTCCTCCTGTCGTTGGTGAAGCGGGCGAGGCCGAGTTGCAAAAGATTCCATCGCCAGCAGCGGATGCGGAAGGGAAACCTCGTGGTCCGGAGGGGTTGACGCTTGTCGACAGCAACAACGAACATGTGCCATTCCACTCCGTACGCCAGGATCTCGAGGGTTACTCGAATGATCAGGGTCCCGAGACCGCTGCGCAGCGCCGACGTCGTCGAGCTGCCGAGCAATCTGCCGAGCAATCCCCAAGCCAAGGACCCCGAGCCCCTAACACCAGCGCTGAACCGCAACCCCAAGAAGACGAAGGCTTCGAAGGCGAAACCGCAGCAGAACGCAAGCGTCGTTTAGGCGCCCTTGGTGTAGGCAACGACGATACCCCCGAATCCGACTCTGAAAATGAGCTGGAGACTGGCGATCCGCTCGAAACTGGTCGCGGTACTCACTCCAATGCCGAGCACAGCGGCAAGGTGCTCTCACCTGCACGTCGCACCCCCGGCATTCGCTTCGCTGATCAGCCCCGCGTACCGACCAAAGATGAGCGTGCAGCCGAAGACGCACGGGAGAAGGAGGATTTGGATCGTGAAAAGGAGCAAAAGAGGAAGAGTGGGCTTGGTAGACTTGTTAGTCGCAAGTAGAGAGGCTGTGAGACTGATTTCATGTCAAGAATGACTCTGCTCTGTTATTTTCTTACGGATTTCACATCTATTTTCTAATGTTCGGAGGTTGGCTTTATGTCTGTCGTTGATGCCAATGTGTGTAGCTGCATAGCGTCGCGGCGTTCTTTTCTTGGCGGTTGGTGGTCGATGATCTAAAAAACCAGGACCTGAGACCTGGGTGTTGTTTTGGGTAATACGGTACTGGTAGTGTGTTTTACGATTATTCTCTCTCCCTCCCTGCTCTTAGGGTTGGGTAGACATGCATTGTGGTATGAAGAAAAAAAGAGAGAGGTATAGGAAAAGACTTTCTAGACCTATGATACTGCTTGTTAACAAAATGGTGTATGTGTGTTGTACATGTGTGATAGAGAGTTGAATGAGATTGTACTCGGGTCTTTGCATAAAGCCTATACACTTTACTGTGCCTTTGAAGGCGTAGGCGTAGGCGAATTTCACAGAAACTTGTATCATAACCATCTGGCTTACAACTTCCTGTTAAAGGATACCTTGGTTAGCATAGGTAGTGCCACACACGTACCTAGGCTAACAAGCCCATACTCTTGAACAGCTCGTACGGAACTTGTTCTAAGACCTTCCACATCTCGTAAGTTTGGCCCACCTTACGTCACGCGCCATCAGGATAAATGCCCCAACGTGGCCGTGGCCGCATCTGGGCATGCACCATGATTTAGGCGCCCAGCATCCGGCATGGAAAAATCTTATCAGATTGATAAGATGATCTGATTAGCATCCACCATCTTCCAGTGGCGACGACATCATGCGTCGTTGGTAATTGTGTGTGGGTCTATCCGGAGGACGCTTACTCTTTAGGTCCGGTTTTGACGACGAGCTCTGATTCCCCACCAATTACAGACTCTTTCACATGCAGTACGTCCCTGGGCTAGTTGTAGGTCCCTTGCGGTCATCAGTGCACATGTCTGGTTGAAAAAGATGAACGTATGGTTTGGGAATGGTAATAAGCGTATGGCAATGACGCAAAGGGCTGATTTGAAGTTTTGTTGGGATGGGGACACATGAGCTGTATATATTCATAAATTTGGCTGCGTCTCTCTGGTTGATCCAAATCCCCAATTTCAATCTCTCTGCCCCAGCCAGATTTCTTCAAGATGGGTTCCATTCAAGAGAAGGAGATAGCCACGCTCAACAGCCTAGCGGCTCAAATCAGCGAACTCGCTGCAAAGATGACGAAACAGCTCGAAACAGAAAAGGTACCACCCGTCACTCTCGAGGCGGACAGCCCTGTCAAATACAAGAACGTCTCTGGGGAGGTCTTCATGTTAAGACAGAGTCTGGAAGATGCGTTGAAGGACATGTGGATATTGAGTCAGGGGCCGAGTGATAGCGTATTCAACTACGTACACATGGCCATTCCAGATGCGGCTTGCCTGAACATCCTGAACAGGTTCAACTTCTGGAACACAGTTCCTATATACGGCGAGGCGACGTTCGAAAATGTAGCGAAGCAAACTAAGCTTCCGTTGGAGGTGGTCAGTCGTGTTCTCGAACACGCTGTCACCATGCGCTTCTTCGTCAAGCCATCGCCTACAGCAACTTCAGTCAGGCATACCTCCCGATCTGCTGCCCTTGCAAAAGATGCCGGGTTGTCTGCTCTTGTGCATATGGTGTTGGATGAGGCTGGCCCACCCATGTTCATGCTTCCGGAAGCTCTACGTCGCTTCTCACAAGGGAAACCGGACATCTCCAAGGACGTAAAAGAGACCGCATTCAAGCTCTGTCGCTCCGGTGGTGCATGGGGCGATTATGAAAATAGCTGGGACTTTATCGAGAATGATGGCGAAGGCGAAGAGAAGGGATGGCGGCAAAGAAATTTCATCAAGTTCATGGCCTACATCAAGGACTTGTTCCAAACAGAAAGCCACGTACTCAGTGCAATCGACTGGAAGGCCGCTGGTAATGCCACCGTCGTCGACGTAAGTATATGAAAGCCTTGACCACATCATGCATCCAGCTAACACATACCCAGATCGCAGGCTCAGCCGGCCACGACGACGCCGTCCTCGCAAAAGCCTTCCCCAACCTCAAAATCGTCGTCGAAGACCTCGCAGAAGTCGCCGCCGTCTTTGAAAAGGAATTCCCCACCGACCTCAAATCCCGCGTCTCCTTCCGCACACATAACATGTTCGACCCGCAGCCCGTCCAAGCAGACATCTACATGCTCAAGTGGGTACTGCACGATTGGCCAGACGCCGAATCCATCAAGGTCTTGCAAGCTCTTCGTCCTGCGCTTAGACCCGGTGCGCGCGTTGTCTTTGTCGATTATGTTGGTAAGCAAGAGCCGAGCGAGGAAGACTTGCCGAGGAGTATCCATGGCTTTGGCACGGCAATGGATTTACGTATGATGGCGCTGTTCAATGCAAAGGAGAGGCCGGTGGAGGCTTGGAGGGAGATTTTTAGACAGGCGGATGAGAGGTTCGATATTGTGAAGGTTGAGGCTGATCCGTTGACTTTTATGTGTGTGTTGGAAGCTGTTTGGAGGGGATAGATAGGGAAGAGGTAGGGGGAAGCGGAATCAGGGAATTATTGAGGCAGTTTCCAGACAAAAAATTCTCAGGTTTTGAGAGGAAGATTGTGTCCGTGTCTTTGTCTGTGATTGTGCAGATTTTCTTGTTGCTGGTGACTCGATTCGGTTCGTCGCCGATAGCCCGATGATCTCAGCCACCCTAACCGTTTGACCTTGGGATACTTATATATTATGCGATTTGCTATTCTCTATGAAAGACACACATATAACTTCTGGTGATGTGATGACTACAACTGGAAGAAACCGCGCCTTAGTTCAGAAAACGGGTGAGCCCCTCGATCTAAGATACAGCCACAGAGTATACAGGAGTATCCATTGCACCAAGCCCAAGCTTACGAATCCACTAACACTACCTGAATCAATGCTCGTACGAAGAATCAGCTTTGATCATGGAATCGCACCGAACTTGATCACGCTAGGGTATTAATTGAAGTATAAGATCCCACCCAACTCCGGCATATGATACCACCATACCATTTCACCAAACCATTACCAACATGTCAAATCCTTGCCCTACTTCACAGAATATCTCCTTTTTACCCACAGGAACCATGATATCGACTTCTTGTTATACAGAAACCCCTCGCGTAATCAACCACCCTCTCCCAAAATGGTTGATTCCCGCAAACCAGCGAAACTGGCGCCGCGCCGTCCAAAACTTCACGCCATCATGGGTACGCAAACCTCGCCTCCACAAAAGCGGTGTCAAACGAAGTTTTGCTAACCAAACCATTTCGTTCCGCAGTTTGCAGTAACAATGGGCACAGGCATTGTCGCAATCCTTCTACACACGCTATCCTCACTGTACCCAAGTTATCACCGCCCACTACACATCCTTAGCATAATCATCTTTCTCTTAAACACCGTCATCTTCAGCGTCATACTTGTCATCTCTATCCTCAGATACACCTTGTATCCGGCAACCTGGACGCTAATGCTACGACACCGGATGCAATCGCTTTTCGTGGGCACATCACCAATGGGCTTCGCTACGCTCATCAACATGTTCGTCGCAACATGTGTGCCAGTATGGGGTGGCTCAACGCCATATGTGGCGTGGGGAATGTGGTGGATTGATGTTGGTGTGAGTGTAGCGTGTTGTCTATATCTGCCGTTCCAAATGTAAGTGTCACTACCCCAGCCACGTATCCTCGCAACACTGACACAGCTGGCAGGATGACCAAGCACCAAAACCAGCACGAGACAATGACTGCAGTATGGCTTCTGCCCATCGTTTCTTGTATCGTTGCCGCTGCATCTGGCGGCGTGGTGGCGTCCGTGCTACCAGATCCCAACCACGCCCTCATCACTATTGTGACTAGCTATGTGCTCTGGGGCATGGGCATTCCTCTTGCACTCGTGGTTCTAACGATATACTTCCACCGTCTTGCGATTCATAAACTTCCGCCGCAGGAAGTTATCGTCAGCGTGTTTCTTCCTCTGGGTCCTCTGGGTCAAGGCGGGTATGCGGCTATGCAGCTTGGGACCCAGGCTTTGAAGATCTTCCCACAGACGAAGACGCTGCATCCGGTGGCAGGGGAGGTACTATATGTACTGGGTCTCGTGACTGCCATGGTGCTGTGGGGCTTCGGGCTGGTGTGGTTGTTCTTCGCTGTTGCGTCGATTAGTCAGAGGAAGTTTCCTTTCAATATGGGGTGGTGAGGATTTACCTTTCCGATTGGCGTGTTTGCCATGTCCACGATTACTATGGGTCAGGAGCTTCCGTCGGCATTTTTTAGGATCCTGGGGATTGTGCTAGCAAGCGGTGTTATGGTGCTTTGGGCTGTGGTCGCTATGGGTACAGTGAGGAATATTCTCTACGGTAATCTGTTCGAGGCGCCCTGTTTGAGGGAGATGGAGAAGAGGGCGAGCGAGGAGGCGGCTGCGCGGCCGTATCGAGACGCATAATGTATGGATGGTAGTGAGGTCAAGGTGTATTGCGAGTATAGAATCTAATGGCCTAAGTAACCAGCTCTTTCGTCTGGCAATCCACTATCCGTGTCCTACTCTGTTTTGGCAAAGACAACGATAAAGAAGTTGGAAGAGAGTTGCGAAATGTCGCGAAGTATACAATACGACTGCGAGAAGCCGCGGTGTTCCTCTATCGCAATGTATGGTTGCTGCACCTTGACAACTTCGCCGCACGCTGGAAGCCGTCGAATATGCATGATAAGGTAAGGGCAGACAACAATGAGCAAGCATGCTTAGCCTCGAGGCCCAAGCTCTTCTTGGCTCTGGCATGCTCTGGCATTCATAACTTCTCGCCTTCCTTAAGACTGCAATCAACGGCCAACTTGTACTTGCCTAAAAGGGCATTCGCGATCTTTCGCTTTACGACAGGCTGATTAAGCTCACTTCTAGTTCGCAACTTTTCGCTTTACTCTCTGTAGCAATCAACGGCCAACCAGTACTTACACAAAAGGGTATTCGCGATTTTTCGTTTTTGCTTCACAAAAGTGAAAGGCTAAGTAAGCTGTACTTAGATAGGTCCAAGCTCACCGAGCAACGCGAAAAGTTGCGAATAGAAAGTGCCCAGGTGAGCTTAGACCACCTATCCAGACCTTACTCAGCTTGTCTTAGTGCTTTTGCACGTGTGCCGTGAGCGAATCGAATGAAACGTTCCTTTCCCTTTTTGATCGTCTTTGCTACCAATCAAATACTTTGCACGTGACTTTGAAAGATGGTGCAGCTCTCTACCGCAATCAACGGCCAATGTGAACCTGCCTAAAAGGGTGTTTTAAGAATCACGTGCGAACCCTCTCGGCGAAGTCTAAGCTTCGCTCTTGGCATTCGCGATTCTTCGCTTTCCTTGAGCTACTGCAATCAATGGCTGGGTGAAACTTGCCTCTTCTGGCATTCGCGATTTTTCGCTTTGCGCATGGATGAGTAAGACCTAAGCTGGTCTTGGGGTCTATGCTTCCCTCAGTTCGCGATTTTTCGCTCTCCTCTCTAACTGCGATCAACGGTCAGGTATTTGCATAATGTCATAGGCTGGTGGTATCAATCACTAATCTTTATTTTTATATCCAGATGATTAGTACAAGACATCAATGTGGAAAGGAGGTGACGTCGTGGTTTCAAGACCCACATGAATGATGGCTTCCATAGTGTGGCTGTAAAGCGCCCCGCTTAAACGTGTTAGGCAGGAGCTGGCCCCCTTCCTGCCAACCGAGATTTGTCGATGCTCACGACCATCGACTTTTGCATGGCACGCTGCTGATCATCATTTGCGCTCTTTGCGACATCTAAGTACACCACCATGCGCTGTACAGATGCCGATGCATGACTAAGAACGCCATGTCTCGGTTGTGTGCAACCTCTATCTGGAACGGGCAATACCAGGGAAACCGAAAGCCTCGCCAAGGCTTTATCACTCATCCAAAGCTGGCAACTTTCCGTCACCGACACATACTCTATAGGGAAAGAGTCTTTTCAGCCTCGTTCATTCTCTGCTGCGAACATGCATAAGTTGACTTCACAGGTACCATGTAGCTGCTGCTGCACAGAAACAAATCCCTTCATTCATCATGGCAACACCCGAACATCTTGAAGCATTTGCACCATTATCATGGGCAACACCATACCTGAAATCTTCAAACTGGATTGCTTGCGACCGCGAACGGGGTAGTGAACCTGGCGAAGATACGGACCGATTCTGTCGCGAAACCATGCGCGCGAACCACGGCGTTCGGCACTGGCTCGAACTGTACGAGAAGCCTGCTCCAGGTGAAAAGGTCACCAAGTCCATCTCTCTCATCAAATACGGGACTGGCCTGAATGGCTTCCCGGGCATCTGTCATGGCGGCGCCCTCTTCACGCTCATGGACGAAGCCATGCTGCATATCATGGTCGCCAACACAGTGCTTGAGCATGGTCTTGGCTTCATCAAAGTGGGGGAGGAATACTGGAGACTACAGCTCCACGAAGGACGGTCGGCACAAGAGGTGCTCAAGGGTCGGTTGGCTACCGCAGGCATGAACATGAAGTTCCTGGCACCAGTGCTATGCCCAGGCGTTGTCGGCATTGAAACGGATGTGCTAGAGGATAAAGCAAACAAGATGAGGATGAGAGCCATCATGAGGGATCGACAGGGCAGACCGGTAGTTCAGGCTGAGGCATTATGGGTCAGGGTAGGAGGAGATGCAGCCAAACTATAACCTCAGGTACATGATATGCACCAAGAATACCACAAGAATCGCACACACTTTCACGTTCAATCTTCCGTGTGCCTGAACAAACCTCAGGCATGAAGGTGTCGTCCACCATCAAGGCAGGTTTCCCACCACACGTGCGCAAGGATCCTGGTTAGTGTCGCATCGACTTCGGACACACTAACCCACATAAGACGGCGGACTATTGGTCCTTCCCGCAACGGTGTTCCTCCGCTCCCAACTCGAGAAGTCGAATGCCTGCATCAATTTGTATCGGCATAACATCGCAGACAGGCAATGGCACATGCCGCCCCTTCCACGTACTATTCGCGTACTATTCGCGTACTATTCGCTATGGTGCTTAGAACAGCTTGGCTTATCTAGGAATATATCCGCGAGTGACAACACAGGACGTCATGAGCTTTGTATAAGAAGAAGGGTGTTGCTTGCAAGGAAACCGCATCAGACTGCGAGGCAAAAAACGACAAGTCTTTACTATCGTTCACCATGCGTTCCACTCTTGCCTCTGCCTGTGTTCTCTCTTCGTTGCTTCCTCTGTCAATTGCCCAAACTACGGGAGCGTTCAACACCTTGACATTCAACGTTGCTGGTCTACCTGCGATTCTTAATGGCAACGACGTCCCTGGCGACAAGACGGCCAACACTGCTCGCATCGGGGAGTTGTTCACCAAGTACAACATCTCGTTGATCCACGTCCAAGAGGACTTCAACTATCATGCTACACTCTACGCCAACGACAAACACCCATTCAGGACGTCCACTAGCGGCGGAGTGCCTTTCGGTAGCGGCTTGAACTCTCTGAGCAACTTCGAATATACAGGTTTCCAGAGGATCAAATGGAACACATGCAGTAACACCGAGTAAGTTACCCTCTGAGTAGTCTTTATATTTAACCACACATACTAAAAGCCTCATAGCAGCGCCGACTGTCTTACACCCAAAGGCTTCACCTTCATGCGCGTCAAGTTTGCCGAAGGCGTCGTAATCGATGCCTACAACCTGCATGCCGATGCCGGCACAACTGCCGCCGACAATACAGCGCGCGCAGCGAACCTACGCCAAGTATCCGACTACATCAAAGCAAACTCCATCGGCAATGCCGTCATCGTCTTCGGCGACTCAAACTCGCGCTACACACGCACCGATGACATCCCCGCCATCTTCAGCGAGCAACACGGCATGAAGGACACCTGGCTGCAACTCGTCCGTAACGGTGTTGCTCCTGCAAAGGGCGCTGATGCTCTATTGTGCTCGAACCCGGCGACGACCAACACCTGCGAGATTGTGGACAAGACGTGGTACAGGGGCTCCCCTGCTGTGTCGCTAGAGGCAAAGAAGTTCGACTACGCTGGACATATGTTCTTGCAGGAGAACGGCGATTTGCTGTCTGATCACAACGGCGTGCTTGTTGACTTTACGTGGTCGCTTGTTGATCGCTTCCGCGTATCGGATGTTTTTGGCGGAGAGGAGGGCACTTGGTACAATGACCTCGATACCATTTCGGGCCTGACCGCTTCAAAGGTGGCTTCCATTACGCTGAGGGGCTCTGAACGCGTGGATAATATTGCTATTACTCTTGCGTCTGGTCAGAAGTTTGCGCATGGTGGTACCGGTGGCTCCGCTACGACCCTCACGCTCGCTAGCGGGGAGACGCTGACATCTGCTACGCTATGCCGGGGCCAAAAGAACAACAAGACAAGAATCTTTTACGCGCAGTTCACGACTAGCACGGGTAAGACGGTGCAGACGGGTGCTAAGACGAGCGACTGCGTGACCAGGAGTGCGGGTACTGGACGTGGTATCGTTGGGTTTTTGGGTCGCTCGGGTGATGAGGTGGATCAGTTGGGATTCATCTACTCCAAGGTTTGAGGACTTGTCTGAACCAATGAGGAGCTTGGTGAACCTCATCTTCTTGAACGTTATATATTGAATGATCTTTTTACGATACGAATTTGATGTATAGGCCGTGACATCGTGACATCCTGTGATTTTCCAACAACGCCGATCCAACTCCATCAACCATAACACCATAATACCACATAACCTCTAAATCATTCGCTAATCGGCATCATGAGAAACAAACTAACCGTCACTAACATGCCCCGCTATCTTCACCTAATCCACTGTCCCCCACTGCGGTACCCCCCCTTCAATCTGCCTAACCTCCTTCTGCCTCTTCACATTCCTCTCATAATGCTCCTCCTTCTCCTTGAGCAACTTCCTCTCTACATTAGCCCTGTGCTCCATCTCTTCCTTCCTCTGCTCAATCAAATGTTTCTCAGCTGCCATCGTAGCACTCAACTTGCGATCTTCCACACTCTGTCTACGTGCCGCAGCATCCTGCTCCTGCTGCATGATAAGATCGTGCCAAGCCTTCTTTTCACTGCGCTTCATACGCTCCGCCTCCATCATACGGTGGACTTCAAACTCATGTTTCTGCTGCTCGAGCGCAGTGTAGTGCTTTGTCGCTTGCGTCTGGAGTGCGAGGTCCGTCTCCAGTGACTCACGCTTGCGGCGTAGAACATCTTTGTGGTTTGTTTCTTCCATGGTACGCGACTGTTCGAACCTTTCCTTTTCGTGCCGAATGGTGAGTTCGTGGTGTTTTTGCTGGTCGACCAGTTTGGCTATGCGGGCAGGGATTCCGACAGCGCCAACGGGTTGAAGCGGCGATTGCGAATAGTATACTGGAAGACATGCCTTGTCGCGCAAGAGTTCGAGCAATGCGGATTTGACGGGTACTCGAGCAGGAGTGGCAATCAAATCAACATATGAATAAGGTGAATAGTGCAGGCCTGAGGCTGCATCGCAGTAGATGTGTGCCTCGTCATTGAGTTCTTGCCATACTTCCGTCTCAAGAAGGGCCTCTGTAATAGGTAATGCGCTATATGTGTTGTCCAGGGCAAGAATGACGGCCGATTTTTCGTTCCGAGCACGGAACTTGGGTTTTGCGCCATTGGCAAGGAGTAGATATAGGAGTTGGCGCAGCTTGGTGCGCGCAATCGGTGCCGTGACGATTGCATTAAGGCATAGCTCTCCTAGGGCATTTCTACCGCCATGCAGGCGAGACGGGTAGTTCGGATCATGACCATGATTGATCAAGGCCTTTACAGTCTCGACATTCAGTTCTCTTGCCGCCTCGTGCAAACTTCCATCATTCTTTAGCGCACGTGGGGCCAACGCTTTCACCATGGTTTCCCCAGATGCGCTACCACTAGCGTAGAATAAAGCGGATTTATTCCACTCATCTCGGGCATCCGCATCCGAACCCCGCTCCAGTAGTGCTGACACTAGATCACGACGGCCCTCGCGCGCGGCGAGCATAAGTGCCGTCATTTGCGAAGCTGTGGAGACGCGGGTTACGCATGCACCGGCATCGAGGAGCGCGGTGATAACGGCGTCCGAGATGCGCTTTTGGGGCTGGGCTAGTGCCCACAAAAGTGCGGGGATGGCCTCAGGGCCCTTCGATGGATAGAGTACCGTAGTTGTCGATACATCCGGGTCTAGCCCATTGTTGAGAAGTAGCTTGATGAGGTCGGTATTCCGTGGATACACGGCCATGGCGGTGATGAGAATCGGTGCCTTGGTATACCCGACGCCAAATTGGTCAGACGTGCATCCATGGTCGAAGCATGATTGTATAGCGGCAACGACTACTTCTTCTTGAAGCTTAGATCTGAGCAAAGCGGGAACGACAGTGCTGAACTTGGGATTGTGAAGCATGAGCCTCTTGAAGATGGTGTGACTGTGCTTTTGTGCTGCGAAAACGAAACAAGCCCCATCCACTGTGTTGACATCGGCGTTAAATCGAAGTAAAAGATCGACCAGCTTCTCCGTGTCATTCACATCATGGTCGTGGCAGAGAACCACTCGTAACGCAGCATCGATCGCAAGCTGCTCAACGCCACGAGCCAGCAGCTCTTGAGCGAGATTATGAACGTTTCCCATGTTTTCGTTCATGCCCAGAGTCTCATCCGTAAAAAGCGTGCGGAACGCTCTCGTGATGCTAGATCGCGATGCTTGGTGCTTCCCACTGAGTAACATTGCTGTTAGCGTGCTGTTTCCTGAAGCTACTGCAACGCTCAACGCCTCGCCATCGTTGTGACTCACAGAAGCTCCTCGTCGCAACAACAGCTTAGTACTCGTCGTATCGTTGGTAGAGACCGCGTGTCGTGTTTCGTCAGCAAGGGCTTGGTCCAAAGACTCTTGGGGAATTCCAAGTTTAAGTAAGGCATCGAGAATCGGTGCTTTCTTTTGTGGGTCCGAAAGCGTCGTAGTGTGTTTAAAGGCAGTACTCAGCAGTCTGGGACAAGCAGTGAGAAGGCGTTGAATGATATCGCAGTTATCCGGGCCCCCGTTGATAGCGATCTCCAAGGCTTTGCTAGCAGAGTCTTCTTCGACCCCGTAGCTAAGCAGCAAGTCGATGATCTCAAGTGTTTTCGAGTGTCTGCCACCTTGTGAGTCAAATGCTAGAGGTAGAGCTGCCGAAGTAGAAGAGGGGTTGGGTCTCGCGTTGCAAAGTAAACGCAAAAGGGACATGTCGACTTGCGTGGCTGCCAACGATAACACTCTCCCGATCTGATAATTCACGTCTGCTCCTTTCCTGACCAAGTCTGTTATCAAAGCTCCATCTCGCGTAGATGACACATCCTCAACAGCATCGATAAGAGCTTGGTCAACACCAGGACCACGGGCTCCATGCTCGAGGAGAAGTCGTGAAGCCTCACGTCGCTCAGATGGCGAATAGTCTTTACGAAGAAGTGGAAAAAGCTTCGCTAGGCCTTCTGGTGCGGGACGTGTGTTCAGCAGTGCTCGGAGACTTTGCATATCCCTGTTCACTACAGCTGCATAAAGGGCACCTCTGTCGCTCGAATCGACAGGTGTGCCCGCGCCCAGAAGAAGATCTAGCATTGCCGTATCTCTCTCCTTAGTAGCTTGGGTTAGCAATCGGCTCAGCGGCGGCCCCGTTGCACCCTTCTGTAGCAGAGCGCCGACGACGCGAAGTCTATCTGGCTGTGGAGCATTGAATGGCAAAACAGCTAGCGCGGCTGCTGCATGCTGTGGAGCCACCGGCGTCTCCAAGATAGCATCAACCAACGGCCAGTTCTTGTTCGCCAAAGCCTCTCTCAGACATTCCGCATCGTTTGTTGCAGTAGACACGCCGTAGCTAATCATCATCTTAGCACCAGCTGTGTTGTTGTTCCCAGCAACGCAGATGAGAAAGTCGGGAAGGCCACGACTGTCAGGACGCAGTCCACAGCAGAATAGAAGCTGCAAGAATTGAAGTGTTGCCTGACGTGTGGGCAGTCTCATTGTGGTGTCCAGTAAGCGCTCCAATGTCGCCTCAGTGAGGGTAATTGGACCTGCAACCATGGCGACTGCAAGTTTGTACTCTTGCCTTCCAATGGCCATGTTAAGAGCGCTTGCTGAGTCGAAGTTCGGATCCGCACCATGTGCTACCAATAGCGAAACGATGGCATCGGATGCCTGTTGGACTGCCGCGGGTAAGGCAGAGGATATGATATCGGGCCGAAGAGACTTTGGTGCTCGCAACAGCAGCCGAACAAAGTTCATGTCATTCGATCTGACGGCACTGGCCAAGGAATTTGGGAAGTTATTTGGATCTGCCCCGAACCGGAGGAGTTCCTGAATGCATGCTTGGTCGTTCGCAGTGAGGGCAGCCTTCAGACCCTCATCCAAAGTCTGCTGGTCGGCGCCAGAGCTGGCCAGCACACTGACACCATCCGCTTTTCTCAAACTCGCTGCTTGCTGCAGGACAGTGCTTCGACGCCGCAATGCGGTATTAGCCTGAACTCCCGACTTCCTCTTCTTCTCAGGGGTTTCGATGACATTCACTTTGGCACCGAGACCGAGAAAGGCCTGAATTAGGCCAGGGCCAGTAGTTGGACTGCGAATAACTGCGGACAAGGCCTGGTCGAGTTCATCCTGCGAAAACTGTCCAGAATCTTGCCCCTTCTCCTTCTCTTTTGAGCTCTTGAAGATACTCTTCAACACATTCTTGCTTTCGGGGTTCTTGGCTCTTCGCTCCAGTAAGATGCTACGGGCCTGGGCGTGGTCGTCTTCACTGGCAACAATGACAGGTTGCGTAGGCGCGGGGAGAACGGCTTGACGTTGATCGACTGGGGTGACACCCGCACTGTGAATGAGCTCCTTGAGGCTGACTCTTCGCTCCATGGCGACAACTAATTCATTGGAGATACCGTGACTATCGAATCGAACTGAGGAAATAGAAATCCAAAACTAGCCGCGGCCTGAGGACGTTGCGTAGTGCATACGCGTGTAGGTTGAGGCGGAGCTACGGAAGCAGCAAGACGCTAGCTTGATGCGACATGAAGAACAGCGGTCTAGGCCGACGGACAGCGTTGTCGAGTCGTCCTCGGATCCTTCACAACAAAACCTTCCGTAAGACTTACCATCACCGCCAGCTGTATGCAAATCTCTGAGCTCTTCGCATATGAAAATCATTGTGCACACGTAAGTCATGCGTGCGGAGCGGAGCGGAGATGAAGCACACGATATCGGCTACAGCAGCGGCCGTGCACAGACACGGAAGCATCACCACGCTGCCCAAATAGTCAGGAGCTAACATCCTGCTTACACTAATGCAAGCCGACTCCTCACACCCAAGGCTTCTTACATTCCATGTTTGGAATTACGGGTCGCGCATCCTTCTGTGGGCGGCGTGCAGGAAGTTGTGGCGACCAACACTGCGGCGAGAGAATTGACGTCTCCATCTACCACAGGCGGCGTGGTTGAGCGACCGACGCAACTGTTTCAGGAGATATACTGGCATAGTTACCGTACAATGTTTTCCCGCTATTTCGGCCCGCGGTCATCCCCCACGTTTCAGCACTTGTGGCAGGTTCTGCAAGGTACCCAGGTACCGTTTCAGCATTCCCATGTGCATCTGGAAAGTCTCGTTCAGCCATCAAATCTCCCTACAGAACACCGTCTGAATAAGGCTGTAATACGGCCGTATTGACTGCATGCCCGATCTATATTCGGCGTTTCCAAGCCGTGTTATTGCCGTACGCTCCTTTACTGAACATGTCCACACACAACATGCACCTGTCAACACCACTTCTCAAACCGCGACTCGTTCATCGCACGTAGGCTGCACTGGCAGATCACTGACATCTTGTCAACAACAAAAACATCTTCAGCGGCCCCACCAGTTGCCCCTCCGAAAACGTCTGTGAGCGCTGTTTATCCGCGACACAGGGATTTTTGTTTCAATCGTTCACATCCTCCTGACTCGGCCCTTAGCCTTTCCGAGAGATCTCGTATCCATCAGCTATCCCAGTAAGCAACCCGTTCACAACGGAGCCAGACGGAGCCAGAGTTTTCACAAACCTGTCGAAACACCAACATCTGCGCAAGGGGTTTTGAGACGTCTCGACATATACCCCCTCGTTCGTTAATACCCTTGTGAGAGGAAAAGACCAGAGTAGGACCGTTGGAGGCTGACCGAAGACCAGTATATATAGGACCACACATCTTCACCAATATCTAACCAGCACACTCAAGCATTCCAGCTAATAACCGCCTCTCTCTCTCTCTCTCTCATTCTTCATTCGTTTCTTTGAGCTCTGGTAGCTTTACCTTCGTTTCTATACACGGTCTTTGACAACCCACATATTCTCTCCTACCTGAAAGAGTAGATACCGCAAAGCCTCTCGTTTTTCAAACGCATTCTTTACCAATCGCCAAAATGCACGCCTCAATTATCCTCTCAGCGCTCGCGCTCTTCCCACTCGCAATGACCGCGCCTTCTCGACGTCTCCCACGCCAAGATGCTACCGATCCTACTCTCTTCGACGCCGACCAGAATTTCGATTCTCCAGCCACGCCTGCCGATTTTGGAAGCCTCTTCGGTGCTCCCGACTCACCTAATGGTGCTCCCCAATCCGAGCCCCGTCAAGAAGACTGTGAGAAGAAGCCCAAACAGCCCATCACCACCCCTCAAGCACCCAGTATACCTAGTGTACCCAGTGGTCCCAAACCACCCGCTGCCCCGAAACCACTTGCTGATCCCAAACCAGCAGCAGGAACTTGCGATCTCTCCAAGCTCCAACAGCCCGCCTCTGCGCTTCAACAGCCAACCCCCGACATGAAGCTCGCCCTCGTCGCCATCGGTCACGGAACCCAAAACTACACCTGTGCCAACGCATCCGCCGTTCCTGCCCCCATCGGCGCCGTCGCCCAGCTCTTCAACACCACCTGCGACACATCTTCCATCGCCAAACGCGACGCCGCCGAAGCCCTCGGCTCCATCCAAGAATCCACTTCTGACGCCGTTGGTGCCCACTTCTTCCTCGACAACACAACACCCGACTTTGACATCAAGGGCCTGGGCAACACCGAGGCGGCTAAGCTTCAGGATACCCCGGCCCCCAACCCAGCCAAGAATGTAAAGTGGCTCAGGCTTGGACCCAAGGCCGGTAGCACAAGCGCTGTCAAGGCTATTTACCGCTTGAACACTCAAGATGGTGTGGCCCCTGCGACTTGCGAGGGCAAGACGGCGGGTGAGGTGCTGGCTATCGAGTACACGGCTCAGTACTGGATTTACACCTAGGGCTTTCGCTATGCGCACACTGTGCTGTATATGCGGGCTCTAGGGTGAGTAATGAGTCCTCGATACCATGCATGGTCTTGAGATGAGCGACGACGGAGGCCAAGGAGTGCAGAGAGAGGGTGGTTTTCTTTTCATCATGTGTATCAAACTTCCTGTGTATCATTTTCCTTTTGGGGGCGGAGGCGGTGTCTAATAGTCGGCTTTTGTATACCTCATGTCTCATATATATATAACCAGCAGTTGGTCCAAAAAGAAACAAGCTTTGCTTGTACAGAAATACATATTACTACGGACCATCTCAAATCCCCCTCGTTCTTGTGCCTGACATACAGCAGAGTTTCTTTCTACTTGTTGCTTTCCTTTCCTTTACCATCAGGCGTAGTATCAGCGGTATGCACACAAATGTGAATTGAGCACTCCCCATATATATGTCCGGTCTTGTCCTTTGGTCATGATATCGGGACTGAAGTCGAATAAGCCATGATACTACAAATGACAACTACGACACGGCGTCAAGCAAGCATCAACGACACGCATAAGTTAACCTTCTCACACACATGTACAAGCTCAAGATGAACATCAACATAAAATCCAATTTAAATGCCTCGCCACGCTATGCATCGACTAAAACAGTTCAATCCAGAACTCTCTCCGCAGAAAAAAACCAGCGAATGCAAATGGGTATCGTGCGCGCGAGAACAACAAAAAACAACAACGACGAAGCAAAGATCCCCTCCTTTGCTGTCCGGTGAGCGAAAAAAAGTAACAACAAAATGCGCTCGCTACGATGCTAATGCAGCAACAACAAACCCCGCTTTCCTCTAAATCATCTACAAGTACCCATACAACGCCTCATCATCCTCTTCGGTGATAGTCGCCAAGTATAGAAATTCTTCCTCGGCTTGTTCGAGAGCCACTCTACGACTCATGGCGCGCTCCTCCCAGCCGAGACTGATACCCGAAAGTTGCACTGCTGACATCTTAGGTAGGCGGCCAGCACCAGAAGAAGCCTGCATATGGGGCGGAATGTGGTAGGTAAGGTCTGAGGGATCTTGTGTGATGGGACTGGACAGTCCTAGTGGTGTATCGGCGCCTCCATCGAAGGATTCTGTGTCGTCTGAGAGCCAAGCGAGTTCCAGAAGGTCGAGCCTGGCCATTGATTCGTGATGTGCGGCTTCGTAGCGGACGTGTTCCATCTTGTTGAACATGTCGCGTAAGTTGCGGTCGAATGACTCTTTGTTTTCGCGCGAGCGTAGCCAGTGGTTCTCGTTTTGTAGGGCATCGATGAATGTCTTGAGTCCACCAGGAACTGTACGCGGGTCTGCCGCTTGCTGAGGCTGCTCGACTGTGGCTGTGGTGTTGTCCGCGGGCATGTCGGAATCGTTGCGACCATGCTCATCGGCATTGGCCAGACGCTCCCTCAATGCCTCCATTTCTAGCATCTGAGCTCGGTTGGTTGCTTGAAGTTCCATGATCTTATCGTGGCGTTTGGTGAGCTCCTCCTGCAAGGCTTCGACGCCTTCCGTCTTGGTCGCAGCATCCCGGATCTTAGCCAGCAGATGCTCAATTTCAAGCTCCTTGGTAGCAATGACCTGCTCTCGTTCATGGATCTTGAGAACAGTGGCACGATGCTCAGCTGTGAGGACTTGTAGTTGGCGTACAGCCTCATCGTCCTTCTTCCGTGCCGACTCGACCTCCTTTGCTTTCTGTGCCCAGGGTGTAGGACCATGCTCAATCTCAACATTGTTTGAGAGTACGGAGGCATGATCGGTCCAGTGGCGTAGGCTGAATGTCAGGCCGTTCAGACCCGCAGTGAGGAAAATGGTACGTTGCTTTGTGTCAAGATCGTCAATATTGGCTTTGATAGAGGCAATCTCGCTCGCTGAGATGGCTTCGGGATCTGACAGGCTCGAGCACTTCGAAACCTCTTCGATCAGTGCACGAGTGAAGTTGGCGATTCCTTCAGCGGCAACCGCTAGCCCCTCATCGTATTGGACTGCGTCATCCATGCCGTCTAGGAAACGAGGATACATGTTGTCCTCAGCCAAGGCTTGTATAGTTCGTAGCAACTTGGTAGAGGCTGCAAGCGCACCTTGCGTAGTCTCTAGTGGCGTTTTGAAGTGTTCCAGGGTGTACTGGCACTCCTCAAGTATGCTTGTAGGGACCTTTTGCAGAGCGAAGGTGGCCAAGTCATACATGTAGGTGATGTAGTCGAGTCGAGCATGGATAGAGGTCATCCTGGACAACAGTTCGCCTTCTGGGCGTGCGGCCAAAGCATCTTGGTGACTTGATAGAATGGCGTCATGTGTCTTGGTAGAACGATGGAGAGATCCGGCAAATTCCTCAAAGTTGACCGTGTCTGCCTTCAAAGCATTGAGACCTTGGTCAAGCACTTGCTCAACCGAAAGTAACTCTTGATAGGTGGGCCCGATGTTGGCGAAGTCAGGGAGAGACAAGCCGCGAATGGCAGACCAGAGTCGGTTGTTGCCCTCTTTGAGGACCTCTAGGTAGCTGATTGACTTGACACAAATGAGTCGAGAGATTGCATCGTCCAAGCGGCCACCGTTGCTCATCTGGCGGTTGGTGCTTCGTAACACGTTGATAAGCAGATCGGACTTTCCAGCAATCCTTTCTGCAGCAAGGTAGGCCTGAAGCGATTCGCTGCGGGTGAATTCCTTAGACTCAGTCTCGTTCCAAATCTCCAGCTTCTCAGCGAGCTGGTCGGCCTTTAGCGATATAAGAGCAGCCTCAATCTCCCGCGTGGTGGACAGGACAGTGGCTGCACGGAGTTGTCTGTTGAGATCCATGACTTCGTTGAAACGTCCAGTAGTGTCCTTTACTTGGGCTTCTGTCATGTTCTTCGAAGACTCGACATCAGCCATTCTAGTTTGTAGATCCATGACGAGGTCTCGGAACTTGGAGATGAGGGATTCGTTGTCGGTGATGATGGCAGTTTGATCGGCAATGAGTTTTGCCTGCTCTGCAAGTTCGTTGTTCTTAGCGTCAAGCTCCGCGAGCATGTCCTCTTCTTGCTCGAGGTGCTGAACCTCCAGCTCATCGTTGAGTTCTCGCAGGTTTTCGAGATCTTGCACGACCATTTCTTGTTCCGCGAGCCTATCTTGGAGATTTTGGTTTTGGTGTGTCAACTCTCCCACCATGTCTTCGTATTCATTGGCGGCATCTAATTGCTGTTTGAGATGTTCGACGAGGGATTCAGATTCAGCGAGACGTTCGTGAAGAGTGGCATTCTCCGATTCGTAGTGCTCAAGCTGTTGAAGGTCGGCTTCTAGGCTAAGGATTCGTGCCTTCTGGTCTTGTTCCCGTTCTTCGGTCATCTCCTTTAGCGTTATCAACGCGTGCCGTAGCCGGTCGTTCTCATGTTGAAGTCTGTAATAGCCGGCTTCTTGTTTTTGCTCCTCCGACATTTCTGTGGTGAACAATTCGGCCTCGTCTCGAAGGATGTCCAGTTCCAGGCTCTGCTCCTCCACTCGCTTGCGCAACGACTCCAGCTCAGCCTCCGCCTGATCAGCCCTCTCCTCTGCCATTTCTTTGTCAACCAAGGCATCCTCAAGGTCGACTTCGTGATCCTGCTGCGTCTTCTCAAGAGCCTCGTGTCCCTGTTGAAGGATTTTGACCTTTTCCCTCAACTCCTGTGCCTCGCTGTATTGATTTTGGCATTTAGCTTGTAGCTTCTGGATGATGCCGTTGAATCTATCCCGCTCGTCTCGTACTTGTGTCAACTCCCTGAGCCGATCTTGATCCTCCGAGTGTTGCTTTTCCAAATGACGTATTTTGGTTTGTAGAGTTTCTATGTTGTTATTGTCTCGGGATGTTTTGGCGGCATTACTGGTTTGTGACGAAGCAAGGCTGGGTCTTGAGGGTGGTGGTGCGGGCCGGGCGAATTCCGTGGCAGGATTGGAAGAGATGCTAGCGACGCTGGCTTTGCGGACAGGCTGGCGAGGGGGTGGCTGCGAAGGAGAAGCTACGACTGATTGCCGTTTTGTGGTCAATGTAGCAGATCTGGGTTTTGGAGCGATGACGCTGGCGGGCCGGGGTCTTGGTGTGGTTGCTGGAGGCTTAGCCTTTGGTGTTGGCGCTCGTTGTGGTGTAGAAGGTGGTGCTGGCTGTGAGATGATTTTGGTAATGCTTGAATCTCGTATGAACAAGCCGTGGCCCGGTGGGCAATTGAAGTAGCGCTCCCCACGTACGGAGCCATCGTTCTTTCCCGTGGGCGTGGGAAGCTCTATGCCAACAAAGGTGCCTTCCGAGACATGAATTGGCCCAACATACCGGACTACACCGTACTGTTCGCTCGTAGTTTCGACCGTCTGGCCGACCCTGATAGTAGTCATGATAGCGGGGTGCTAGCAAACTGAGGTGCGGGGAAGATTGAGAGGAAGGTGTAGACAGCGTTGGGTGTGACAGCTGTCCTTACACGTCGCGTCGCGAAATCGCTGCAGGTACTGGAAAGTGCAAACGCGGGCAGTTGAACCTGGAAAATGTTGGGAAAGTCCCAAGGAGAAGAAGCAGATACGCAAAATTGCACGGGTATCAGCTCAACGGTGGTGCATTGGCGGTATGGCTCATGGGCTGTTGCACATGTCTATGTTGTAGAAGAGAAGAGGATAGAAGACGAGACGACAGTACGTAGTACTGAGCCCGCCGGCATTTTCCGTCGCTCACGTGATCCCCTTTCGCCCTAACCCCGGCGCATAACAGCCGGCGCTAACCAGAATTAGCGCGTCTCGCCCTTTCCAAACTTTTGTCGCGTTAGTAATATACAAACGTCCTGAGGCACATCTGATACAAGCCTTCTTTTCGCATTGTGGGTGCCGCCTTACAAGGAGGCAAATACCTCCCATACGTCGCATTAAAAGTTCAGCACGTCAAAACGCCAAGGTGCACAAATGTTTCATTCAAACATCCATTCACCTTGTTTCTTAGTCGGGCATTATCAGGAATGATACATGTACAGTTCCAACCCCACATGCCCGCCTAAGCCGTGCTCTACAGAAGTCAAGCCATTCCTGTTCTCCCTCACATTGAAGCCTCCAATTCCTTGATCCTCTGCTCGATATCCGGAACTGCACGGAGCTGTAGGTCAATATCTTCCTTCTCACTAAACACATACCAAGTTAGCATCTGTTTCGTAAGAGCAAGGACAAGGAAATGACTTACTCTTCAAGCACCGCCCTCCTCTCTGCATCTAGGCCTCCAAAATAGAACCCTCCTTGTCCATCAAACTGCAGAATGCGACTGTGGTACTTCCATAGGCTGCGTCGATGACTCACGGTCATGAGTGTGATACCTAGTCTCTTCGCTTCTTCGTACATGACTCTCTCCACTTCCAATGTAACGCTACTCGTACATTCGTCAAGGATCGCATATCTGGGTTTGTGGTAGAAGAGTCTGGCCATAGCAACGCGCTGTTGAAGACCACCAGAGAGCACATCTTCCCACTGTGCTTCAGCATCAAAGTCACCAGGGCGGTCAATGAGCGTCTCTAGGTTCAACGTACTCAGAACAGAGAGAAGGTCGTTGTCAGTAATACCCTTCGAATGCATGTCGTGCAACGAGTCTGGATAGATGATTTGCTGACGCAGCGTACCGCGGGAAAGGTAAGGTCGCTGGGGAATATAGAAGATGTCTTCAAACGGCGGCTTGCGTACTTTGCCTCCGTAGACGGGCCATAAGCCGCCAAGAATGCGGAACAAACTACTCTTGCCACAACCATTCGGTCCTACGATAAGTAGGTGGTCACCTGGCTTTACGGCGAAAGATAGCTTACGAACTAGCACGTCGCCGTTTGGTGATACGATTGGTACGTCGATGAACTCAATGTCTGAACCCTCGGTCACAGTGCCGCGGCCCCGTAGGACTGACGCGTTTTCTTCGGTGTCGGCTGATGAAACAAGTTTCTTCTCAAAGTGGCCTGCTTGGATGTCGTCGATCACATCGAGCAGGGTGGCAACGCGGGATGTGTAGCCGGCAAGTTCGGTGATTTCCTTGTAGGAGAACATGACGCGGCCGAAGGCGTCGCTGGACATTAGCAGCATGCGGCGGTTCGTTACGAAACCTGCGATTTTTTGATTAGTAGGAGTTCCGATGGCCAAGAAAATTTGAGAAGCCCGAGGAGAGGTGGAGAAGGGAAAACTTACTCTCCGTCCGATCACCTGTACTCATGCCTCCGGTCCCTGGTAGCTTGAAGAATACTGGTACACTGCAAAGCATCAATCCCAACGCTCCCCAGAAGTACTTGATAACAAAATCCTCCATGATGCCGTGGTAGAACCTCCTCCTCAAAATGCGGTTGACATGCTTGATCAAGGTAAAATACCCTTTATCAAGCGTATCCTTTTCAGCTTCATGTCCGGCATAGAGCGCCACTTCCTCACTCCAATCAATCAACCTGCTATGCTGAAACCTAAACTCGCCCTCTAATCTCGCTTCATCCGCCACATATTTGCCGAATGGGGGCGTAAGTGCCCTCATGACGTTTGCGGAGATTTGTACGAGGAGGGACATGAAGAAGAGACCCTCGCCACCGACACTGCGCGAGAGAGAGTAGTTGTAGATTATGATGTCGAGAACAGGTTTGGCGAGATTGGAGTAGAGTTCTGCGAGGGAGTTTGAGAACTTGGCTACATCGACGGTGATGAGTTGATCGGCGTTTGCGATGCGGTCGTCGAGCGCAGAGAGGGTGTAGAAGGTCATTTGAGATAGATATTTCGAGTGAATGTGATTCGTGAGGCGGGTTCGGTATTGGAGGGAGAGTTTGCACTGGTGGTATGAGAGCTGTTGTTGTTAGCATATTGCCAGGTCTCGTAGTTCATCATTGAAGTCCAGTCTCCATCCCCGACCGTAGACGAAATGTTTCGACATACCATACTATTCGTGAACGTCGCCGGCACAGCAACAGACATCCACCATACCAATCCCGTAAGAAACTCTCTTCCCTTCCCCCTCACAAGCGCACTGACCAGCCTTCCATCCAACTCCGCCACATACAAACTAATCATCGTCCTCAACACCAAGAAAACACTATGCCCAATCAACAACCTAAACTCCTTGCTCTTCCAGCCCGGTATACATATCCTCAACAACCTCAGTAGGTTCTTGAAAAACTCCCTATTCAGCTCAACCTTCTTCCTGCCCGTCGCTTCACCCTCTCCCGCCGATGTCTTTTCAGCGCTCTTGTTGGCCCGTCGCAGGGAAGCAGCTTTTTGCTCGGCGATGGCATTGCGGATGCGATTTATGAGGGCGACAAAGAGGGTCAGGTACACAGCGCGCGATATGCGGGTTCGGTTTGAGAGGTACAGCCGCGTGAGGTCGTTTACTATGGCTTTTGCAGAGGCGCTGGTGAGGCGATGGGAAGAGAGAGGTTTGGAGAAGACGGCCATGGCTACCGTATGAGAGGCATTTGTGGTACGCAAGGGTCAGTCGCCGTTTGCGCAGGGCGACCGTTACGCGTTGGTGGACAGTCGGTGCTGAGGTCTTGGTGGTTGCAGTGATGGCTTTTTGGGAGATGTGTGAGATGCGGTTGCTTCGGTCGACCGGTAGCTTTGGGTACGACAGCGCGTTCGGCCCCGCGAGATTTGTAGCGTTGCTTTGCTGTGCAGAGGCGATGGTGTTGCTTGACGACATGTGAACCAATACCTCGGCTTCCCCACAAATCGTCTAGCCGCTTCGGGCGATAAGCTGGGGAAAGCTTTCACATGAACGACGAACGGATCCCCGTGCGGCTCTCCATGCACATCCTGTGTCCGTGTTCAAAGAAGCTATATGCCGACGTTTTCGCTTTTCGGTTCAAGTCTGCGGTCTTGTCAAATGCCAGTCACAAAAAATGAAGACACGATAGAAAACGACTACCGGAACATATTTATCGGTAGGCACCTGGAGTAGAACAGCAACTCCGTTGCATTACAACCTCGTACGTGTCCTCAAATTCTTCCACTAAGTAAATACACGCAGGACTATCATCTCTTTTTGAACCTTGTTTATTCTTTCCACTTCACCTCTCTCCTACCTCACCCATGCCTCTGCGTACCCTTGAAGCACGCATAACTAAACACCCTATCGTTGAAATCCCCCTTCGCCGTATACCTCAAATCCGCAATCCCAGGCCACGTCAACCCCAAAAAGTCGGATTCATCGCTAAGAAACTTGCGACAGTATGCGTTGCTACCAGGTTGATCAGTACCACGAGGGGTGAAGCGTAGAGAGAGATGGGAGAAGAAGAGAGGGAAGACCATACGTGTAGAACTCGCAGAAAAAACCTTTATCGGGTCCAATAGAAGAGTCCCGACCGGTGAGGACGGTGCAGTCGGAGTCGGAGCTGCCGAGGGGAGTGAATTTGTGCTCGCAAATACCACCCCAGTGGATGTCTGAGCAGACGTAAATCTGGCGTGAGATTAGTATTTCCAATTTTTTCTCGTTACGCTGTTCAGCGGGCATGAACGAGATGATGTAGACAGAGACATGACTTACACCAGCAGGTGTGTCACTTGGATCCGCAGCAGTCGTGCTTGATGGTGAAGCAGAGGAAACCAGGGTGATGAGGGTAGTCGCAGATGTTGCCGTCGAGGCAGCGTATTTTATGACAGTGTTGTTTGTGGATGCTGTGACGAGAGTAGTGCTAGCGAAAAGCATAGTGGCGAGGATGAAAAAGTACATGATGAGAGGCATAAAGAGTGTACTCTTCAAGCTGATGGAGATAGAGACACTGATTTCTAGCGTTCCAAACGCCCGCCTCTTTATACACGCCTCAGCCAGCAACACAGGCCCTACCGACACAAGGTGGACATCGTCATAGGCACTCTGGTGTATTGACTATGACGATAGTTGCGCAACGGTTGGGATATTCGGCTGTCGGCGTTGTGTGACGGAACCACAGGTTACACCTATGACCTGCAGCACACGACTTTCCTGCACGTAGGCTACGCGCTTCCCAGCAAATTTCATGTGTGATAACAAGGTCTTGGACCATGAGGGTAGTGTAAGTGTGATGACTGGGCGTTGCACCGTCATGTATGTCCGGCGAATACATTAATCAAATGGCATGCTGTATCAGGAATGCTCTGTTGTTTCTCGAGAAGGCGCCTGTGACGAAGCTACTGTTGTTGTTGTAGCACCAGTCAGTCGCGTGAGGGACGTTGTGGACAAAGGTACAACATGTTTGATGAGAAGGACAAAATGCGAGCGTTCCCTTACTTTGGGAAGCTAGGACTTGTTCTATTGAAAACAGTAATGGGTATAAACAATACACACGGCCGCAGCCCCCAGCGCGATGGTATCTTTCGCGCTTCCTACCAAACAAAGACTGTAGAATCAACAACACCAACCCAAGGGATTAACTAAGCGTTGTCCAAGCGCAGGTTGGTAATTTTTGTAAAGAAGCTCAAAGGAGCATTATGGCAAAGTGTTTCTCTACAATCAGAGGCGTATTGGGTGGTCCAAATGAGGATACGGCAAAACGGAGCGAGCGTACTAAGGTCTGGCTGGCGGCTCGGAACGTTCCGGCTCGTAATTCGTTTCCCCTAACGACTCGGAAGGTCCGGAGACGGAAGCCGTAGCTGGAGCAGATGCAGGTGCGCTTCGGGAAGCGGCTGCGTTCAAGCGCGCGTTCAGTGCTTCAAGGGCTAAAGCTCGTCGCCTCTCTGCCTCAGCGCGTGTTGCTCCGCCTCGACCGCCCCTGCTGTTGGGATTCATGATGCTTGGTAGGCCCCCCTCGGCACGAGCGGTGGCCTGCTCGTTACCCGCGTCTATGTCTCTGTCTGAAAATGGGGTACAAACGTTGAGTGATATCATGGCATTGTAGATGCCGTCAGCCAGCGCTCCCACAGGGGTCTGGATGGGCTCAGGGAAGAAGTGAGCAAAGCTGAAGGTGTCTGAAGCGTCTCCCCGAATATAAGAAGCGTCTCCAGTAGACGAAGATGATAGTGAGGGGCTAATGCGGTAGAATCGAAGGTAGATCCACGCAGTCATGAAGCCAAAGTATGCCAGGAACATGGCCGTCTCAGTGCCCAGGACTATGCCAGAAATTGTGTTTGTGAGTAAGAATATGGCGGGAAAGTGCTTGACGCGCATGCGGATGAGACCCTTCGCAATGGCCACAGTGTGTTCGGGAACGAGTTGCTTAAACGAGACGAGGAAGCCTGCCTGGATAGCAATGCCGCCAGAGATAGTGGTTTGCCTAGACTGGTCAGCACAGCGGTCTCACCGTGTCAGAGGGGTAATCACATCATGGAGCCTTTGCTCATGATTAAGTAGCCAGCCAGGTAGAGAATATATGTGAGGATGTTTGGTATCATGGCCACGAACAGCATGAACTTGGTGAACTCATGAGACCCCCACGCGCGTTCCAGGTAGCGTCCGCCATAGAAGACGGTTAGGCCGGTGGTGATGAGGCCGAGCAGGTTCTGCTCCACTACAGTCGCGAGAGCAAATACCCAGGGATACCACGGCACCGAGTGGCGAGGGACTATGGTGAGCCATGGAACACCGTTGCCGACGCCGATGATGGGCTTCTCGACCTTTTCCACCCAGTCAGCATGCGGTCGCAGGGCGAAGTTGATGAGGGTGAAGAAGACGACAGCGGCCAGAATGCCCCTGGTGAGCGGCGGGAGGTTTATCCGAGGCATGGCGAGTGAATGGTGGGTGGGTCTGTCGTGGTGGTGGTGAAAGCATCCGGCATTGTTGGCATTGGTGTTGGGTGGGCAGGGATGTGACAAAGGAACGGACGCTCGCGCTCGGACTGTGGGGACGGTGGACTAGCTGCCGCGAGTCTCTGTCAACTGCAGGTGCGATGTGTGTAAGGCACCTTCACCCTCCATGCCCCAGTCTGGACGAATCGCGTAGACACTCCCGCACACGAACCTCGGTATTCTCGCATCCTTTACGAGCGCATGCAGCGCGTCCATAATGCGCCATGGCGGAGACTCTGAGCAGCAACGCGATGAACTATCTCGGTACCTTTGCCCATAGCACCGCCGCTCCATTGGTCTGCAGATCTGACGTGTAGTGTAGTATGGCGATACCTACAGGAAGCCGGATTCGGCAATGCAGCGCTGCAACTCTCACGATGCTGGATTCGCGACCCCGACACGCTGCCCTTTGCTAGCAAGATTGAGCCGCACACGCTCATTAGGCTGGTCCAGGATGGCATGTGTTTCGACCGCCTCCAGGCCGAGGCCTGCAATGTGCGTCGCTGAAAGATATCAATGAGGCTTGCGCTGACTGCCTGCAGACGGAACCGCGCTACAAATTCGGCAGCGACCACGGTCGCCCTTACTCCCAGCGCAATGGCAACCTCTTGACACTCGACAAGGGCATTCCCGCCCACGAGCTGGCCGCCGAGGCCAACGGCGCCGTCCAGGAGCCGCCGCCCAAGAAGACGCTGAAGCGCAAGAAGACGAAGCCGCCAAATGGCATCGAAGCGCGCCCCGAGCCCCACGTCAACGGCGATGCCATGGATATTGAGCACAACGGCGCGACCACGCACCTTACCAACAGCGTCAGGGCCGAGTCGGAGCCCATGGTCTCAGAGGCCGAGTCGCTCACCGTCGCTGAGATTCCCATATCCACGCTTAGCATAGGGCACGACGAGGGCATACAGACTGACGTGATAGCTGTGGCTGACCTCACCCCAGAGACCGTCTTTGTGCCATGCGACCCGAATCCCGCAAAGGTCGTTGAGCACACGCTCTGGGGGCCCATCGAGTCGCCAGTACTACTCGCAGCAGGAAAATCGCTGCTCCAGGTCCACGTGGTCCGCAAAGCCTCTAGTTCGGACCAAACGCCATCTTTCCACACCCTCGACATGCCTCTGCCTGTCGCCAACTTTGATGTCACCGCGCTATGCTGGCACTCTGACGACGAGCTCACCGTCTCCGTACGAGAGCAGTGCTTCAACGAGGTCGGCGAGAAGATGATGATGGACAAGCTCATCAAGCTCACCGACGGCGGCCAGACGTCGCACATCATCTCCTCCACGGCCGGCCTCATCAACACTTTGCGCTGGAATTCGGACCGAAATCTACTACTGTCCATATCGACCGACGGCCAAAAGGGCTCAATCAAGGTCTGGAACAACGACAGCGACTCCATCCCCGCCTGGACCGAGTTTACAGACACTGCCATCTTCGACGCGCACTGGATCAGCGAGTCGGCCTTTGTCGTTTGCGGCATCAAGCTATTCAAGATCTACCAAGTCAATGAGTCTTTGACTACTCAGCGGATATTGGACACTCATATAACTTGGGAAGCAGTAAAATATGACGCTTCTTCCGGAATCATCGCCGTCCTGGGCATCGAAGACAAAAAGAACTACCTAGGTCTTTTCCATCCCAATGAATCAGCACAACTACAGACGCACGAGTACCCCGACGAATACTTTACCGACCTTGCTTTCCGCCCGAAGCCAACCACAAGTCATCTCACCAACGGCTCTTCTCTACCATCTGTACTCCTCGCAACAAGTTCCTTGTCTGGTCCGGCTCGGATATGGGATGCCAATGATCCATTCAACTGCATAAAGGATTTACCCACCACCGACAGTACACAGGCCTTTAAGATTGCCTTCTCGCCAGATGGAATGCTCTTAGCGGCAGCGGGTCCCGATGCCGTCACGGTATGGCATGTCGAAAAAAGGGATATTCCGCTAGCCTCGTGGCGCGCCAGTGCCTGGCCGGGAGAAAAATGGAACCCGGGTATAGACGGCGAGTTCAGTCTCGGTTGGGACCCAGACAGCACGAGACTGTCAATTGCTCTCGGAAACCAGGTTTGTCAAAAACAACCAACAGTCTCTGCGTTCACTAATTCTTCTGCAGATCGCAATCATCACGGTTCCACGGTAGCAAGGAGCATCTGCCCTCCGATGCAAAATGCGTTCTCATGACCATACAGAGATCGCGAAAAAAGCAGGACAAAGTCTCTTAAGATGCTATGATGCGTCCAGATAAGCAAGTGCCGAGCCGATTGCGCATCGGAGTCAATCGTCCGCGAACCCCAATGTCATGAGGAGCGCAAGGCGGGGCGCGGGTGGAGTCTGGGGCGGCGCCTCTTTCGGGTGCGGAGTTCAGTCCATGCTGATAGGCTGAAGGCACTAGTTAAGCCTGTCAACCGTGTGTCTGTACCGGTTGTGATGCAGGCCATGCGATCCACCTACCTAGCTCGCGGTGGATCCGTTGTTTCGGCAATTACACGATGCGATCTATTTTGACCTTGATGGGGCGTACTCGGCGAAGCGATGCTTATAACAGTTCGCTGTCGCCTCCCTTGCGACTGATATCCTAGGTCTCACTTCCGTTTCCATCATTGTACATCATACACGTCTTGAGCGTAAACCTTGAATAGTGCTTGAAATTCTAGAGTCAAGTCGCGCATCGCCTCTCGTTGCGCATAACACATTTCTACTTTCCAATCTACAATGTCAGCCATACCGAATCTCCCTACCGACGTATCGCGTTTGCATGCAAACGGTGCAGCCAAGCCGTCTTTCAAGCTCAACAATGCGCCGGTAGAGAACCTAAGACGTTTGAAAGTGATTGTTATTGGCGCAGGATATTCGGGTATCTACTGTGGCATCCGGATACCTGAGAGGTTGAGGAATGTGGACCTCGTCATCTACGAGAAGAATGCTGGTGTTGGGGGCACGTGGTATGAAAACAGGTACGCAGAATGCCTATTGGACGTGCCATCTTCGAATATGCCGACCACTGACACTGACGTAGATATCTCGGTTGTGCATGTGACGTGCCTTGTTAGTAAGCTCTAAACAACACCGTGGTGATCGTTGCTAAGACGAAAGCTAGCACACTCGTATCAGTATACCTTCCAGCCGAATCCCAACTGGTCTTCCCTATACGCCCCTGCTGCCGAAATCCAATCGTACCTCCAAGATGTATGCCAAATGTACTCTGCAGACAGGTTCATCAAACTACGCCATCAAGTCGAAGCGTGTCACTGGGATGACAAGACTGCCAAATGGAACATTACCGTTAAGAATCTGGCGACTGGTGAGACGATCCACGACCAGGCAGACGTCTTGATTCAAGGACGTGGCAACCTCAACAACCCTTCTTGGCCCGACATAGATGGGCTTGACACGTTCAAGGGCGAGGTGATGCATTCAGCAACCTGGAATCAGAGGTAGTAGACCCTTCTTACCATTCAGCCAAATCAACTAAACCTAAATACAGCTACGACTTCGAGAACAAGCGGGTAGGCGTTATCGGTTCCGGTTCCTCTTCTATTCAAATTGTACCTTCACTGCAGCGACTACCGGGAACGCATGTCAGCACATTTGTGCGTAGCAAGACATGGATCTCGCCTCCGTTTGGACAACAGCTCTGGGACAAGTACGGCTTCCAAGGATCGACAATCCCAAAGGAGATGCGCGATCGTTTCGCCAATGATCCAGAGTACTACCAAAAGTTCCGACTCTCGGTCGAAGAAGACGGAAACGGTATTCATGCGGTCACAATGAAGGGAACGGAGATGCAACTTGGGGCAAAAGAGATGTTTAACAAACACATGAAGGAGAGGTTGAAGAGCAAGCCAGAAATCTTCGAGGCCCTTTTACCTTCTTTCTCGCCTGGATGTCGTCGGTTGACACCCGGTCCTGGATATCTCGAGGCATTGACACAACCCAACGTCGCGTTTGTAACATCGCCCATAACACATATCTCGGAATCTGCCATCCACACGGCCGACGGCAAAGCGCATGAAATCGATGCCTTGGTATGCGCAACAGGCTTCAAATCATCGGCTCCTCCTCCATTTCCCTTGACTGGCAGCAACGGCCTCACCATTACAAAAAAATGGGAGAAGCGCGCTGTAAACTACCTCTCGCATTCCTTCGCCGGTTTCCCTAATCTCTTCACTATGCTTGGCCCCAATGCAGCAATCGGCTCCGGCAGCCTAACGACCATGATCGAAACGGTCGGAGACTACATCATCAAAGCGATCCGCAAGATCCAAAAAGAAAACATCGCTTCCATAGTCGTCAAAGAGGCGCGCGAAAGAGACTTTACAGAATACATCGACGCATACTTTGAGGGCACTGTCTTTGCTGAAGAGTGCAGCAGTTGGTACAAGAATAAGGTTACAGGCGAAGTCGTGGGTCTCTGGCCTGGAAGTACACTGCACTGCGTCGAGGCAATGCGGAGCCCGAGGTGGGAGGATTTCGACTATGTGTATGTGGATGAGCTGGAAGGCGCACAGGACTCTGATAACGAACTCAATGGAGTGGGCAAGACGGCGAATAGATTGTCTTGGCTAGGCAACGGATGGAGCACTTTGCAGCACGAAGATAGGGATTTGGCGTGGTATCTGTATCCAGAGTTTTTAGATGTGCCTGTCGCGCCGCTGCCGGAGAAGAAGGAGGTCTATCGCATACGGCCTTTCTCGCACTAGGTATGTGCGGGATGGTGAATTATCAATTATTTTCTTTCAATTATGGTGCAAGGTACGTAATATCCTCTTCTTGCAATATAGATAAACTTAGCTTCAGAGAGTCATATTGCGTATATTGGGTACTTTGTACTAAAACGTCTCTTTTGTGACTAGCCTCTCCACGGTCCTTTGACAGTTCCGGACATGTACGAATCTAATTGGCAAGATCTGCTGCCGAACTCAAGTCAGATCCGCGGACAAAAGGTTAAAGAGCAGCATTCTGTTCGTGGAAATTTGGCGTATTCTACCCCGCGCCAGCCCTAGCGCTCCACCACTTCATCCGAGATCGTCATCATCTTTGATTTTCCACGTCCTCTACAGCTGACCACAACACTCTTTCCATGCCTCCCTGCAAAGCTCATGAAATAAACTATCCATTGCGTGTTCCAATCTGCGGAAATCAAAATGAGATTAGATATTAACGTCAGGTTTGTTCGACTGTCACTGCAATAGAACACAGATCTTCCGGAAAGGCTACCCTAGCTTCCTCGATATACACATGCAATATATGCCGAATCCACCATCCAGGTCGCTCCGCGCATCCGCCGTATAACAGTGCGTGAGACTAGAAGTTGGTCTAGCTGTTCTAGACTGATATGTCAAGCCTCAAGCAAATGTCAGCCATATAAAAAGGTACTCCGAAGCAGCCGTTCTGGCACTGTTGTGTGCAATCCCCTTCATTCCACAGCATCACCACTCATCATGAAGTTCTCCGCCACCCCTATTTTCGTTTTAATCGCAAGTATCGAGCATGCCACCGCCGTTCGTTTCCTCGGCCGCGTGAACCCAGCCACCCGTGAACTCACGTGGCCCGGAACAGGAGTATCATTTTCCTTCAGCGGCACCACCGCTAGCATCGGGCTCGAAGGAATATCCGGCTCCAACAGTGCTGAGCTCGTCGTCGACGGCGTCTCAACCGTCATCCTAAACGTAAACGGAACCTCCATCAACACACCCTCTTCACTCCCCCGTAGCCAACACACTGTCACCCTCCGCAAACGCTCCGAAGCCCTCTTCGGCACCATAACCATCGGCAACATCACCACCCCCGGTGGCACCCTAACCGCCGACACATTACCCAAACGTAAAATTCAATTCATCGGTGACTCCATCACCGTCGGCTACGGCCTCGACGGCACCTTCCCCTGCACCAACGACGCCGCCGTAGAAAACAACCCACGCACCTACGCCGCCCTGGCCGCCACGGCCGTCAACGCAGACTACGACATCATCGCCTGGAGCGGCATCGGACTAACCAGAAACTACATCTCTTCCACCCCCGACCCCAGCGACACCATGCCCCAACGCTGGACCCGGTACGGCGCCCTCGACCCCCGCGGCAGCTACACCTTCCCCCCGTCTGCCACCCCCAACGCCGTCGTCATCAACCTCGGCACCAACGACTTTGGTTACCAAGCCGGAATCCGCGATCCCATTGTGCCGTCCAACTTCACAGCTGCAATGGTGAGCTTTGTGAAGACGATCCAAGGTCGTTATCCCAAGGCGACGTTTTTTCTGCTGACGAGTCCAATGCTGGGGGATGGGTATCCCGCTGATCAGATGCAGAAGACGGTGCAGAAGGGGGCGCTGGAGGAGGCGAAGAAGGTACTGAGTGGTAAGGCGAAGGTTGTTGTGGTAGATATTCCGACACAGGGGAGTGTGGTGGGATGTGATTACCACCCTAATGCGCAGACGCATAAGGAGGAGGCGGCAATTTTGGAGGCGGCGTTGAAGAAGGGGATGGGGTGGTAGGGTTGAGGTTGGAGGGTTGATGGGTGGATTGGAGATAGATAGGAGATAAAAAAAATGTAAAGTCATATGCTCTCTCTTCACCTTTTTCTGTATCTCGCCTGAATATATGGTCTTCACTTTTTCTCAGTCGGGAGATTAGAACTAGATTATAAATAATATCAAGACATGACATAACTATATTGAATACAGATGGTTTTTTCACCTTGTTTACCAATAGTATCTTGCTCCTTTCTTCTAAACTTCAGATATCAAAACAGTGCCGTACAGCTATAGGACATTGCTATCTTTTCACTAAATATGACACTTTTGTCGTATGCTCCGATGTTATCTTTATTCCCGCCTCTTTGATTTCACTGAGCGAAAAAATACACTGCAACGGTGCTCAGAGCTTTTCCAAAGGGTTGGAAGGGTTGATTTTGAAAGAAGGTTAGATGGTATTATCTCTTAATGGGCGGTGTGGGCGAGTAGTCCATGTAAAAGGGGTGGGTAGAAGAACAAGTCATATATTTAATAAGTGAGCAACGAATGAGAGTTTATTATTTTATGTTTCATCTTTCTCTCAGTGTCTGGTCTTGGGATATAGAACTGCTGGTACTAGCTCTATTTAATTCAACTGCAATACATGTACATAGAATGCTATTATCTGTGAGTTCTAGGTGACGCAAGCGCATAATGAGAATAGTGAAATACTAGAGAAGGTAAGAACGTAATACAAACTATGTTTTTGTGAGCATGAGAGATCAGTATGTTAGGGGTATAGGTCTTGATGTAAGCTTGCGCTAGGAGATATGAATTATCTACGATTTTTGTCACTGTGTAGTGGATCTAGATTTCATTGCGTGTACTATGCGAAGGCTAGGGATTCTTTCTAATTGCAAATCTGCTGCGTCATTTTCATCTTTTAAAAACCTTTAGATGATGTAGTTTTGGGTGCCTTGGGTCAACTGTACTATAGTACTAGAGTTGCTACTATATTTGGAGCGCACAGTGTAAGTCACCGGTACTATGGGAAGAAATTGGAGAACCTACACCTTGTTGAAAGTAACATTCAAACATATACTGTATTCCAATAATAAAAAGGCAATCATTTACTCCTTACGCGGTACATGAGTGAAAATCCCATAGAAAAAGAAATTGGTCTACCCATAATCTCTAGCTTAAAAGCAGTGAAAGCACACTCTTGGTATGTCCGGACAAATCTGTAACTTCTCCAAAGTAAAGGTGTTTTTAAGTTGAATATGGTACTCACTCTCCATACTTTTGAAGGTTTCAAAAGCTCACTCCTGGATAATAACTCACGGTCATCGGACGGAATTCAGACGTTCTTCTACAAACCCTGCTACCACTTCTCCCATATTATAGATACCTGATCATATTTGAGAACATCCCGGTGATTCTGAATGTCACTCATGACGTACAACGACAGCACCCTGGTGGTTTCGATTCTCAAGGCCACGAATATTTGCTTTTTGCCGTCTTGTCGTCATCATGACCCCTCTCTATAACTCCCCAATAGATACGCCTGTCATACCCCAAACACTGCACTATACACGATACACAACGCACACCAGCCGTGTGATACTCGCATTCACAATCTACGACCAGTCCTTATCACGCCACTGAGGTACAATACGTCTTAAGACACACCATACATACCATGGCTTACCACTTCCATCAGGCCATCTATACAGAAGCGCGGTAACCTGTAACTATGCCATCATACTGATACTACTTCAATGGTGCCCAATCTATTAGAAACCCACATACTATATCTAAAATCCACATCCTTACCACATCACAGAGCGCACACAACGAAGAGCGACCCCCACGCCCTATCCAACCTTGTCACATCGGCTGTCCGCTTCCCACGATGCTCGCCACCTCCGATCCCCATAACCTCCAACCCCTACCGCCGCTCGCACCTCTTACCACAAATTTGACCACCCCATCGCGACGACCCATGCCCACCAGCATCACGACATCCACATAAAAGGCCCCACCAAACCATCGGGCCGAATCCTGCGGCGCGCCAAAATACGGCTTCTTCCCGAACACCCCGTCTCAAAGTCTCCATCTTACAATACGAGAAGATTAGCCCTCCCCGGCTGCTTACTGAAGATGCTGTAAGCAAAAAGAAGCGCGGTATTTTTGTCTCGTCAGCAAAACGGCTGACGCGCCTGGATTATTGCAAGCGAAGATGACGCACTTTGTGTACCACGTGCGTCCGTACGTGCGTGCGTAAGACCAGAGAAGAAGAAAAGAAGCACAAGGGATCAAAACATGATCGCCCCGTTGGATACGAAGGGGAAGGTATATACGACGCACAGGTTGGTAGTACCGAGCTATTGCCGGATCGACCGCTCCGACCCTCATACGGGAAGCCGTTGGGTGGAAATCCTTGAGCCATTCATGGAGGTACAAAAAAGGAATGCTGGTTGTGACGATGCTTATGGTGATTATGATGAGGGGGGTAGAGGAGAGCGACAGCCCGAATACTACATACATGCCCTGTCAACGGCCCGAGTCGCGTGCGCGTCTTGGTCTGGATGCTTCTTTCCTTCTACCGCTCTTCGGGCTTCCCGGGCTTTCCGAAGTTCCTGCCGAACTGGGGACTAACATGTCGAATCTGCATGAATGTTTCTGAGCCTCATGTTTTGTGCTCGTCATGTGGTGACGTACCGGTACCTGTGCTTGTTGCAAATGTCACCTGGGCGCTTGTTGGACTCGTAGAGGGAGAGAGCATCGGAGGTACTTGATCTCGTGTGGAGTCCGAGATTTGATTAATCGCCGGGAAAATGGGTAGGCGATGGCTCTAGATCGATCGAGCCTTGCGGTCGCTGCACTGCACCACTGTACAACGCACTGCTCACTGCCCAAGGCCAAGGATCGTGAATAAGGTACCTGGTACCTTACCTATGTATCTGACCCACTGTTGGTAGACGGAGCGGGCCAGGGTCCAAGCCGGCTCTTTGCTTACTGCCCGTGTACAAGACTACGGTCGAGTACCGGCCACACGTGCATCCTTACATGGCGATCTTGCGCAGCAGGCATTTTGCATTTCGGTGAGACCGCCAAATTGACAACGGAAAACGGGGACATGGAACCTTCCAGCTCTTTTTCTTTCTTGGATACTCATCATCGCTTACCCTGGACCATTTTGCGTACTTCTGAATCTGGGTAAATCTCCGATGGGGTACAGAGTCGTGTTTTTGGTGGTGGTGTTGTTGTTGTTGGTTGCTTCTGTGCATTCGTACCGGGACTAACTTAGCATGGCGGTTTTGGTACCACGTACACTCGTCTTATCCAAAATCCAACTGTTTAACATTAACAATTAATGCAAAGAGCACAAACATTAATGTATCGAGATAAAAAAATAACTCACACCCAACTTCACACACTACTCCAACTAAAATTCAGGCTCCATTGGCCCCCTCCCCTCGTTCCACCTGGACCCCATGGGGCTAACTCCCCAATGCCCCAACTCTCCAAACTAGATATCAACACCCAACGACTCACCTCCCCTGCCTTGCCCCGCATCCAGCATCTCCGAAAACTCAACCTACAAGCCTCTCACACCTCACATGCTAGGTGTCGTGTAATAAAGCCGGTAGCGAGCTCGAAAAAGCCCAGGGTACTTACAAGGTAAACTATCTTTGCAGGATCAAACTAGAGCTGTTGCGGATACATGCGGAAGAAAGGGAGCTTAGCCTTAGCTTACTTTCCTCGCTTGGGTTTTTAACATTTCGACTCTGAGGCGCGGTCTTTCCAGCCGGGATGGACCCATGTTTGCAGCTAAAGTAGCACAGTGGGGTAGTTCTTTTGCTAGGAGAACAAGGGTGGAATTGCGAAACGGCGTAACAGAAACTCTACTTTGATGAGGAGCATGGATGGATGCGTGATTTCTTGACATTGGTGTCCGGTTGATGCGTTGCGCTGAGATGAGTCAAGATCGGTTCCGCGGCTGTGTACGTTTGGACTGGGGACAGGGGAGGGTTGGGGGAAAGATGTGGATTCTAGTTCGGTAATAAGTGGTCATGTGAGGGATATGGCGCGGGGGAAGGAGAGCGATTGACTTTTGCCAGGATGGCTCGGTTCACGGTTGTATTATGTGATGGGTATGTTTTTTGAGGTTTGACGACCAGCATGGCGGCAAGATGATGGCATGTCACGACCAGCACATCACACGACGGTGTGAAATGTCACTCTGGCCAGAATTTCGGAAAGGAGGTGCGACAATCTGGACCAGTTTGGTCTTCTGCATACCTACCCAACCGGACAAAGGACCAGAATTGGACACTTCCCCATACTTGTGCTGATGCGACTTTTTGGTTTCCTCGACAGCATGAATCAGTGTCTGGGTCTCCTCAAACATGCCAACGCGGTAGCGAGTGACCTGTACAATCGTACTCGGCATGGCTTCCCGCACACAGGTGAATCACGCTCTGGAGGCCTAACACGTCTTTCATCACCGCATTCCTCATGCCCCACTATGCAGACCCCTCTTTCGCAAACTGGACCCTTCATCTCCTTCAAAGTTAACAGCACAAGCTCGCTGGACCCCTTCTCCCTGTCCAAGATGGACCTGCATTTGCGCATCTCCCGCCGCGCAGCTGCAGGGCGTCTTGACCCCTAAAGTTACACACGCCTCGTCGCGAGACTCATGCGAAGGCTTACCTAGTGTTCGCCTATTCACCAACCTAAGGTCACACTAATCTAGCCAAAAGCCATAGTGTGCATCGGGTATTGCTTAGACTTGGTGATGTACGCACATCGGATGATTATGCTCTAGCTTTCGCACTTGGACCTGCAATGCCGACACGGGAAGATCATTACGTATCACGGAGTCGATACCGAGACTACAAGCATGGACAATTGTGATTTCCCACCATGATGTAGCACGGCTCTGAAACCTACCGTGTTGAGTTGGACAACCACAGGAAATATTAATAGCGAATGGACCAAAGTTGACTCGGCATGATCGGTCGATCTGATCACTTGGCTCACCATGAGACTGGGAAGTGGATGGTGAGTGAGATGAATACATGGAGTTTACCGTGAACGGTTTGGGGATGCGGCACTAATACAGAGCACACCGATCTCAATTTGGCGGTTGCGCGGCTGCACTCACAGGCTGTATTCGTGTACGGCTGTACTGCGATATTACAAGGCTGATCCGGTCGAGTCCGCTCGGTGATCACATGGCGTTTCCCCATGACTTTCGTAAATGTCGACGCGTCGAAAACGATGCGCAAGCATGAGCGATCACATCAGTAAGATGCTGCAGTTGATCAAACTTTGTTTGGGCGGGTTTGACGATGATATAAAGTTCGCACCGCCCCGAACCAAGAGCTGACTAGCCTAATTAGCTCGCATTATGCAGCCATGAATGGCGTGGCTTGCCGCGAACATGTCAAAAGCGGTTTGACAGCGGATTTAGTTTAGACGCACCTGCCACATGTTTTGGCGGGACGAGGTGCGATTTAGCAATTGTAATCTCACTAATGCACAAGCAGTGCGACGTCACGTGCAATGGCTTCTCTACCACATGCACCATCGCGCAATGCGATCTACAGATCATCGTTAAGCTTGTGATATGCTTGTGATATGCTTGCTGTTGTTTGAAGAGCAACCAGCCCGTGATGCTGACCCCTACGCCTGTACCGCCTGTAACGCCTCATGCTCATGATCCAATGAAAGTTCCTATTTTAGTCCACAGGTGCGTGTTTGAAGAGGAAACTAACACTTTCGCCGTTGTGAGTACGTCTGCAGGCTTCGGCAAGCTGTCCAAGATCAGAACGCATCCCCGCATCCGGAGTGTGTACTTACAGTTGGGCTGATATCAATCGTCTCAATTCGATCGCAGAGCTCCTTCTTGTCCTCATGGGGTACTGTGTTGGTCACAACAATCTTCTTGAGCTTGCTGCCATTGAGCGCTTCGATAGCATTGCCGCTCAGAATTCCGTGGGTGACGATGGCTAGTGCATCCTTTGCACCTTCGGAGATGAGGACGTCAGCTGCTTTGACAAGGGTACCACAAGTGTCAGCCATGTCGTCGACCAAGATGGCTGTTTTGCCTCGAACGTCTCCGACTAGCACCATTCGAGAGACCTCGTTGGGGCGTGTTCGCTCCTTGTGAATAAGGGCAAAGCCCAGATTGAGGCCATCGGCGATCGAGGTTGCTCTGAGATGAGTTAGTTCAAGGATGTTTTCGAAGATAGGACGGAGAGCAGTCCGACGCTCCGTTATGCGGACGTCTTAAGAGGGCACTGTTGTTCGATGTGCCGCTCAGCGCTACAAGCGTAGTATGACAAGCGGACGTAATAGACATGTCTTACCTCTTTGCACCGCCCGCATCCGGACTAACGATAACACAATCCTTGACATCGAGGTTCTCGCGGATCCACCTCAGCGTGCTAGGTTCGGCGTAAAGATTGTCCACGGGCACATTGAAGAAACCTTGAATCTGGCTTGCGTGCAGATCCATGGTGATCACGTGGTTGCAGCCTGCTGTCTGCAACATGTTTGCCATGAGCTTAGCAGTGATGGGTGCTCGGGACTTGTCCTTCTTGTCCTGGCGAGCATAAGGGAAGTTTGGAATCACAGCAGTAATGCGGCGAGCTGATGCCGTCTTGCACGCGTTGATCATGATGAGTAATTCCATGAGCGCGTCGTTGATGTCGCCTGGTGGTGTAGATTGCAGGATGAATACTACGATACGGTCAGCTTGGAGCCAGCGTACGCAAAGCCACGCTCCTGCAGACGGGAGAGCATACCATCTTCATCTCTGACAGACTCTCCAATAGTTACTGAAGTCTCTTGGTTTGAGTATTGGAGCACGAGGATCTTCGTAAGTTCTATGCCGAGTCTGCCGCAGCATTAGTAATGCTGTGCAAAACATGTGCTTGACGGTATGCAGCGCTCGTCACTCCACATGACGAGGAGTAGCCACATGCAAAGACGCTACACATCAGCGCGAAGTGCATCGTATGGGCAAAGATGCCCCGATAGCAGGTGAGGTTTGTTACCCGCGGGCATGTGCATGCCAAGTCATAGCCATAGACAAAGGCAGCATAAGGCGTGCCGAAGTTACTTACCGATCCGCAACAAGCCGGGCAAGCTCAGGGTAGCTGTTGCCAGTTAGCAACTTGATGCTGTTTGTAGCCATGTCGATGAGGTTGAAGGAAGATTATGTCCCCCTCTGAAAATCATCAAGTAGTCGCCCAAAGACTGAACTTTTTGACGGGCACGGACCATGCGGAGAAAGGTGGCGCCGACGGAAAGAGCAGTCTAGCCGCGGTAGGGACCGGCGACGAACCCCCACCACTTTCACTTATCCTGTGCAATCTTAACGCAATCTCAGTCAAAGTCCAGATGCCTACTTTTGCTAAATCTTCGTTTTACTAACTATCATATACATGTGTAAGGAATATCTGGTTGCCCTTGTCCCATCTGTGCGAGGCGAGGCCCGGCGAGGCCCTAGTTCTCCTCTGAAACTTGACTGCGGCCGGGAACCGTAATCGGGCTTGTTGGCTTGCTACATCTCCGAAAAACTTATCGACATCGAGTGCTGTGGCCTCACTAGAGTCACGGCCATACATCATCCCCACTTCACTTGAACAAGGGTCGGCGCAAAGGAATGAACGTGGCCACTGCAAGAACGGGCAATCCTGAATCCTGCATGCGCGCGTGGCGTTCATAGACCCCCCGGTAATTTGTAGTAACGACTACTTGGGCTTCCCCTCTCATGTTCGTGCCCCACCAAATCCCGTTTCATCCGGTACATTTTAAGACGTCACGGTGCCGTTGAAACATGCTATCACGGCTGTACTACGGCCGACTCTTCAGCCTCACCGCGTATCTCGTTGAAACAACCTTGGGCCTCATTTCGTGCCGCCGGTGAAGGCGGCTGGGTAGATAGGATCTGAAGGTAGATCGTTCACTATTGTCGTTACAGTTGCCGTCGCAGGCGTACTTATACTGAACGTAATACCGGCCCGGGGTTAGTGCTGGTGGGACCAACGTGCTCGAGGCACCACAATGTTTCCAAGTTCGGCAGGGAGGATGCGGAGCGCCACAAGTGCGTATTGGAGATAATTCAAGTGGGTCAGAGAGTACTTGGCTCAAGATGGATGGTATTCTCTATTGTATCTACCCCTGCGCCTGCAGGTCGTATCTTAACACAAACTCGGTGCGCCACAATGCAATTCGTCAATGCTCCAGTCGTGAAACATCCCCTAGCTAAGTTGTCACCGATTTTGAACTGGTGATGTAAGAGAAAATATTGATGTGCAAAGAAGCTACCTAAATATACAAAGGGAACGCGGAAATAATCGGGTATAGATGCCAGTATAGACAGTGCAGCAGAAGTTGGTAAGGGATTCTATCCCGTGCTGTGACAAATGAACCAAACTCCAAGGAAATAAACAGGTATTGGTAGAAAGAGCATATGCAAAGGCCGTAAGGGTACAGAGATAGCAATCGTGATGAGCTGGGTGCCGTATTAAAGGTGTACCAAAGAAGGTAAGATGATGGGTATCGTCTAAATGGGAGTGTAGTCGAAGGAACGTTTGCCCGATGGTTCTAGCACGTCTGCTCGCACATCTTACCGATGGCTCTCTCAATGTCAGAGAAGAGGTTCAACACGTGGCCATCGGCGTAGATCTTGATAGACTCTGTCTCTTTACGTTCAGTACGGGCAGGGCTGTCGAGCTTGACAGGACTCCGCGGAGGCGTGGTCTCGGCAACGTGGTCGCGACTGCTAGGGTCTAGTACAATGGCAGCGGCAACGTGCTCGAGCAATTTTTGCCGGAGGCGTAAGCGGCGATTCTCGGCCTGCTCTAGTTTGAGGATAAATTCATCAATGGAAATGTCCAGTTCGGCAAGAGCTTCTTCCTGTTTGAGGAGTGATTCACGGGAGAAGATGACCGTCTCTCCACGCCTCAGGTAGGCGATCATACGGCCATGAAGCTTCTGGCGGCCCGCGCGCAGAGACTTGTAGGTCTTCCGGAGGTAGTCGCAGCGTTCGTCAAGTGCTCTGAGTTCCTGAAAAGAGATTAGTGATGATAGTTGAAGTAGGACTGTGAACAACTTACTCTTGACAATGATGCTACGTCCCGCTTGTTGAGAACTTCGAAGTTGCCGGCCTGATCATATGCTTGCTTGTGCAATAGCTTCTTGTCGCCGTCGCTCATGCGTCTTGAAGCTTCAGGCACTCGCATACCTTGAGGCAGCTTCCATGGATCCGGAGTAGGTTCGGGTCCGTCGGCTTCGGACACAGTCCGGCTTCGCTCCCTCTTACTGTTGCGTCGCTTGGGTCGGCCTCTTTCCATGATGGACGACTCCGACATGTTCCGGTTGTGAGATGACGATTGTGTAGCCATGGGGTCCTTCCTTTCCGTTCGCGGCGAGTTTCGGGTGGAGGCTGGTGATGTGGCATAGAAGGGGTTGGTAAAGGCTGAGGGTGGTGTAGGAAGAGGAACACTGCCATTTGGTGATCGTCGCAGGTCCGATGTATTGAAGGGAGTGGTCGATGCGGGAGTGGTGAACTGTGGCTTCATTGCTCTTGAGTGGAGAACGAGTGGAGCGGGCGATGCTTTGCGCTCAATGGCAGGTGACTTTGGAGGTACTTGGGGTGGTAGTTCAGGTTCTTCCTCGATGTTTTCAGTTTCAAGCTTCAGTAACGGTCTAGGCGTTGCACCAGGACTGAGGATCGGGGACAGCGGCCTTCCGGTTCCACTGATCATTTCTGATGAGGGAGGACCGTTGTTTGCATACGATGAGTTGGCAGAAGGGCCAGTAACACAAACCATCATAGCATCACCAAAAGGACCAGTCCTCCAGTTTGAGCCTGGAGCACTGGTCGACCGTTCATGGCCAAAAGCCTCATATGATTGCTTGCGTAGAGGGGGTCTTCCCGGAATAGTGGCTAAAGAGTGGTTAGGCATTGGTGGGAAACAGCAGCAGCTGGAAAGGTCAAACTTACGAGAATCGATTGACATCTCTTGAACTGTCGTCATGGTGTTTCCAAGTTCGGGGACACTGACTTTCCTTCTTCTTGACAGAGAGCCAGTACGTTGCCAGAAAGGTAGGCTGCTTTCGGGTAAGACGGCAGTGTCGCTGAGAGAAGTAGAAGAACGGCCAACTGCGAGAGCAGCGAGCTTGTCGGAAGAGTGGCTTGGCTTTGATAGTCCGACTGGGCTCTTTGCTGAAGGCCAAAGTTGATATTTTGAAGTAGTGGGTGGTTGAGTGAGGGCTGAGGGAGCAGCACCGGGCGAGTTTGAATCTCTGGAAGGCTGGAGGTCCTTGAGTGAGCACGAGCGTCGGGGTGGGTGGTGATTCATCGGGTCGAGGGGTCGAGCTGGGCGGCTTACCATGATCCTGGAGGAAGTTTCCAGACTTATATAAATGGTCGACTTGTCGGTGTCGGAACGCATGCAATTGGCAATGTGTGTCATGGCGGACGTTTGAGGTTGCCGTGGCTCACTGTCTGAAGTACAAGGTTGATGAGACTCGGGAGGCGGGTATGTCAAACATGAGGGCTTTCCCTGCATGTATGTGGTAAAAAAGACACGGCTGTGGGTCAAGTGTGGCTCGCAGGCACTAGTAGTGATAGCTGCAGCAACGAGGAGGGCCCCTGCTACCAATAGCAGAAAAAGTGTCTAGGCTGTCGGCGGCGCAGCCAGGAGCAGACTGGCGGGCGTTGGATGAAACACGGGCCTAACCTCGCATGTCTGGCGATTCGTGGGGTAGGCTATACGGTCGCGCAATTAAGGTCCAGGGTGATCTGCACGATGTGCTTCGCGGCACCACCCTTCCATGGAGCACAACGGATGGTGCCTCTTCGGTGCAAAAATGCTGATCTGCAGGACGGTGCGGAGGCGAGTATGTGCAAAGCAAAGTAGTGAAGCAGGATGCGAGCTGGTATCTACAGTACCTAGTGCGCCGACGATGGCGCACCTGACGCAGCTGAAATCAAGGCACCACTCCGACGACCATCAAACCACGACGCATGCAAGGCGGCCGTCGAAAGGGCATAGGGCATGCGGTTTACCATGCCGGTCGGTCACGCCCGAAAGGGTATGAAAGCCGATGCTGAAGGCTGCGAGCATGGCTCTGGGGGATGCATCCGTCAGGCAGAGCCATGTGGTGTTAATTAAGAAGGAAACATGTGCCCCGTGCAGGACTTGGGCCAGTGCAGAGACGTGTGCAGGCAATGTGCAGGTGAAGGTGAAGCGGAGCGGACAAGAGCATACGGTATACAGTACATACATGTACACGGTAGTACGAGGTGTAAGATTGTTACTCTGTACAGTACCCGGTGCATGGGGCGTATACGACAGCTGAGGTTGTGCCCGGTGCACCTGCCAGTGTCTGGTTGGCTGGAGCGTACGCGGAGGGAGGGAGGAAGGTGCGCGTCAGGAACGGGGGCAGGTGCGAAGCGAACGTTTAGGTGCAGCCGGGGCACCCATTGGCTGCGGAAGCGGCCTCGTGGCAGCCCTGGCTACTGGAAGCAGCTGGCAGGGTCATGACGGCACAGTAATAAGCAGGCACGACTCGCAAACACCAGGAATTTTCTAGACGATGCCGCTCAAAGCTTATCGTCGCCTGGTGAGACTTTGTGAGGATTGCTAGCGAACGGCAGCATGGCTAGCAGCGCTGAGCGCCTCAACCCTTATACGACGGCCAAATATCGACAAAATCCCACGGCATCTTCCACGCTGCAGGACCATGAGAGTTCCCCTGTCGCGTTTGGGCACCGTCGCACAAACTCCACACTGGACTGGATAGCTGCGCGAACCATGCCTTGACGTCGGCTAGGTAGGCTGGTGTGCAGCTTTCATCATCTAGCAGCCCTGATTTCACCTGTTTGAACTCACCGAACCCTCATCTCGTTCTCATTTCCGCGCCGTGACCATGATGAATCCATCCAATGTTGTCGACGAGCAACATGACTAGAGCTTTCATCTCCCGACTGCAGCACATATAGGCGAGGCCCCAGCCTTATAGAGTAGCCAGGCCTGAGCCGTCGCGGCCTGTCGCTTAGATGTAGGCGAAAGCGGTTCCGTGCCCAGAAAAGAGACGATCACTTGCTCTACACAGCACTCCAATGTAAGACGTACTATCAGCAAACTAGCACTGCTTCGTCACCAGCCTCAACAGCGCCCTGGCCGTCACTTGCCGATTCCGCTCAACGGTAGTGGTAGCGTGCTGCTCCAGAGGCAGCCAAGTGACCGGTGGGTCCCAGACACCGTCTTTCCCATCTCTTGCTCAGTAAACTTTGCGCCATAGCATTAGTGCCTGTGCCTAGCTAATCTCTGTCACACACCAGCAGACGACTGACTTGCTTCTCACCCACGCCAAAAGCCGGCACGCCAGCCGTCAGCGGCCAGCGGCTAGTTCCCAGGCGAGGGCAGATGCATCTCAGAAGAGACCCGCCCATCGGCCACAAGCCATGGCTGTCCGCCGTCGAGACAAGCCCGTCGCAGACGTCCACTGATCCTGCCACGCCTCGGTGCTGGGCGACGGGGAAACGGCCTCGTTTGCCGAGAGTTGCTTGCAACCCCCACGAAACATTACTACTTTCCATCATCGACTTCTGCGCTTCTGGCAATGCAAACTATTGGAAACCGTCGACGACGCTCTAGCATCGTCACCTTCATCCATATGCGCCCAACTATACATCTGCGCTTTGCAGCTTCCCGCTCCGCTCCCCTGCAAGGTTTTCCGACATCACGCCAAGCGAATGCCGTCATGACCAAGTCTTTGCAAGGGACTGCTGCACGCCATGTGCCAGCTGCGAGCGCAGAGTCAATATCATCCGATTCGCACCGCATACGGTTACTACCTTGCCTGTTCCTCATCAAAAATACATTGTTATGCGGGTCGACGTGCTGCACCTCATTCTCACTCGGGCCAGCTTCCCAGAAAAAGGACTTTGTGGCTTTACCCAGCTCCTCGCTGCCTCGTGACTGTCCTAGGTGGACCTGCGTCCCATCACTCCAACGTAGCTTCGGTAGGTTCGCAGGCGACGAACACTACCCAACGCGTAGCAACGTGCAGCAACCATTGCTCCACAACAGATGATCTCGCCCTGCTTCTCCACTGCAAGTGGCTGATTGCGGTATTTCTCTGCGAGCTCAACCATCAACTCCCTCACGCGCCACTCACCCAGCGCACTTCATCACACAGTTGCATGCTGCGAACCTTGGTTCTGCTTGTTTCAAACCATGTTATCTTCCTGCGGGTGTCGGCACGCTTCCCTTTGATCACCCGGAAACTACTCGTCGCCCATCTCCATACGAAGATCCTATTGAAACGGCAAAAGGGAATAATTTCAATTGTCGCGGCGAGTACGTGTGCTGGTCTATCAGTGTGATATCGCGACCTGCCCACTTCCATGTTACACCCAACCAAAGATCAGGCTTCCTGTGAATACATACAAGGGCCGCTATATGCCTGATTCCTGATGTTGCATTGCTGTCGTCGTCACAATCACCTCATCTCCGATGTCTGGATTGATGGATGCCGCAAGTTGATGTCAAAGGAACAGCCGTTGTATTGCATTGGCCATGTCTATCAATGCGCATACGGATACGCTGAGTCGTACGCGGTACATTGACAGCCGTGCCGCTGCGAGCAGACACGACTCGTGGAGATACCACTTTGGGTATGGGGTACGATATTCCGCTTATCACCACAAACGTCTCCAAGGCTGTCCCTTGTGATATATCCGGAATCCTGCGTTGCTTTGGTGATGAAAAACAATACTGACAAAATGACGTAAGCACGATTCCCTAGCTTGGTCTCAGTCTCCTTCCTTCCTTCTTCATCGCATTATTGTCGCGGCAAAGACACGGCTATTGCTACAAGAACTCCTCTTGTAGGGTATATCCTTACTCTTCCTTTTACTCTTTTGTCAATTTCAACTCCCGTGTTCAGGTACCGTACTCATTCTATGGCTAGATACAGCTTTGCCTCATAAATGCGGCTAGCTCGGCGTGTTCGATTTTGGCCCTGACACAGAAACCATGTGGCAAACTTGAATGCACCAGTCCTGCGGCATTTTCATCTTCTGACTCTTTCTGTAGGATCCAAGAGTAGGAAGGTCAAGCGGCCACAAGGGTGTTCCTTTGCACATGTCACGTTCTCATTATGATGCATCAGCGCTCCATCTGCAGCTGTTCGCACTCCAATCTCTCTACCTGCAGTTAGGTAAAGATAATTGTCACGTTTGCATTCCAACACAGGATGATCGAAAATGGACCTTCGATCCGAGGGTCATGCACAAGTTGCCGTTTCGATGTCACTACTCGTGGGTCCATTAGCCCACTACAGGTTTTACCCCAGATATGAGACGCAAGTTGAAATCTTAGGCCCTGTAAGAATACATGAGAACACACCTATACGGCACTCGGGAGGTCTGGACGCCGACTGGAGTCTTGTCGCCATCAGTCAGCAGACGAGAACTATCCAGCGATTTGAAATACTCCGAAGTGGCGGAAGCAACCATTAGAAAGCAGTCGAGTACCCACATGTAATCGGTTCGACCAGCAATTGACGTCGAGCCCCAAATTACTAAGCAGTCGTTCATGCGCAATATTTATTTAAACGCGGTCGATGTCTCCTGATAAGATCTCCTCATTATGCGCAACTCCTTGCGTTAGGCTGCTTTGGTGGTGGTGGGCTGATCCTTGTCGGTATGGATTCTCATCTATGCTACGATCATTAATGCGCATAATGTAAGAGACGAGTACCCCAGCGCTGTATGCGTGAACATGATCTACGGAGTGTCCGAAGTCGCCGTTCAGCCAGTTCACATATTGGAGCAATCAGGCACCTGGTTCAAGTGAGATAAGTTGACAATTGGTCAGGTCAACGATCGTGGTGTATGGTCATATGAGATCAGGTCATAGTATAACTTAGCAGAGTATACCTGCCCTACTATAAGCGAGGAACACATAGGGTTCTGACAGAAAATCTGCGAACGGTACTGCAGCCCTATCGGCCCTTGAAAAAGCATACCAGAAAAGCAACCATGAAGCTACGCGAAGATAAGAAAAGCCACCCTCTTAAGATCAGATCTACCAGCCCTATCAGAGATGTCGGCGAAACTGGCATCTATTTCCGCCCCCAACCAACCCTCTCGAAACCACGAACCTGGCTGCCCGCAGAAAAACCACACAAAAGTCCCGTAGCCTCAACTTCCTAGACGACTTTTGCGAAAAGCCTCATCATCGCCGAACGTGAGATTTGCAAGTATGACGACAATGACGAAGAATTTTCTCTTCGTTAGCGATGATTTCAAAATCCTATCTTGCTCTTACTTGTCGTATTATCACAAGGACCATCGATACGACCACACGCATCGCCCCTCGATCCGACACCGAAGCGAAAATTGAAGCTAGATCCAAAGTCTGGGTCAAATGCAGAGTCAAAGACAAGCTACACTCGTAGCGCCGAACAAACGAAAGCTCTTAGAATGGGCCCTACTTCCATACTACCGCATGCACGACCGTTGGGTCCTCACACCCTCATTCCCCCAAGCGCATCCTTTCATACGCAATCCCCCCCATTCCCTTTCCCCCGCAAATAAACTTCGCACCTGTAACGTAAACGTTCAAACTTACCAAATTTGGCGAGTAAGATGGGCTGTCTATTTTTGGGCGCGACTAAATCTTCCTTTTTCTTGCTTCGAGAAGGAAAGTAGAGCTCGTCGGTATGCGACTAGGACTAGGTGCAGTCGATGGGCGCACGATTGCGTGGTGTCCGTATCGCATCGTGGGGCGCGTGGCGGACGACGGTGCGCGCGTGAGTCGGAGCGCGATGCGAAGGGGGTATATCAGAGCACATATAGGGGCGATAAATCATCATTGTCGTCGGGGCACGTGACGTGAGCGACGAGATTGGCTGTCGGAGGCTGTAGATCTTAGAGATCGTTGGGGTCTAGGAATGATCGTTCCGCATCTTGAACATAAGGATTTTGGGTAGGGGCGGGGGTGGGAGGGGAAAGAGGAGGGATAGTGAAGGAAGAAGTAGTGTGTGGGGGTGCTTTTTGATTTCTGACTAGGAGAATTGAGCGCGGGATGGCGTTTTGCTTGACGTACATGCGCAAAATGGAATGAGTAGACCGACATAGAGTATGAGATTTCTTGAATACTGTAAAACTCTTTGCACTCGGTGTTGAGTGGAGAAGCTTGGTATGCTCACATCAAATCATGGTTACAGATATTGGTACATAACATGGAGAAGGGATATCTGAGGAAAGAGAGGAAAACTAAACAGAACAGTGATACAACTATCCTACTTCAACATGCTCTTTGACCGTTTCGACCCCACAAGCAAATGCAATATGGCTGTTTGACCATACTCATATGCTTTTTTCCTTCCAGAAACCCGCAACAATTTCGAAACAACGTTTTGTCCCTTGGTTACAAACCCATCCATGTCTTCTCCCGTTCTTCTCGAAGCCCACCCAGCTCAACACTTTTCATGGGGCGCACCCAAAAAGCACCCAGCTAGATGGGTTTCCCCAGCCTCCACACCGCCATCAAACCACCCTGACCAGTACAGGCTTGCGCCACCCTCCCAGGCAAACCACCCGGCAGATCTCTCCTCCTCCTTCTGTCTGCTCACTCCCCTCAGAAAAAAAACACGGACATAGCCACACCCGCTCTTCCGATCAAGCCTCTCCCTTCCCAACCCGCACACTAACTTACCTTAGCTCAACGCCCAATCTCTCGACCAGCACGTTTCTCAGTCGCTCGTGCAGCTCATTAGTCTCCTCATTCGTCAGCGTGCGTTCCAAACTGCGGTAGTTGATGCGATAGCACATGCTTCTACGGCCAGTCTTGGGGTGCACGAATTGATCTGTTAGCCGCACGTCTTCGATGAGGTCGCCGCCGATTTCGCGGGCGATTTCCATGACGTCGTTCTCGTGGAAGGAAGAGGATTGTGGTGGTGGTATGGGACTGGCTGGTGGGATGGGGTTGTCGCCGTCTGGCGGGTTGCTTGATACAATGCCCGGTGCCTGGGCAGCAGCGCCTCCACCGCCGGCAGCACTTGAGGAGCTCTTGAGCCAGAAACTCACGTCTTTGAAACATGCGGGATATTTGCTAAAGGGGATGAAACGGCGGATGGGCTTCTGTTCGCTGAATTGCGATAGGAAGCGCTCGTCGCTTGACCAGAACAGACGGATATCAGGGATGGAATAGAGCAGCATGGCGATGCGCTCGAGACCAATACCAAAGGCCCAGCCTACGCGGTTGGAGACTGACGCATTGTCCAGGATGGGTTGGGAGACGATGCCACAGCCGAGGACTTCGAGCCAGTCGCCTTGCCAGAAGACTTCTAGTTCCCACGAGGGTGAGGTGAAGGGGAAGTAGGCTTCTACCCAGCGTACTTTGAGGGGTTCGTTGGGAGTATCTGAAGTAGTGTCCGAGGCGCTTTTTGCAGCGTTGAAAATTGTGACGACCATGTCTTCGAGACTGCGTTTTAGATGGGCGGCTATGGCTTCAACTTCTTCTGGTAAGTGGCCTGTTTGTAGAGGATTACGCTCAGAGTGGAAAGACGGGTTTGGGTCTTCGACGGCGATGTCGTGCTTGGGTATATCCTCTACGTCTTCCCAGATGATTTGGGCGAGGTCCTTGCCATCTTTTTTTGCTTGCTCCCGGTTCCATGTTCGTGCTCCTTCCATCTGGTGAAAAACAGGGTAATGGCTCCGGTCAATGGCGTCACGGCGGTAGACATCAGCACTGATGAGATAGCCTTCGCTTTCGTTGCTGCGGAAGGTATCGGCTTGGTGGGCGGAAGTGTGGGTTCGTAGTACGGTGTCCTTGTTCAGGTAGTACGTGTCTGTTCGACTGCGTCCGACGTGGTCCAAGGGAAAGCCTAGTGAGTCGAAGTTTTGCCCTGTGGTGACGATGGGGAAGAGCTCGTTATGCGTTTTGTAGCCTGGGAAGCGGGATTCGATGAGTTTCCGTGTTATAGTGAGAGGATGGTCTGGTTGTAGATGAAGACGTCGAGGGATGGCAGCAAGAATTGTGGAAGGTGTGTTCATCCACTCATCAGTTTGATAGCTCCTTCCTTCAATCTTGACATCTCTCGGAACTGATGCTAGATAGACTTAGATGTTGTCCTCGTGAAAATTGATTGCAACGGCTTTTGGATATGGAGATGACCAAGAAGGCCAGCGCATAAATCCAGCAAGATAGCTAGATGTAACGAACGCTATTTTCATAGTCATACAGCCTAGGCATACCGCGAATGAACATCACATGATAGCAACTTACTAGAAGAGTTGCATCTCACAGTATGTGGCCACAACCTCGACAATACCACCGGAATCCGTACCCTTGATGACGCATTCAAACTCAATTGACGGCAAATTGCTGTCGAGCACATCGGTATCCGCATCTTTGTAGCTACTGTTCCCGTAATGGCCGTTGTCGCTTCCACACAAAATCGCAACTCGCGGCGCCAAGCCCAGCCAGAAGCTCCGAGCTTAAATCCGAACGTGGAATCGCAACTTTCGCCGATGACGTCCGCGTCGAATTCTCGGTCTCTCAACTACCACCGAATCCTTTACCCAGCTTGACCCCATTTTTAAGGCTGCGAATCCCCGTCTGCTGCCCATGCTGTCGCTGTGCAGCACTTTTCACCCATCATGGCGGACTTGAAGAAAAAAGTGAGCTTGGCAGAGTTGCGCAAGAGCGAGGATGTGAAGCCCATGATGAAGACACCGATACATTATCCGTTTTGGTTTGGTGGCAGTGCAGCCTGTTTTGCGACACTCTTTACACATCCGCTGGATCTTGGTGAGATCTCTTCACCGTTGCTATGGAAGCAGAACTTAGGGACATTGCATGGCTAATAAATTGAGTAGTAAAGGTAGCCTACAGATTTGTCGCGTGTCCTCGATTTCGTGTATACTCATAACGTCAGGTCCGGTTACAAACCCAAGCGCTAAATGGCGTAAAACTAAACATGGTGCAAATGTTTACACATGTCATAAAAACTGATGGTGCATTGGGGCTATACAAGGGCGTACGCATTACATGGTTTCTATTTACGTGTTTACCCTAACGCGAATGTTAGATCTCTGCTGCCCAGCTACGCCAATTGACATATAGTATGACGCGATTTGGTGTCTACGAAACTCTCAAAGACCGCATGACGACAGCCAACTCGAAACCTTCGTTCTTCACACTTGTGGGCATGGCTTCAGTATCTGGTTTACTCGGAGGTATCGCGGGCAACCCAGGCGACATCCTCAACGTACGGATGCAACACGACGCCGCGCTACCCAAGGACAAGCGAAGAGGCTATAAGAACGCAGTAGACGGCATAATACGCATGTCGCGGGAGGAAGGTGTAGCCAGCTTGTGGAAAGGCGTCTGGCCCAATTCCTCAAGAGCAGTGCTCATGACCGTAGGACAATTAGCCACATACGACGGCTTCAAGCGTGTGCTACTAAACTACACACCCTTGAAAGATAATCTCTCTACCCACTTTACCGCATCCTTCCTCGCGGGCTTCGTAGCCACGACAATCTGCTCGCCCGTCGACGTGATCAAGACCAAAGTCATGAGCTCTAGCGAGAGTGTCGGCCTAATGAAGATCATCACGGATACCACGCGGGCCGAAGGTTTACGCTGGATGTTCAAGGGCTGGGTCCCGAGTTTCATCCGCGTCGGACCACACACTGTCCTTACGTTTTTGTTTTTGGAGCAGCATAAGAAGGTGTACCGGAAGTTCAAGAGGTTAGACTAGAACGGGGGTTTTCCATTGAGATTTCAGGACCTTGAGATTTGAGATTGTGGGGCTGCCATTTCTGTCCGCATGAGTCGGGTAGCCCTTATCTGGGGTATTATATGGTGCGAGGTTGAAAATGATATCCATCTGGGGTCGGGCGTTTTGAGCAAAGGCATCAATCCGGGTGTACACACGAGGAAGGTTGGTCGATATTAGAGGTATAGACAAGAAATTTTTGATAATCACTTTAGCCGCTGTGATATTGCAAGGTACTCCACGATTGCGAAAAGGCGGTCTGCCAGAGATGAGTCAAGTTTATTAGAGCCCAACTTGCTCGTTTGATCATCCGTACATGTGTGTGTGTGTGTGTGATGCGGATGCATGCTTCCGGGATTGCAGCTCCGTATCTTTGTAGTCCACCGGAGAAGTCCGTTTAACTGCGCTACAAGACAGGGACTATGACTACCCTTGATTCTGACTCATCGCTTACCTAGCAAATCCCCGAAAGCATCAAGTTCTATCCCTCTTCTGTCGTCCACATACACTTGCCCCCCTTTCTTAGCGATGTACACTGCTTTCTCTCCCGGACCATCTGTCCCGACCATCGTCCCACTCGGCTTCTCCTCATCTTCTCCCCTGTTTGCCCTTGTTACCCTTCCCCGCCTTGGCTTTCTTTGCGTTATCTTCCATCTGCTTCTTCTTATCCTTCGCTTTTAGCGTCGTCTTCCTCTGTTTACTTTTAACCATCCTCACCATCTCCTCCAAACTCTTCAGCTTCTTTTCCTTCTCCTTCTTTTCGTTCTCAAACGCCCTCTTCTGAGAGTAGTAATTGACCATGACTTTGCGGCCCGCTTGGTTCACAATATCTGCGAGGTGTTCGGTGGCGTGGGTCGGAAGTTGCGCAACAGCTTCCGCCCGGTCAGTGAGAAGTTCCGTGACGTCCGTCAGTAATTTCTTCAGCGCAACATTTAGAGATGTTCTAGGAATAGTGGAGAAATCTGGGAGGGCAGATGATTCTGGGGTTAGATGGCGTTTGCGATGCGGGTCGGGAAGGGGACGGTATTGTAGTTTGATCTCTTTGGGTTCTTGTTCGGCTTTTTCGACTTGTTCGAGAGTTTGTTGATGTTCTGGCTCCGGTTCAGGTTCTAGGGACGGTGCAGCGGTTTTTGTCTCGGGCTGGGAGTCTCCTTCGAAGAGATGTGAAGAGTCTTTGCCCCTGTGCTCTAAAACAAAGGCCATACCGAGGGAGTGACGGCCATTGCTGCTATAGTTGACGTTGTCGACAGATGTAGATGTAGCAGCAGAAGTAGACTCCATCACGTTTGTGTAGAAGATGTCTCCCTCAAAAAGCCTCTTTGCGGTCCTGAATACGGTGCCACTGACTGGGATAAGCTTGTTCTTTTCGTGCATTGTAGCATCGACTTGTAATTGACCGCTTGCATGACCAATCGTGATTGCGGATGGTACCAACGGCTCGGGGGCAAGCATCTGCTCAACAATGGTACCGGGTATGCGCGCAGCGACGGCCGTGGTCAACGCAGCGGTCAGTGGTATCGCGCGATGGGGCTGGGTGTCTGACAGGAATCGGACCACAATATCCATCTGAGAGGAATTGAGTGTTTTTCCTGACAATACCGGGTGGGACGAGGACTGCGAGACGAGACCAATTTTTGGAATGGTGCGCGGAACAAGGTCTTCGGTCTCCGCGATGCCCATGGCCACCGCTGCAGCCTTCCGTATATCTTCGAGCAATGCAAGCTTATCGAAGAGTTTGTTGAAGTCATTTGGGAGGATAGTGCCATCAACGCCAACGTCGTCAGCTCGAATGAATACGGCAGGATTTGCGCCATCGATACAAGTTACTCTGTAACCCGCAATATTGTCTATCCTTCTCCCGGTCGGTAATACCTTGCCAGTCTTGCTGCCATATGGATTTTTAAAGTCCAGTTTGATTTGTGAGCCCTTTCCTGTTACACCGTCAATCGTGTAGTCACCCGTGACGACTGCTTCTCCACCAACGACGTTGAACGTGGAGTCGATGAGTTTTCCTGTGTTTGTATTCCGTATCTTGACCGTGACCTCCCCGTCCGCTTTTGCATAGACGGAAGCTGGAAGAAGACCGGCATTGTATGCATACGGCCCAATGGCACTACTCATGTTTCCACAATTGCCTGCGACGTCCACTTCATCGTTCTCAATTCCAAGCCCCACAAAGGTGTAATCAATGTCCAGCTTTTCCTCGTCTTCGTTCCTCTCTGCCTCTTTCTGATCGAGCACCTCTGCGACCTGCATAGTCTCTTTGATGGCATCAAGGCCACGGCTTCCTGTTCGATAACGTGCCCCTTTTCCAAGCAAAGGAACCCTCTTTCCATATGGTTCAACCAGGCATATCTTGCTCAGACTCGATATCCCTGCGCCCAAGCCATCAAGTTGGCGCCCATAAGGGTCACCACTCCCCATGATCTGGCGGAAGATTGCTGGCCATCTCGCGCGCTCTTTAGGTAGTGCTTGTGGTTGTAGTATTACTGCGCGCGATGTTCCTCCCCGGTAGTAGGCCGCCTCGACGGACTCTTGGACACTTCCAGCCGGCCTGGCATCAACTCGCGAGATATACGAGCGTATACGTAGAGCATATAAAGGCGAAGGACGCATTACGCATCATGTCACGAAGGCCGGAAGAAGCACGTCAAGAGTGGATGGTTTCGAAGACGGAACGTCACATTTTCGGAAAAGATCCGACCTCGGGACGGAAAGATTGGACCCTGTTTTTGCAAGCAGCGTCACATCCGAAATTTTCTCGAATCGCTCCGACATCATCGCTGCACACGCCTTGATTGAGCTTCGCCTTTGATTAAGCGGCATATTACTTGTCTCTTCTCGCATCTCATACAACACAATGCTGCAAAGAACCATGCTCCGCGCCTCAAGACAACAGGCTGCCCGCTCAGTACGGGCCTTTGCGCCACTACGTCAACAACCATCCTTCACACGGGCAGCAGCCACACCCGCCATCCGATGGTATTCCGATGCGCCGGCAGCAAAGGAGGGAGAGGCGGCTGAGAAGAAGGAGGAGGCGCCCGCAGCGAACAGCGAGGTCACACAATTGAAGGAGGCGCTAGAAAAGAAAGACAAGGAAGTCATCGATCTAAAGGTAGGCTTACCACACTATCAACACCGGATGTCTCCCCAAACCACAATGCTGATATGTTCTACTCCAGGACAAATACCTACGCTCCGTCGCCGAGTTCCGTAACCTCCAAGAGCGCACCCAGCGTGAAATCAAGGCTGCAAAAGACTTTGCCATCCAGCGCTTCGCCCGCGATCTCGTTGAATCAGTCGACAACCTCGACCGCGCCCTCGGCACCGTCTCAGAGGATAAGCTGAAATCGGACAATACCGATCTCATCGCCCTGCACGACGGCATCAAGATGACGGATTCCATTCTCATCAACACCCTGAAGAAGCATGGTCTCGAGCGATTTGACCCCTCGGAACAGGCGGAGAAGTTTGACCCGAACGTCCATGAGGCCGTCTTCCAGGCACCACAGCCCGACAAGGAGGACGGCACTTGCTTCCACACGCAACAGAAGGGCTTCAGGCTCAACGGGCGCGTGTTGAGGCCGGCCAAGGTGGGTGTTGTCAAGAACGCGTAGATTCCAGGTTTATAGGACATGAACACCTCGGCCCGCGACGAGAGGAAAAAGACAGCAATCTCCTTCGCATGTGTATGACTACTTCGGTTTCGCCTCCATTGGCTGGTGGCTACAACGTCTGGCACGGTACATTGGAGGTAAATGGCGTTTATTCTTTCAGTGCATGACCAATAGGTTGACGCTTGCGATATTGTGTACATACATTCCCCTCTCATGCCCATGTGGAAAGAAAAGTCGAGCAACTGACGTGGTGTCTGCGATTATTACTGTAACATTAGATATGATGAATATGATGAGAAGAGCATAAGCAAGAGTTTTGGAGAGACTGTCCTGTTTACGAGTAATCGCGACAGACGATTGTGCTGCATTGCATGGCGCACTTACAGGCTCTTTGGACCCCTGGGTGCTGATGCCGTAATACCGTAGCAAAAACCTTGAAAAGCCGCAAGTATCGGAACCATACGGGTAGCTTTTGTTCAACACTAGGATGCCTTGATTATGATAGTGTCACTGTTTTCCCTTCGCAGCCAGAGACGTATGTTGGGAGTTGGAGTCATCGCTATGTCGCATACGACGATCCAATAGTTAGATCAGGTGTTCGCATGATACCACTCGGCATTAACTAGACCGAACTCTACTGTGCTGCCCGGCGTAACGCGCACCCCATCAGAATGCTACCCCACCTTCAACACGTATAACTCACCCAACATGGAGCCGATTGAGGCTGCGCCTGCAGCTATAGAGTCTCTAGAACCTGGAGAAAAGCCTAATTATACGCAAATTGCTCAAACTTATGGTGTTGTACGATCTACACTCACGCGGAGGCACCAACGCGTTTCAGCCTCACGCGATACTAAGACTCAAAACCAGCAAGCGCTCCACCCCCAGCAGGAGCTGGAGCTCCTACGCTATATTAAGCGCCTTACAAAGCAAGGCCTACCTCCAACACGGCCTATGATACGACGCTTTGCTTCAGATATCGCGAAAAAGGAGCTTGGAAAAGGCTGGGTTGATCGATATATTGAGCGACACCAGGTTGATCTAGTCTCACGCTGGGCGACTGGAATCGATCGAGAGCGCCACCAGGCTGACTCTCAGTTAAAGTATAGCCTCTACTTCGAGCTTCTACGCAGTAAGCTCAGCCAATACGATATAGAGCCTTGCAATATGTACAACATGGATGAGAAGGGCTGCATGTTAGGGATACTTACTCGCTCAAAGCGGGTGTTCAGCAGGAGGCTATATGAGGAGGGGAAGATCAAGGCTCACATTCAGGATAGCAATCGGGAGTGGATAACGCTGCTAGCCTACATATGCGCTGATGGATCAGCCCTCAAGCCTGCTCTAATATATCAATCAGCGTCAGGCTCGATACAGGACACCTGGCTGCAGGCTCTGATGCCTGAGGATCGAGTATATATATCCTCCTCACCTTCTGGCTAGACAAACAACGATATAGGACTATCCTGGCTTAAACAAGTGTTTGATCGATCTACGAAGGAGGAGAAGGCAGGGCGGAACTATCGATTACTCATCCTTGATGGCCATGGATCTCATCTCACGATGGATTTTATCGAGTACTGCAATCGGAATAGAATCCTCCTTGCAGTATACCCCCCTCATTCAACTCACACCCTCCAGCCGCTTGACGTCGTTATGTTTAAGCCATTCTCATCAGCCTACTCAAACCAGGTAGCTGCGTTTATAGAGAGGTGCCAAGGGCTTACATCTATAAGTAAAAGAAACTTCTATCCTATGTTTATGGCCGCCTGGGAGGCCTCGTTTAAGAAGGATACTATACTTAAGGCATTTAAGGCAACTGGCCTCTCACCTCTCCAGCTAGAGGTGATACTCAAACGATTCAATCAGCCAGCTCAATCAGGCCGATTAAGCGATAGCGACTCCTTAGCCTTAAGCGACTCTAATTAGAGGAAGATTAGGCAGCTGATCAATCACGCTGTAGCTGATAGAGACCAGAGAAAGATCTCAAAGCTCAACCAAACGATCCACCGACTCTCGATCAGATTAGTACTAGCTAAGCATGAGAATGTGAGACTCAAGGAAGCTCTCATTAATGAGAGGCAGCTGAGGAGTATCACGGTGAGGCTGTATTCTGGTCCCCAAGGAAGGTGAAGGAGGCGCGTGATCGCCAGCACCAACAAGAGCTCGAGGAGGAGCAACTACAACACCAGAAAGCTGAGGCAGCTCGCGTACGTGGGGAGCAGAGGCAGGGGAAGCTCCAGGCAGTTGAGGCAAGGCGTGCAGCAAGGGTAGCAGCTCGATTAATAAGGCAGGAGGAGAAGGCTCGTGAGGCTGCTGATCGAGCCTCACGACAGGCAGCTCGTAGGACTCAACAACGACTCCAACAAACTCAAAAAACTGCCCAAAGAGGCAAGAGGAGACGTCTTAAGGTAGCTACTAAGGCAAGCTCAAAAAAGAGAGTAGCTGCGCAGCCTCAAGGTAGTAGTGAGGCCTCAGGTGCTGCAGCAGGCCCACCACCATCTCAATCACGACACGGCCGAGCGATCAAGCTCCCGGCCAAATATAGATAGCTATATATGTCAATTAAGGCCTATAGAGCTTAACAATAAAAAATATCGCGATAATAGCGATCGTACGTAGCTCAATAGCTTCATGTTGTGGTGTTGATTTTGGTGTTCGGAGCGCGCGTTAAGCCGGGCCGCGCGTTAAACCGGGCCGCGCGTTACGCCGGGCAGCACGGTAGGGGATGACTGTTACGATTCCAATGGTTATCTCGGAGTCATTAAACCCTTGGATTACAGCTTGAAAAGAACGTCGGAAGGTATATCGAGAAATATAGAGCTCCAGCAATACAACAACTACCCCCGTGACTTGGTGCATTTGTGATATTCCAAGACTGCATGTGTGGCGTGCAGGTCGCAGCAACGGGTGGGGTTGCACCCGAGGTCGGCTTTGTCGCGCCAAGCTTGGAACGGCGGCAGAACTGCAAGTGCGGCCGCGCGAGAAAAAAATTGTTTATCATGCTGCCCCTTCCCCACTACACCGCTCTTACTTTCCAATAACCATGAGCTCATACGCCCTTGCCAGTACCCCACGGGACAGAAAGTCCCTTACGACCATACGGAAACGACGAAGGCACCAGCCGGCTTCTTGAGCGCCTACATACTTAACCTTCAACTCGTTCGTCGCAGACTTCTTGCATCCACTTCCTTGTAACCCATCCGAGAGGAGAATTGAGCATAAAGCGTACGAAGATACTTGAGTATGTCCTACACTACATCCCGTATTCCCCATCCGTCCCTATGATGAATTTGTCATATTATAAAGATGTTAGACTTGCGATTCTTCATGAGCGCACAACGACTTCCTGAGAGACCCCTCACTTGCAAAGATCCCGCGTCTTCCGATTACCTACCACAACTGACGCGTCCCCTCAGAATACAAGCCACGGGACACCCCCCAAAACCTCGACGCGCCTCACAAACACAATCAAAACCACGTCAACATGTGCGGTATCATTGCGGTGATCCACGGCGATCCAAAGTCGCAATCGGCTTCAGTCGAGGTGCACGATGCCCTCTACCTCCTCCAACATCGCGGCCAGGACGCCGCCGGTATCGTCAGCTGCAGCGCTGGTGGACGCTTTCACCAGTGCAAGGGCAATGGCATGGCCTCCAAGGTCTTCCAAGACGGCGCGCGCGTCTCCGACCTACCTGGCTTCATGGGTCTCGGACATCTGAGGTACCCCACAGCCGGCAGCAGCGCGAACGCTGAAGCTCAGCCATTCTACGTCAACAGCCCGTATGGTATTTGCATGACACATAACGGAAATCTCATCAACGCGCCGGCATTGCGCCAACGACTCGACCATGAGGCTCACAGGCATATCAACACCGAGAGCGACAGTGAGCTTATGCTCAACATCTTCGCGGATGAGCTTAATGAGACTGGTAAGGCGCGTATTAACGCAGACGACTGCTTTGCCGCGCTGGAGAGGATGTACAAGTTGTGTACTGGTGGATGGGCATGCACTGCCATGCTAGCTGGTACGTTCAGCCACTTGATGGATCTGAAGCATACATTGCTCCAAGACCATCCAGTCTGCATCACTTTCAAATACTGACTATCTTCACAGGGTTCGGTCTGATCGGTTTCCGCGACCCGTACGGTATTCGACCTATGGTTCTGGGTTCGCGAAAGTCGCAGGATGGCAAGAGTATGGACTACATGATGGCTTCCGAGAGTGTCGCTTTGGTCCAGTGCGGTTACAAGGACTTCACCGATATCCTTCCCGGTCAAGCTGTCATCATCGAGAAGGGCAAGGAGCCGGTCTTCCGACAGGTCGCCAAGCAAGAAGCGTACACCCCAGATATCTTCGAGTACGTTTACTTCGCTCGACCTGATTCAGTCATCGACGGTATCGACGTAGATGAGAGTCGACGCAACATGGGTTTCACCCTTGCAGAGACTATCAAGAAGCAGCTCGGTCCAGAGAAGATGGCGGAGATCGACGTGGTCATGCCAATTCCGGAAACCTCCATCACTTCAGCCTTGTGTGTCGCAGAAGCCCTCGAGAAGCCATATGTACAAGGCTTTGTCAAGAACCGATACATCTTCCGTACATTCATCATGCCGTCGCAAAAACTCCGACAGAAGGGTGTTCGTGCGAAGCTGAACCCTATGAAGAAGAAGTTCGAGGGCAAGAACGTACTGCTAGTAGATGACTCCATCGTGAGAGGTACCACCTCTCGCGAGATCGTGCTTATGGCGCGTGAGGCCGGCGCCAAGAAGGTCTACTTCACATCTTGTGCACCGCCCATCACCAACGCGTGAGTACCTCCCGGTGACATGAAATACTTGGCATACCAGTGTATAGAGGTCACTGTATGCGCCAGACGTATTCAAACTTACTGACATACACAGGCACATTTACGGCATTGACTTGGCATCATCATCGGAACTGATTGCCCATCATCGCGACTCAAGAGCGATTGCCGACCACATTGGTGCAGATGACGTCGTATACCAAAATCTTGAGGACCTTGAGAAGGCCTGTGCGAGCCTCTCTCCTCGCGATCCCGCGACTCAAAAGTTCGAGGTAGGCGTCTTCTGCGGCAAATATGTCACACCAGTGGATGCTGGATACTTTGAACATCTTGAGAGGATTCGTGGAGAAAGCCGCAAACAAAAGGTCATGGAGAAAGCGAGGGAAGCCGTCGTCCATGGCACTGCCAACCCACAACAGATTCGCATGGCCGCCAAAGGTGTTGTAAGTTGCAGCTCCGAATGATAGACTTGGATAATTTGCATGACTAATGTATATGACCACAGGAGGTCGACCAACATGGTAACGTCATGCCGTCAGACGGGAATGGATCACCTGATTGGCAACCGGTCAACGGTGTCAGCAAACCTTCAACAAGCGACGCTTCGACCAACGATGGAGAAGAACGCCGCGTTACCAGCAGCCAGGATATCAGCCTGCACAACCTCAACGACTTCAACTGAAGGGCATCCGGGTGTCACAAAATACTTGACATACCAAGGTAAAAAGGCCTCTGTAGTCGCCAGGCATGCCTGTTAGGCGCTTACCCACTCTGTCAGGTATTTATGACACCCAGTGGGGGCTTTCTCTTTTACGTGATATGAAACTTTACAATAGACGGTGGGAACGCAGGTTACGGTCATGGAAAGGTTACGACAAGCATGGTTAGGTTATGGCATGGGATTGTCAGGGGAGGCTTTCCGTCCTTAGTCGCAGGACTACCCAGTGTAGACTCTGGGCTTTAGTTGCCCCAGAATTGAGTCCTTGGCGATATGGCCATTGCTCATATTTGCTCGCTTCCGAGAAGAATCCAATCGTTCGCACAAGCCTCTCAGCCAGATTCGTCAGCCGGGCCTTTCCGTTCAATGGTGCATTGATTATGTCAGCTGCCAACAAAGCCGGGGATATCCACAGATGTGTCGTGTAGGGCTGTATCGCATTGCAGTTCGTGGGTGCAAGTGCATGTGCAGACTCTGTACGACAGTGTGTTCTGGAACTTTATGCTTAGGCTCTTTGACTGTACCTTCAACACTCAACTACTTGCACAATCACCTGAAGAATGTGCGGTTCACGAGATCATCATCACTCCCCACGCTTAGGCAACAATTGCTCATTGCCCGACAACTATAGCAGGTTACTTGTTATTGACTCCTCAAGTCACAGGTGGAACATGGACTTGAAAAGGCAACAGTCCACACACAGTCATCACACGCTTTCGAACAGTGCTTACACACCAAACGCCCCTCAAGGCCACAACAACCAGTACACCGACTACGTTTCCCCATAGAAGCGCAGAGAACCGGCTTCCAAGCCGACTTCTTGCCACTGCGGGTCGTCGGGTGTCCGATTTTTTCTTCTCGACATAAGCCATTATCACACGTCCCACCTTCTTGCTATAGCGAATGACCCGCGTGCTATAGGCAAGTGAGTGCCCTACATCTCGCAAGTTCATGCTCATACTGGTGTTGGTGAAGACGGCTGCTTACGGACATCACAGCCACAGTGTCAGATGGTGGGCTTGGGGTTGTTGAAGTGTCACGTAATAGTTTGCACTTGGTTGTAGTGAAGTTTTGAGTGATTGAGCACACCGAAGGGAAAGGATTGGTGTGATAGAGAGGTCGTTGACAGTCCACTGGCGAACTGATGTGTTGGTGGGTGTATCTGATGTTGGTAAGGAGGCGGCCTGGAGCCTTGGACACACTGGCCATTGGTATGACATGGGCGCCACGTTCGACTGTTACTGTGACGGAGGTCCAGGTGTAAGCAAATCAGATGGGTATGATGATGGTAAGGCAGATCGACCACCTCGTATTATGCACACCGCTCGACAAGCCACGAGCGAGCGCGCGATCGGAAAGGGCGAAGTCGATGTCTGAGAGGCGGTTCTAGATGACCGATGTGAACCGAAGGGGAATGGGGGTGCGAGGAGGAAATTGGGGTATAAAGAGCAGTGGTTTGGACGGTGGAAAGAAGATATCATCAACCAACACAACCATCTTCTACAGTATCAATTCAGTCTACCGAACAAACTATACATCCCCCAAACGCAAACATGCAGTTCTCCACCGTCATCGCCGCTATCGCCATTATGGCTTCCACTGCCACCGCGCAGGGTGTTGACCTCGAAAACATCGCAGCTTGTACGCATGCCCAACCTCCACTCTTCCCTCTCCTCTCATGACAACCATATTCATCTACTAACCCACCTACCCATGTGGTCGAGTCCTTCGCCAACGCGAACTGCGAACCCCAAGCGAGGCAGAACCAGAACATCCATACCAACAACTGCACCTTCCTGCCCGACTAGAGCGCCAGGGTGACTTTCCTGGAGAAGAACAGGGCGAACTGCTGCCGTGAGTTTCCCCGACCTAATCCAGCTCAATTTGTCATCACCTGGAATCCTACTGACCACATGTATCAACCACAGTTGAGTTCTACACCTCCAGCGACTGCACTGGTACTCCTGCCAATGTCATCACGTCTGCGCCTAGCGACTGCCTCAACGTCTCGAATAAGTTCTCGTACGAGGCTTTCTGCACTTAAGCGCCCTCTTCTTGGCTTAACCCTTCTGTCCGGCCCTACATAGTAACTTGACAAAGCGGGATGGGTGGATTGGGAGTCATTGAAGATGGAGAGCTAGGTCGATCTAGGAGGTTGGAGCTGGCAACGGCATGTGGATGGTAGGGATATGAACACTCCTTAGGCTAGTACTGGTTAATTTGAAAATCTTTCTCTGTCCGGGACGGTGAGACTTGGTGGCTTGCCATGTTCAACACATGGGTCACCGGGCTGAGCTGTTTGGGACGCGAATATATGGGTTGATTGTTTTATACAACGTGCTCTGCTATGGTGATAGTGGTGATGATCGTCAGAAGCTGACAGGTGCAACACGTGAGTCGATATGTTAGGGAGGCTGATCAGAGGTTACAAGTGTACACAATATATGATACTGAGCATCAAGCCGTACGATCTGGGTACTGGAAACTATCGTAGCTACCCTACGTTTAGAGGTAGGTCTTGACCGAGTTGCTGGGATTGACCTGGCTATGCCGATTTGTATATTGTCGAGCGCAGTTATCGACCTGGTCCGAGACAGACATGCACCCGATATGGAAGCCCAAATTCGCGAGGACATGGTATTGCATTCGCCCTATGGCGCCAGACGCTAAGATGAACAGTGTCCGTTACACCGGTCAGCAGAAAGATGTGAGCCATGATGCCATTCCATTTCATTCCATTTTCCGTAGTTTATCGGAAGAGAGATTCAGAGAGTAAAGGAACACCGAGTCATCCCGAAAAACCAGCCATAACCCAGACTATGCACGCCAGACCGATTCCGCTTAACGAGTCCTTGCCTGCACCTTTGGTGCGGCACCCTTGGCACCCTGCTTGCTGACCTTGGCGGCGTTGCCTCGTGCGGATGCGGCAGCGTTCTTGGCCTTCTCAGCCTTCTTCTGCGACTCGGCGGCGGCCTTCTTCTCCTTGCCCTCCTTGACGGCGGCGCTGCGGGCAGCGGCACGGGCCTCAGGGCGTTGGCTACGGCGCTCCTTGATTACATCGAGCGAGGCACCGACGATGGCACGCTGGTGCTTGACTGTGCGGCGGGTACGCTTCTTGGCGACTTCCTGTTGAGGGAGCGTGGTTAGCGTAGTTCGTGATGAAACTGTACTGCCGCTGGGAGTGCAATGGTCTTGTTGTTCCAGTACAGACTGATGTCATAGTTGACTGCCAAAACAACTCCCAGCGACATGTATGCAATTTGACGGCGACTAACCTCAGAGATACCCTTCTTGTGCGCCCTTCGGTAGAGAGTGGTCCAGTGAATCTTGCGAGGGTTCTTGCGCTGGAGGAAAAGGGACTCGGTCTTGCCATTCTGGAAACGGAAGATCTTGCTGTCACCGCGGATGTAGAGCTTGCCCTGTTTATACCATCAGCCAATGTCCGACTGAGTAGTGGTGTTCCATCATTCTCCGCCAGGTCTTCGCTTTGTCATGTCGCGATAGCCAAATGCCGACCGGTGGCGGAGACGTCGTAACGAGGAGGGGCAATTAAACGCACCTTGCCCGGGTAGATCTTTTGACCGCTGAAGGAATCGTCGTAGGTACGCATGTTGGCGGTGTTGGCGTGAAACCTGTGTGTTAGTCGTGGGGTTGTCGTCGGTCGCGAAATCAGTGCAATATTGGAGTTGAGACCTGTGGGAGCGAGCGAGCCGACTAGACCTTGTTGGGTTAGATCCTTGGCGCACCGCTCCTGTGGCTAGCACCCTCACCAAACGTCCCTACACATCAAACATTCATGCGAGTTTGTTATTGCATTGCAAAGCGATTCCGCGTATTCCTTGACTACGAATCGCTTATGTGTCTATTCAGTCGCCTTGAGGAGAGCTACCTGTTGCTGCGTCGGACTTGCCACAATGCATTCGGCTATCCATCGAGATCTTGCTTTTACTTCTCAACAAGCTTGCCATCCGGGTGTCATAAAATACTGGACATACTAGTGTAAAAAAGCCACTGTAGTCGTCAGACACGTCTATTGAGTGCTTGCCTACACTGTCCAGTATTTTATGTCACCCAGGTGTTGCCGTCTTTCTGGCCTTTCTCCAAGACGGCTATGGCTCCATCCCAGTCGACATTCTTGCGCTCCTTGCATTCGTTGATGAGACGGAACACTTCATGGAGCAATGCCTGCTGATGCTTTTCCTCGTCTGTGATAGTGTTCGCATCATTCTTGGCTGCACCTGCTTTCTCTATGAGCTCCCAGCCGTCCCGCGAAAGCTTACTGGAGTCTTTGGAGTCTTTTTCCATGGTCGACAGCTTTGAACTTGCTCCTTGTGCCGCACCGCGTCCTCTCGGCATCTCAGGCCCTTTACCATCGCTCTTATCGCCCACTTTAGTGATACCCTGCACATCATTTAGTAAACATTTTGCTGGATCCCGGACCGGATAAAGCGACCATTTGGATACGAGAGCTGCGGTGAGAGACTGGAAAGCCTGTAGGATTGCGTCCAAGAGTGATGTGTAGGATCCGGCTCCGAAGAGGTACTGTAGATTCGCGGCTAGAGTGATTAATAGACCAGTAAATGCCGGTTGGACGACCCGGGGGCGGAGGAGTGCCTCCCTGTATATGGCGCGAAGTAGAATGACCGAAACGTCTGCTCTCGAGTTAGATACGTCCCAGGGCGCTGACAACGCCATATTACCGAATGCGGTACTCAAGACGACGCAGGCCAGTAAAGCTGACAGCTGGGAGTTGTAGGTAGCAAGACCACCAGCTTCCAGAAATGCAACCGCTCCGATAGGGACCTTCACCTTCAGCTGGCTGCTTAGGAACGAGGCGACGATGATGGAAAAGACCGGAGTCCAACCACCCAGTAAGACAGTCGTGTCGTGCGCAAAAGTTTTGAAAGCTTTAATGGGATTCTCAATCAACGATTGGCGCACTAACGTGAGCATTAGGTTGTATTTACTGAGAGTTGGCTTGTTCGAGTCGTCGTTTCGCTGCGTTGTTTGCTTGACCGTTTGCACGTTGATTGGCAAGCTAGAACTCTTGAGCTTAAATACCTATTGCTTCATCGTGCCCATCTCTGCGAGGCGGTGAAAGAGGAAAGACCGAAGAGAATTCACCATTCACCGTGAATACGTAAACTTGGTCAGACATGCGTGCAAAGAACACGACCGAAACTAAACATCACGCCGCTGAGTCATCCATCTCCCATGGCAACTAGTTCGAATAATTCTTGAGATCGCAAGTTTCCAACTGCTGACTATATCCCTATGACGCAAGTGAAAGGTGGAAATTGAAGTTAAGGCCTTCTCGCGCCTGCCTGACCGCTATTTGGCGATTGCGGCTGCTTCCCGACATTCTATAAAGATTAGTTGAGAAATTCTCCCACCTTTCACGCACACCCTCACCCACGTCTGTTCCTTATTTCACGGTGTGTATATATGTTCAAGTACAGTCTTACTGCACTCTCTTTTCATCTACGACATCATGATTTCTTCGGCGCAAAGAGTACCGGTCACTTCAACGGCTTTACGAATGCACCTTCGAGGGCGCAGCGATATTACTCCCGATGATGAGACCAATCATCTTACACACCTTGGCGTTAGTTCATCTACACAGGAGCACGTACCAGAGACTCTGATAGCATCCTCACTGGCTCTCCATAACCAAGACCTAGTAGATGTCATGTTCGAACTCGAGCCCTTCCAGGCCGATAATCTAGCAAGTCTCGCTTTCAACATGGCCTTGGGTGGTCTAGTTCATCCTCTACACGAAAACGAACTGAAGCATCTTCGAAAGAAAAAAGTTGGTATATATGGCCCAAGACAATGGGATACACCGTTTCTTTCCGAGAAACTCCCATTCACCTTCTCTTCGCTTCTCAGTCCAGTGGCCATCCAAAAAGTGATCCGAAACGACATTGGCGGAGAAAATTACTTCCGCTTCACTTCGTCCTATGGCAGCTCTTTAGACGATACAGCGGCCATTATCGAACTACTGGATAACATCACTAACCCCCGATTCACATCCCCAGGAGCCGTAGTCCAAATGACGTCGCCCTCAATCAACTGCACCAAGAATTGGAATCCCAGCTGGGAAAACGACTGCATGCTAAGCCAATCCAACGTCCAAGTAACCGTAGCACCCAGAGGCCAAGCCTTCGAACTAGAATACCACGAGCATTACTTCTCAACCACACTCTTCACAGGCAGCAAAGTATTCCTCGCCTTCCCACCCCACATCACCAATCTAGACCACATGCGTCGCACATTTCAAGGCAAACGCACTAGACTTCCAACCCTGGGCATCCTACGCGAAATGCAGCAAGGCATAGCCATCATCCAGAAACGCGGGCAAGTACTCCTAATCCCGCCTTTCTGGTCGATCATGACATTCTGCACCGAGACAAGCGTGTCTGCTGGTTTCTTCGTCGCTACTGCATCGGCGTTCATGTCACGCATACACAACATGGATCTCTGGCTCAGCGAGTGTCTCTTCTGGCCTACACTTGCGCAGCGCCAAGCACAGCTCGTTCCGTATGTGGAAGAACTTGCGGGCCACTTTTCTGATATTATGTCGGATGATGTGAAGCAATCCAAGCCGGCAAAGTCAGTGCAACGAGCTATTTGTCTGGAGTGGGTCAAGTTTTCCACAGACAAGGATGGAGAGAAGTATGAGAGTATGCAAGAGAAGGTCGGGGAATTGTTGGGATGTATTCTGGATGACGGAACGAGGATGAGACTCGCAAGTGTTTTTGTGGAGGTGTGGGTGAGGTTTTGTGAAATGAAGCGGGAGAAGAACAGTACGTGTCGGATTTGCGGTGTTAGGGTCGACAAATTGCCCCAGGACAATGGGGAGGCCCCGGATACGAAGTTGAAGATGCATGTAAAGAGTGTGCATTGTCACTTTGATCTATCATGAGGGATTGTTGTGTAAATTGGGGGCGATGGTTGTATGCACACTTTCCTGGGTATTTCTGCCCTACCTAGTGCCGCTTTATTGACAGTGTAACTGTAATCTTGGAGGATAGTTGAATAAGCAATAGTTACTAGAGGTTAGAACTTCATGAATCTGAAGAAAAGACTGATCAAAGTTCATAAAAGTCGTGATTCTCATTATATCCAGAAAACGCCATAGCCAAGTTCCCGAAACCATAACAGGGTATCAAAACGCTACGATAGCGCAAGGCATGTAGTCCACACTAGGTAAGGGAAAAAGAAGCTTTCCCCAGGAAAAAAAAGAGAGAATCGAAAATACCACCAATCTAGGTGACGCAGCAACAATCTCCGGACTCAGCGCACGCGCCAAGAAAAACCAGCGGGAGATGAACCAGTGCCGGTATAAAAATAGAAAAAGCGCACAAAGAACGAACCCAACCCCCCAATCTACCTTACTCACCCGCAATAACCGCAGCGACTAAAATATCAATCCCACTAGCCTGCGTACTGGGATTGCTATTCGTGCTACCCCCCTGCCATAGATCAATGATGATCCCCCCGTCCACCTTGTTCTGACTCCTCGCCGCATTCGCATTGCGCAGGAGGAAATCCTGGACACTCTGCAATGGCCGCGTTTGGTACAGCGTCGAGAGCCCGCGTACGTACGCGCCTTTGAACTGTGAGCTGACGGGGTCCAAGATGCCTTTGACTGGCTCGGTGAGGATACCGCTGGGATCACTGAGCTGCATTGTCGAGGCTTGGACGAGCTTGTATGCTTCATCTAGGAACGTGCCGTCGCCTTTTGCACGGGAGAGTTCTGAGAGGCCTGCTAGGACGACTCCTTGGTTGTAGGTGAAGGTTGTTTTGCCATCGTTTTTGCAGGTAGCGGGGTCAATGCCGTCGTTTACAAGATTGTTTGAGCCGATGACACCGGAGGCTTTGAACCAGTCCCATTCCATCTGCGCCCAGTTTGCGTAGTCGTCTTTTTCCTTGCCGTGGTGTCGGTTTGCGAGGTGTGCGGCCACGGAGAGGAAAAGCTCGTTTGAGATGGAGGCGATGGCGTCGCGATCTTTGGACCACCAGATTCCGCCTTTGCATGGCGTGTTCCAGCCGCCTGTCATGTCTTGGAAGAGGTCCTTGGCGGTGTTGAGGTACTTGACGTCGTTGGTGAGGTCGTACGAGGCTATCCAAGCCATTGCCCACCAACCTTCGTCGTCGTAAAATTTATTTTTCCAGTTATTGGCGCCGAGTTGATTTGCGGATTTGGCGTATGTGTTTTGGATGATTTGAATGGCTGTAGGTTTGAAGTCCTCATCTTCCCGGCCGAATCGAGCTATTGTTTCAATCATATTGCCGGACTGCCACCATAGGTCATTCCTGTTTAGGGGTTAGAGACGACTATTATTGAGGTTTCTGTTATAGCTCACCATAGACCAGTGTCGAAGTTGTACCATTTTGTCTGCAGTGTCTGAATGGCACTAAAGGCGTCGCTCGCAAAGTCGGCTTGGACAGGATTAGAATAGAGAAGGGGTATTAATATCGCAGCGAGAAACTTCATTGTGGCAACGAATGAATGTTGATGAAGGAACGTGTATCGTAATATAGATTACTGGGGGAAGATGAGGGAAACTTTTGAAGGATAGGTAGCTGCCTTAATGCAGGAGAATCACTAAGCGGAGAGGGCCTTGTGTGTTTTATGATTTCCCGCAGACGCCATGACAGTGACAGAAAGCAACCCCAGCTTCAAAGACCCGGCCGGCATACGAAGAAACTTGTCTGTGTGTTGGCTGAGATATGGATCCTAGTAGTGGGCAGTGCTCAATGCCCAGAGGGCTAAGAGGTATAGTACTCTGTGCAGACAAACCTGCATACAGTACTCACGTCACTTGTCGCCCTTCTCATTGCCTTGGTATGCCGTTTGCAGGAGTCCACGGCTATTGTTAGAACTACTGGCACAGCAAACTTTGCGGCCTTACGGAACGTGAGGCATGGATGGTTATGCCGGTGACAGGTGGGCGAGTCAATAACTGTGACTGGCATTGTGTTCACATATTGAACATGAAAGTACAGCGGCAAGTAAGATTAGTTCTGTCGGAGCTTGAACGACGTGGATCCTATCGCGACTGTATGAAGCGCCTACTGTCTAAGAAACGACCGGGGTTTGGACATGAAACACGGCGGATAGATGCTAAAAACATTCATTGGCTGTGATATAACGGTTGTCAAGCAGTGATTGGGCAGATTTCTAAGATATTCTCATACTCGGTTAGTGTAGATGTGGCACCGGCGGTCTGCACGTGCGAATTGTGGCTTATGAGGGACTTGCCTATCTGCGTAGCGCCTAGACTGCGGCAAGCATCGCGGGTGGACGGCACCTGTGCAGCCCGGATACGACATGGTGCGACTACAACAGAACACCGATAGCAACGACAGTGCGTGGTGCCAGGTGCCAAATAGCATCGGAGCTGACAAAGACCGAATTCGCGTTCCAAGGCGTTTCCCAGGCGTTCGCTGACTGTTTTGCTCAGCTGAGAAACTGCCATCGTCATGTTCAACGGCGGTTCGTTTCATCCACTGCATGAGCTTGCTGGGAACCTGTGTCTGGCCATGGTGTGGGCTTTGGAGCATTGCGGCTCTTCGGCTCTACGGCTCTACTCGTGAGTAGGTGTAAAGCGGGCGTATGCTGCCGCCTTTCTGAGACGGCAGCGTTAGTAAGGGCGAACTCCTGATCATCAATCACATGAAGCTGGACCTGCTACCGGGAATAGATCAAACCTTCTCTTATCGCGCTTTGTGTTGTACCTGTTGGGGAGGGAGTTGGCAGGGTTGAAAGTTACCCCTTGAAATTGATTAACCCAACAGCGGCACAACAGGCCAAGGTCGCTGTAGCCGACCTCGATCAAAGACGTCTCGCGAGCAAGGCTGCTGAATGGCAAATGTGACCTTGTGCAGGATTTGCATATCTCCAATCGCCAAAGCATCGGTTGTCACATCGACGATATTGACGAGATGAAAAGTGGACTAGCTGCAACAAACGTCAAACTTGCTTTTGGCTGAGCCCAGGGGCGAGAGAATGACAAAATGTGCAAAAAGCCCACACGACATGTGCCGTACGTGGGAGCAGAGTTTGCGATTTTGGTGGAGGCATTATCTTGTAAGGCGGTTTCACTGCATCTGTGACGTGGTGCGAGGATGACTGACAGCGATGACGTCTACATACAGGCCACATGCAGTCACGTGTCGCGCGACCTCTTCGTGATATAGCGTTACGTCAGCGGGGTACCGCCCCACCAGGCGTTCCTACCGTTCGTGTACAGTACCAAGTCTTGATATTGGACTGCGGCGCGTACTCCGGAACATGGCTTGAAGCTATTGCGAGGAGACGAGGCTAGTATCGCAGAGCTGTTCCAGACTACTACCTCAGTGGCACTCAATCAGCTCTTGAGCACTCAACAGAGTATATCCTGCCGAGGATTCACTGCAGCACTTGCCCCTCTAACCAACATCAACATGTCCAACGCATCCCACGAAAGCGGGGCTTTCTATGTTCCGCGGCAAGGAATCTGGATCCTGTATCCACACTCTGCCGTGGGCAGATGACGCGAATGCCATGGCAAGCCGCAAGACTACCATCAATCATACATTGCGAGATTTGTGAACTGCCAATCGTGGCGACTAGTGGCGCCTGCAAATTGGTAGGCATCCCAGCAGGGAAGGCATCAGTGCATGCAGATCTTCTCTACCAGACATGTGAAGGCGCGAATAACCGGGCCCGCTGTATACAGCAGGAGCTTCTCTCACCCACGCCTAGCAGCTGATTGTACGTGACGAATGACGTATACGTTCGTCACTGTAGCCTTGGGTGACCATCACCTACTATATAACACCGTCTCTGCCTCCTCTTCTTCGAACTCTCCTCACACATCAAACTCAAACTCCAATCAATCACCACTTCTACACCAAACCAAACAACCAAACAACCAAACAATCACCAACAATCAACATGTCTGACTCCATGCGCAAGGGACTCGGCGAGCAGGCCCAGGAGAAGAGTAGGTTCACCTTGTTAGGTCAACGGAAGTACAGAGATGCTAACAATCTGCAGTCACCCCCGACTCCCAGAAGTCCACCATGGACAAGGCCTCCGAGAGCCTCACTGGAGCCGGTGACCGCGTTGCTGGTGCCGTTCAGCCTGGTATGTCTCATTCCTTTCATGTCTCTCCAAATACCTACTAATACCCACCACAGAGGGCCAGAAGTCTGCCGGTCAAAAGGTCGGCGATGCCACCCGCTCCGGCGGCGACAACGCCTCCAGCGAGGGCAAGGGCATGATGGAGTCCGCTCAGGAAACCGTCGGAAACGCAGCCCAGAGCGTCCAGGACACCCTCTCCGGCAAGAAGTAAAGCAGTCTTCTGCTTGCCCAGCAATGACAACAAACTTTTCACGACATGATACCTGATAATGGCGGCACACAAGGCCCAAGAGGTGGAACATACCTTTGGCATGGGTGCCGTATATCTATATACCCTACCACCTCATGAAGTACCATTTTGAACATGATTTGTGCCTTTGTCGTTTATGCGTATAAGTCGTGATATGTGCAAGGTCGACTATGACTTCATCTTTATCGTCGCGGACGGTTGCGCCTGGCTTCGTTGTTGCCCAGTCAAAAATGTTGATCGAATGTTAACCTTGATTGCATACTGGCTGATCTACAAATCCTCATCCTCTACTTCTTCAATCTCCACATGCTTGAGCGTGTTCTCCGCCACTGCAGCTTCCTTCGATATGCCCCTCATCTGTCCTTTGGCCTCAGCCGCCATCATATCGTACTCTGCCTCTTGCACTGCAGCCTCTGCCGCTTTCTCTGCCATCTCACCACCCGAGGTACTCTTCAAGAAAGCCTCGAGTTCATCATCCTCTTCTGCACCCTTGCTTTCTGCACGCGCCTTGTTCTCATCCATGTACCCCTCTTCCCTCAACTTGTCGAATTCCTCGGGCTCCAACAAACGACCCTCGCCCTTTGCCAACTTCACCTTCTGCGCCACTGACGCAGGCATAAACCTGGTAGCTTCCTTGAGCAGATTGCGGACCTGGGGCGCGGCCTCGTATACAATCGTGGGTTTCTTGGGTTCTTGGGGCGCTTCTTCGGTTTGTGGGTCGCGGGCTTGGTAGTGTCGGGGTATAGGCGGTGGTGTATCACGGGGCATGGGAATGTGTTTTACGTCGTCGTCCGTGTCGCTGCTGTCGTCGGCCTTTCGGTGTCCGTCTCTTGTTCGCTTGCCCAAGACACCACCACCTCTACTGCCGCCTCTGCCTCCCCGGTCGCCTCGTTCCCCTCTGTCGTCATTGTCGAACCGTCGTTCTGGCTTGAAGACAGGCGCTTTGTCTCCTAATGCTGCGCGCGCCTTGTTCACCGCCGCGAGATCCTTCTCCAGCTCCTGTAACCGTTGTCGCTCATGTGGCCGTATCGAGCCGTTCTGATCGAGTTCCTTGAGGTTTTCGATATCGCGCTGTAGGCGATTCGGGTTTCGGCGCGCGAGTTTCTCATTGCGCTGCGTCTGGAGATTGGCTTTTTGCTTGCGGAGTTGCTTTTGCTTTTCGGCCTTTTTGGCTTCTTGCACGGGATTGTAGTTCTTTTCTTTCGGCATTTTTGACGGCTTTGAAAGTGAAGCTGCGTGTGTGGTTTAGGTCGCGGCGTTAGGGCACGGAAATTGAGATTCTGGGGACTGACGTAAGGTCCGTGCTTTGAGGCCGCGGCGCGTCGCGAACGCTGCTGCTTCTGCTATTTGCAACAGTGCGACGTAGTACCATGTACAAGGTTGTGGATTTACTCTCTTCGCAAGAGGACTGGATTTGAAACTATGTTTGTCCCGCGAGCGCTCAGGCTCAAAGGCGTACACGAAAAGTCGCGGCCCAAGACCATCAAATCGCCCTCCAAAGATCCAGCGGACATTGCTGAAGCTGACCACGATGATGCGCTGGTAAAGGCTATGCAGAAGACAAGTACCAGTTCACCACCTCCTCAAGTAGATTCCATTGACCCTAAACAACCCAAAGCTGGCCCCAGGTATACTACCAAACAAGTCACGCCAGAATATCTTGCTCAGCTTGCTGCTGGCATTGAGCTGATCTTCACCGACTATGCGCATCAAGAGGAGCAGCGTGCAAAATGGCTTCATGATCACTACAGAACGGTGGATGGAGAGGATAAGTGTACATTGTCCAGCTCAACCACTTATTCCGCGACTAATTCATGTTTAGACATCCACCTGACCGCGATTCTTAAGAATCCCAATATATCCTCGCTAAAGCCCGAAGCCTCTCACGCCCTCCTCCAGCAATCCATGCAAGACCATCCATCTGAGATGCTCGAAATCTCAGCCAATCGCTACTACGTCCGTCGCAAACCTTCTTCGTACCCTCCCAAATACCTACCTCACAACTCTTTCCAAGTCGTCGATGATGACGGCTTGTCATTCTGGGATCAACGGACTATATATGTCGAACCTCATGTGCGCAATATGTGTCAGTCACCGGCGAGGGTGGCTCAGTGGCTCACGGAGCATGGACAGCTGCGACCTAAGTGGGCGCCTATCCAAGCTGTACACATGCTATGGAACAGCTGCGCATTCGTTGTCCTCAGTGGACACGTAATGCATGAAGACATGTGGCAGAAGTGGCGAGACTTAGACAAGCCAGAGGATTGGAAGATCATGACCAAGGTTGAGCATACAAGGCGAACCGCCGAGTATGTTGCCCTGCTTGAGAAAGAGAACCCGGGAGGTATGCGAAAGAAGAAGGTTGATGATAGCGAGCTGCCACCCATCGCGCGACCTGCAGTGCTTCCTGTGGCAGCCGATGAGCAGCAGGATCAGGTCAAGAAGAAACGCAAGAGGCGCAAGCCAAACAAGTCAGGCAAGTCGGTCGCCGACACCGAAGCTGACACAAACACTGTTGAAGACGCAGACGACGAGCCAAGCAACAAGCGCAGAGGTTGAAACTATGCGGTCGCGACCATGTCAACGTTATCCATAATAGACTGGGATCAAGGCAGCGTCCGCAAGCGGGTCGTGTGGCTGGAGCCATGGAATATATGAACATCCTCTGATGCGAGTGGCCGCTCTAATCATCTCTATCTCTACCAAACGACCCCAAATGAGTACGGCGACCCCCAAACTTCGCCATCGCAAGCCACTCACACCAGGATCATCTCTGTAAACCTCACCGCTTTCCTGCTAGTATGTACGAAGAGTGCCTAGTAAACTCCCATGCGGTGGATAGCCACTCACTTTATGTGAAGCGTGCGAGATGGCAAAGCGCGGTAACGTAAAAGGCAAATCTGCTGCCATGTTGTAGGTCGGTATGCAACATGAATATGGAAAAACTCAACACCATCATCCAGCAATTGATCCTATCTTCTTACAGATCCCCTAATTTTACTTCAGGTTGGACAAGTTCTACTGAGGTGGATAGTCCTTCGAGCGACACGTTTTGGCCAGAACTTCTGACAGAATTAGGAACAAGTGTTAAACTTTTCTCATATCACACTTTGTTACACTAAATCGGATGTGAGGTGTTGATTACTTGTTGCGCCTGGGCGACATGACATACTTGACATACTAGTGTACCGAGGCCATTGTAGGCGCCAGACACACCTACTGGGTGCATACCCACACTGTCAAGTATCTTATGTCACCCAGGTGCGTGCAACTTATGGATCTCCACATTGCTTCTCAACAACTACATCATCGCGACTCTTCAAAAATAGCCACCCTATTAATTTCCTTTAACCCACACTCTTTTCAAAAAATTCGACACAATTTCTTTTCTTTTTGCAATGTCGCCGCACGTCACATTGACGCGTTTTGTTACGTGGTGCATTTCTCGTGACGTCAGATGTCGGACCCGCTATATCACAACTTCTGCACCACGATCTTCCCCCTCTTTACTTACTACATTCAAAACTCGAATACCAGCAGTTGAACGTACACAACAGGTCAGCAATCAACTACAGACTCAACAACGAAACTACGCAAACATGGCTCCTTCCAACAACCCCGAACTCCAGATGGGTCAGGTCTTCGATGTCAAGGACAAGGTCGCCCTAGTGACTGGTGGTGGCTCTGGCATTGGTCTGATGATCACTCAAACTCTCGCTGTCAACGGAGCCAAAGTGTACATTGTAGGCAGGACAGAAGAGAAGCTAGAGAAGGTTGTGGAGGTACATGGACAGAACATCGCGGGTCAGATCATTCCGATCGTTGGAGACGTCAGCACAAAGGAGGGTGTGTCGTAAGTTTGATCGGAAGGTTAGCGAGTAAAAGATACTGACGTCACAATCAGAAAGATCAAGAAGGAGATTGAATCAAAAGAGAAGTGTCTATGCGTACTGGGTAAGCAGCCCACACAATTTTTTACAAGAATTATTACTAAATCAATTAGTCAACAACGCGGGTATCGCTCCAGGAAAGACAGAGGTCAAAGGTAGCGCTGATGAGCTAGTCGAAAAGCTCTTCGACGGCACAACTGAGCAAGAATGGCTCGACGTCTACCAAACCAACGTGGTCGGCCCTTTCCTCATGTCCACTGCCTTCCTCCCCTTGCTCCAAAAAGCCACAGAGACTCACAAGGGTTACTCCGGCACTATCATCAACATCAGCTCCATTTCTGGTCATATTCGCATCTCACAGGGTCACTTTGCCTACAACAGCAGCAAGGGCGCTGCAATTCACCTGAACAAAATGCTCGCAAGTGAGATTGCGAAGAACGGTATCAAGGTCCGCGTCAACTCCATTGCTCCCGGTGTTTTCCCCTCCGAGATGACCACCCAGGAGAGCCGAGACGACAACCAGAAGAGTGAGATGCCCAAGGAACACAAGGAAGGTCTTCCAGCTCAGCGTCCTGGTAAGGACCAGGATATGGCTGCTGCTATCTTGTTCGCTGTCGGATGCCAGTACCTTAATGGCCAGACTGTCACAGTCGATGGCGGTTACGCGATCCAGGTCGGTAACTAGAGTCTCGAGAATGAGATGTCTCTATGTATTATAGCTTAATATGCAAAAAGCGGCACTGTTTCCAGTCGCAGCCTTAGGTACCCGCCACGAATGCTGGAAAAGCATTTCATGGTGTAGCACGGGCGACCATAAGCCCACGTGTATGAATATATGACCACTTCATAATCTCAATTTATCCTTCTCATGATTAAGTGTAGTTATCCTCTTTCATTGGAAATTCAGAAGCCTCACTACTAAGCCAGTGTCTAACCCTCTAAGCCTAAACTAGACATAGTGGCTGACTAAGCATGCGCAGGTGGTCTCCGTCGTCATCGCTCCCGAAGAAGCACTGTCACTTCTCAACTCCCGATAACAACAAATTCCACTATATCCTATTTGCATCATAGATCCGAGCGAGGGATAGGATATATCTCTCGATATATGTCTGCCAGCATGAGCCTTCTCGCTACAGAGAACGAGCCGTTGCTGCCAAAAGCACCAGCCAACGTCATAACGTTCGAGCCCAACGACCCAGAAGACCCGCGCAACTGGTCAAGGACACGAAAATGGCTCATGATCGCTTCAATCGTGCCTATAGACCTTAGCGTTTCTTGGGGCGCAAGTGGCTTCAGTCCCGTTGCAGGCGACTTTGGCAAAGACATGGACGTATCAGCAAGCGTCGCGGTCCTGGGGTTGAGTATGTACGTGCTTGGGTTGGCCTTTGGACCTATGACTCTAGCACCGTTATCTGAGTACTTTGGCCGGCGGCCTGTGTATGTGGTGTCCTATGGAATCTTTCTTGTGTTGCTCTTGGGGACGACGTATGTGGAGAGCCTCGGCCTGTTCTTCGTTCTGAGGCTTTTCTCCGGCTACTTTTCGTCGGTCACGATATCCAACTTTGGGGGAACTATTGCGGATCTTTTTCATCATCATGATACCGGGCCAGCCATGTCTTGGTTTCTTTGGGCTGCTACGGGAGGTAGTCCGACGGGCTTTGTGCTTTTCTCGTTTATCGCAAAGGGCAGGTCGTGGCATGCTGTTTTCCGCGTCATGTTCTTCATTTGCCTTGTGTTTTGGGTTGTTATGGTTATTGCTCTGTATTCGCTTGGAGAAACGAGACACAGCGTGATTTTGCTGCGAAGAGCTAGAGCGTTGCGTAACGCGACGGGAGACGAAGAGCTGGAGGTACCGGATGAGATGAAACAACGAGGACCGAAGCAACTTTTTGGCACAGCATTGGCACGCCCATTCCGCTTCCTGGGTACCGAGGCCATTGTTCAATTTGGAGCCTTATACAACGGCTTTCTGTATGGCCTCTCATTCCTATTCAACGGCGCATTTCACATGATTTTCGGCCCAGACGGGTACGGCTTTGATACCATTGGTGTTGGTATTTCTTTCCTTGGGATCGTAGCAGGCATCACGATAGGGTTGGGAACGAACATCTTCCAAGAACGATACTACCAACGCCGGGTTATTCAAGCCGGGAATCGCGACGTTCCGGAAGCAAGAGTGCATCATGCAAAGCTAGCAGCTATCGTGTTGCCGGTGTCACTCTTGGCTTTTGCACTCACAGCCACGCCAAACATACACCCATTCTTTGCAGTACTGGCTAGCGCTTTCTGGGGCTGGTCTTTTTATACCCTAAGTGAGTCTTTTATCAATCTTTCGTTGGGGCATGTCGCTAACGGTTTGGCTGTAGTCCTAATGACCCTCACATACACGGAAGACGCATACAAGACATACTCCGCATCCGCACTCGCGGGCATCGGGCTAATCCGAAATCTCGCTGGCGCTGGGTTCCCACTTGTCGGACGACATCTCTTCCTCAGCGTAGGGACAAGAAATGCAAGCTTGGTGCTAATGGCTATCGCCATCTGCTTGGCACCAATCCCCTTCGTCCTCGAGAAACGGGGCGTATCGCTACGCAAAAGAAGTCCCTGGGCTGCTGCGCATGAAGAAGAGGACGAGAGTAGTCAAGAATAGAACATGGCAATTGATTCGAAAGCCCGAACGCATCTGGCGCTTGTTTCGGAACATCGGAAAGGCCCCCCAAAAGTTCCGTACTAGCGGCTCCACGAAAAACACGTGACGCTTCCCTCACGGAGCCAGCTCGTCATCCCATTGGACTCAACAAACCATGGCAATTTCGCCAAATGCATATAGAAAAAGGTACAAACAAGAGAACATGTTGTTTCGGATCTGTCCGCACAGGCTAGCGCGCAATCCCATGGGGCATTGCCGACCAACCAAGGCCTGTAGCACAGCCCAGAGGGTCGGCGCGTAACGCTGGAGTGGGATCTCGCGCCTAAACCTTTCTACCCGCATACCCGCATACCCGCATCTCCACCCCAGGGATATTCTTAGAAGGCCGTTTTTTGTACATATGAGGCTCTGCGGGAGATGGTAGTAGAGTATTCATCAGCTTTCAAACGTCTTCTTCAGTCATCTTTCCTTTGGTCCTTTACCAGTGTGTTCTGTGAACCACATCGTATCGTCTCTTTTTTCCATCATCGTTTCGAATCTACTTTCCTTGAGCTCAATTCTTCTCTGCATAGCGAGGCCGTTGTCATATCGCCATCTCTTCGAACGATTTATACGATTTCCTTGGAACCAAGACGAGCAAACAGTGTTTGATACACGACCACTACAACATCGAGCGCATCAAAACACCACGGGAACAACTCCTACTACAATAAACTTTTCAAATCCAAAACACAAACAAACGTCTTAACTACCACCGAAAATGTCCTGCGCACCTTCAACCTCGATCCCCCACCCACCCACCACCCTCTCCTCCTGTGCTGTCCCCATCGGCGGCCAAAACAGCTCTATCCTCCACGCCTGCTGCAACGGCCACATCAACGCCCTCGCCACATACTCCGCACCCGACACCACATCTACGTCCTCCTCGTCATCAACACCCCCCGTCATTGTAAACTCGGAAGACAACGACGGATGTTTCTTGTACTGCATCACTGATTCCCCGAGCTTGGTGCAGACGTGTTTAAAGCAGAAGATGGATGAGGCCGAGATTGCGAGAGAGGGAGAAAGTTTTGCTTGTTTTGAGGCGGAGAAGGTGGTTAGGAGAGAGAAGGGGAGGGTTGTGAAGAGGGAGAGTGGGTATGCGAATGCGGGTGTGAAGGTTAGTGCGGGCTGGGGGCTGAGAATATTGCTGAGTGTGGGTGTTATTGCGGCTATCGTGGGTGGATTGTGACGATGGATGATATCCCTTTTTTCTTCTCTTTTCTCTTTTTGCAATGCGCTGGCGTTTGGATAGTGGGCGAGTTCGCCTCGGAGAACCTGGGAAGGCTCCACATAGATTGTGAAGGTTTAGTCTCATCAATTGACCAAGAGGTCATGAATCCAAAACTGTCTTTTTTGTATTGTTGTCTTTTGATACAACAAATCCTGGTCATGATCATGATAGCGTCATACTACGTAACTCCTCATCCGTCAACTCAACACCCTACCTCCAGACCTTGTATAGATTCCTCCCTACAAGATCTTCTTTAAGATATCAATCTGCTCCATGACCGCACTCTTACTCGTGCCGCCCGTCGCGTTCTTCAGCTCAACCGCACGCTCATAATCCAAGCACTCAACAACATCATCTCCGAGCCTAGAGTCAATACCCTTGAGCTGTTCGAGACTAAGTTTATCCATAGGCACGCCCTCATTCTCCGCAAGCGCAACAACACGACCTGAGATATGGTGACCCTCACGGAACGGAACGCCCTTCCTAACAAGGTAATCTGCGAATTCAGTAGCGAGCATCTCAGGGGCAAGCGCAGCGTGCATCTTGTCCGCGTTGATGCTGAGGGTAGACAAGACACCTGTAGCAATCTGGATCGAGTCGCTGACAGTCTTGATGTGATCGATGAGGGGCTCGACAGACTCCTGGAGATCCTTGTTGTACGTCGTTGGCAGACCCTTGATGGTAACGTACAAACCCGCCATGTGGCCAAACGCACGGCCGCTCTTACCACGGATGAGTTCCAGACTATCCGCGTTCTTCTTCTGCGGCATGAGCGAGCTACCCGTCGAGTACGCATCTGCGAGCCTGACGAAGCCGAATTCCAAACTCGAGTAGATGATCAGGTCCTCTGCCCAGCGAGACATCTTGAGCATGAAGCTGGAGCCCCACTGCAGAGTTTCAAAGACAAAGTCGCGGTCGCCGACGGCGTTGAGCGAGTTTGTGAGGAGGGATTCAAAACCGAGTTCTGCGGCCATGGCGGCCCGGTCGATGTTGAACGGGTTTCCGGCAAGGGCGCCGCAGCCGAGCGGGGAGCGGTTCACGCGCTTGATGACTTCGCGGAGGCGCTCGAGTTCAGAGGCAAAAGCCGTGGCGTGCGAGAGGATCCAGTGCGACCAGCGGACTGGCTGGGCTTTCTGGAGATGTGTGTAGCCGGGCATGAGCACGTCGATTTCAGCTTCGGCTCGCTGCACAGACGTCTTGATAAGCAGCTTTAGGTAGCCCTCAAGTGTACGGAGTTGTTCTCGCAGCCATAACCGCATGTCGGTTGCGACTTGCTCATTTCGACTCCGCCCTGTGTGTAGTTTTCCGCCAATGTCTTTGCCGATGATTTCGCTCAGCCTCCGCTCGTTTGCAGTGTGAATGTCTTCGTCGTTTGCTTTGACTTGGAACGAATTCGATGCCCACTCTTCCTTGATCTGGGCCATGCCCTTTTCAATGGCAGCGAACTCGTCCTCTGTGAGGATGCCATTGTTCTTGTTGGCGCGAGCAAAGGCAATGGAGCCGGCAATGTCTTCAGCGTAGAATAGTCGGTCATAGGGTAGCGAAGCGTTGTACTGCTCCATGACTGGGTCAAGCCCCTCTGTGCACACACACATGTTAGTCTTCAGTCCTCTTAGCCCGATTGAGCGATTGAACATGCATACCCGTGAAACGGCCTCCCCAGAGCATGTTTTCCGCTACCTTCTTCTCAGATGCCATCTTGTGCGTGTACAAAGGTAAGATTAGCGAAATTGTGATGTGACTGTTTGCGCGTGAGAAAAAGTTATGACGCCGCATCGGCGGCAAGGGTCTGCGACTGCGCTACCGACTGCGGGGAGCATTCCGCCCTTCCCCACCTCCGATACGGACTAAAGATATCTCAGCCACCAAGCAGTGCGCGTCTCCTTCTCCAAATTGCCAATTAATGCAAAGTCATAACTAGTGCTTGCGTCGGTTATCTCATCTGATAATCACGAATACGATCGATTGTCCTGTGACGATCCCCCGTATCGGTGCATATGCACGGCATCACTCCAAGTACTCCAATCTTAGCGTGTAACGGGCCTCTGTGGTGTTTTATGTGGACATTTATGCAAACTGTTGAATTTGAAGCCTAAAGAGGCTGGATTGGTGATACCGTATAAGATGGAGTTATCCAACCTTGTATGGACATGATGCCATGTCTACTAAATACGCTATACGCCAACTCGTTTACGCCGAGACCAGAATGCGTACAGTTCCGTTCCGATGTATAAATGCTAAGAATACAAACTCAATAAATGATTGCTTAGCTAGAGTCTAGATCTGCAGCTAAAACGCTTGCTTATTCAACAAAGGGAACAAGCAAATGCTCTAGCTGTAAAGCCAGACTCTAGCTATAAAGTAACAGAGTGTCCAACAAGCTCCGTAGCTTGGAACAGCAAACATCTTGCCAGATGTTCTTGACTGTGTGGTACCGCTTGTATAAAACGCCAGTGGGCAGAGGTATCGTGCAGTAAAGCAGAATAGCAATATCGACAGTATTAGATGGTGGTATAAATGCGAAAACGTCCGTCGTTACGAATGCAGTACTCTCCTGGACAGATGGGTATATATGGCGAAGATGGGTATGAATAGCGATATGGTGATGCGGTCGTGCTCAGGTGTGTAAATGGCTTCTGATGCTCGTCGCCGTGTGACTTGGTGGCGAGGGTAGAGCCAAGGACGACATGGATGTAAGGGATGGTATCGAGGCCAAGGACAGGCGTCCAGCTGTGAAGACGCGAACTTAGCTTATCTGATCTGACGAATAGATGGCGACAAGAAGGCCGAGTCGGGAATAGGTGTGTAAAAAGGGCAAGCACTAACGCTCTCGGAACCATCGCACAAGCCGGCCACGCTCATTGGCATTCTGCGCTTCAAGATGAGCACTGCGCTCAAAGAGATCCTATCAACGTTAGCATGCTAGAACTACCAGCACCATCAACCAACTCACATCTTCGTCTTTGGTGATTTTCACGTCCAGGATGAGATTTCGGATCTCTTCGCACTTTTGCCAGTTGGGATATGGCGTACCCTGTGCACGTTGTACTCCAACAATGACTTCGCCCATGATCTCAAACTTGCGCCAGTTTATTCTCTCTTTTCCAGTTACCCCGCCAGGCGGTGCTTCCTTGCTATCTCGCTTTCCTGCAATGCCTTCGAAGACACTGACTCCTGGGTGGGGTGAGAATGCCGAATCAGTCTTCTTCTTGTCATTGACGAAGGTCGAATTCCCTTCCGAGGCTGATACTAGGTCGCGGCGGTGCAAGGGAATATACGGTATGCGCTCTCCTGAACTGTTTTCCCATGCCAGTCGATATGCGCCGTGTGACTTTGAGTGGTTCATCAGGATGTCGAGCTTCCAAAAGTCCTGAGTTGTAGGTTGGGGAACTAGGTCCCTTGTTGCGATCAAACGAGAAACCGCTGTGCCTTTGATACCTGCCAGAACAGCACCCAACATGTTGTAGTCGTTCAGCTTTCGGAGCTGTCGCGCAATCTTCATCCACTTCTCCATCATAAGCGCCCTATGCTTTGGTTTGTCGCGTAGAAGAATGTAATTCGATACCAGAAAAGCGACATGGTTGAAATGGTCGGTCATCCGTGTCACATTCTCCAGGTTCTTGCATCTCTTCTTCTCTTCGGCATTCAGGCTGACGTGCCGGACAAGATCACGTGGTCGCACTGAAGAAAACATGATCCAGTCTATCCGAGTCATTTCTCTTGCAATGGCCTCTTCCGATTCACCCATCAGTTGGTGCCATTGGATCTTGGACAAGGGTTTGATAGGGTTGGGCTCCAACTGTCGGGCGAGTCGTTCATTCTTCTCCACTTGGGTTAGTAGGATCTGCGATGAGCCCATAGATCCGTCCAAGGATGGTGTGCCGCCTGTCACGCTGCTCCGTGCAACTGAATTTCTTGCAGAGGGGCCGGTCATGTGGCCTAACGCTCTTGAAAATTCATCCTCGTCCGAATCTTCATCCAGTACGTTGTTGTGGAAGGTGGGTATATTCTCATTTTGTGCGCGTTGGCGATCGCTGCATGCCCAATCGGTATCATCGTCTTCAACCACCATTTCAAGATCTCTGATAATCTCAGTCGCAGCTACTGAAAATTCGCGGTTCGAGGCCAGAGAGGTTGCAAATCTGCGGATGAGTCGGCGTGTGGTCGGATAGGCAAAGTCACCGGGATAGTATGCAACCCATTGCTGCAGTATGGCCAGGTAGCGAAGCTGTGAGATGATGCGAATCATTGGTAAGTCTTTCTCCTTGTTGATGGCCTCAAAACGCTTAATGATGGCTTCCAGCAACTGACCTGGAGTTGCGAACCTCCGGTACAAGGCCAGGAAAACAGAGACGAATTTGGAGTCATTCTTGGACATTGGCTGGGCGAGTAGGCGGTCGACCAGCTGTTCAAAAGTATATCCGTTCTCATCGGAAGGCTTCACGGACATGATGCTTTGGCCGGCGTCGGAATCCTGGTCATCGGAGTCCTGCGAGTCATAGCCGGGAGATTCCTCGGCATTGAAGAAAGTTTTGTTGGTATCGCTGGGCTTATAACGGTCACTCTTAACTTCGCTGGACTGGCGTTGAAACCTCATGGAGATTTCTGAGCTAGCACGCTCGTGTTTGCGAGCCCAAAGGTCCTTTTGGGTGATTGATTTGACTGCAGAAGAATTGGCACGCCGTCGTGCCATGGACGAGGCTTGGGAACGGGCTGTACTGGGTCAATAAAGTGCATGCTTGGCGCACAAGTATGGATGTTGCGTGTTCGCAGGGTCAGGCTGTTCCAAAAGGAAATGAGAGACTTACGTCGCTTAGCCGCTATGGCTGCTCGAGCGATAACTGACAGGCATGCTCGGTGCGTCTCCGGAGCAGATTCCGATGTCTGAAACGCGCACAAGCCGTCAATGAAGGTTTTGGCTCTTTGCTCAATCACGGCTGTGTCGACATGGCGATGTGCGGGGTGTTGATCGCATTTGCAGGCGACCAATACAATGGGCAACTGGGCCTTGTTAAGTATGCCTGTGGGTTTGGTCAGCATGCCAAACCAAGGCATCCTCACGGATACTAACTGAGCATATCCGGGACCTTGCCCAGACTGTCTGAATTTGTGACATCATACAGTATGACGGCGGCATCTATGCGTGGAGTGACACTGTCGTGCACCGTTTCTGGCCACTTGATGATGCAGCGCTCGGTCAGGTGCACGTCGTCGGCCATCATTTCGAGGAAGCGCACAAGGTAGGGCGAGCCATCAATGGCAATGGTGCGCGAGCAGTTGCTCGTCGTGGCCGCGTCGGGCAGGCCGAGGGCTCTTCGTATGAAGGTGGATCTTCCAGAGCCCCGCGCGCCGATGACGGCCATGTTCAGTTCTTGCATAGCCGGCGCGCCCGAGTCGCTGTTGGCAGACTGGAGGGAGACATGCGTCAGCGTTTCGCCATACGAGCGCTGAGGCGCAGAGACAGCACTTACACCCGTCGAGGGCTCCGATGCCGCGTCGCCGGCAGGCTGGCGGTCCTTGGCGTGCGTGGGAGACAGAGGGCCTTCAGTGTCGGACGACGACGCGGCGCTGCTGTCACCTTGGTCCTCTTCCTCTGGGTATGGGACCTGGTGGGGGAAGTGGTAGCGCTGGAAGAAGGCGTCGTCGGTGATCTCTTCGCCCTCGCAGCCCTCGTCGGTACTACTGAGCTGCGTCGATGCGGCTGCTTCATCCGTCCGGGGCACATTGGGAGCCGAATATGCGCGCGTCTTCAGGCCAGGGCGCTGGGGGGCGATGCCGGCACTGCTTTCTCTGCGCGGCGCCTGCATCTTGGGCGCGGGGGAAGCGTGCACTGCACGGCTGCCTCCTGTCGCGGGCACTTTGGCGCCTCTGCGGGCACTTTGGCTGGGGCGCTCAGTCGCGGCGCGTGGGCGCAGACAATGGCCTGTACGTGTACGACGTGATGGCGGGCGTGAAGACAGGCCCCAGGCGCACTTGGGACATTGGAAAATGCCGAGCCGGAGGGAGGGAAGAGGGAGGGAAGCAGAATCCAGAAGAGAGACAGCAGGAGACACAGCAGTTAAGTCAAGGCCAGGCGGTGGTGAAAACAAGGGGAGTCCTGGCGAAGACGTGGATAGTGCAGTATAGACGTCCAGCTGTTGAGACGAGCTCGTGTGTTCTTGCAGTTGCAGGCGGGGATCAATCGAGTCCAAAGTCCAAGGTTGGTGTGAACGCCAGGGTCTAGCAGGCCTTAGCTCGCAAATGCAAAAGGATGCGCGTAACGAGCTCTAGTCTTCCCGCGCCGACATGGCACTTGACTCTGTCCAAAGGCTGTAATGTGCATAGCCAGCTCAAACGTTCCCCCGCCCCTGACGCTCTGACGGCCGGCTTCATGCAATGCTATCCAAACTCTCCTCTCTCTCTCTCTCTCTCTCTCCCTCTACTCTCACTCTTGTCGCTGCACCAAGTCCGTCTGACTCCCGACTGAACCATGTGACAAGCTTCAACCTTCTCTCCTTGGACCTGCACGCCCGTGTCGACATGTGGGCGTGGGCACGTGTGTCCCGTAGTGCACCACCATCCGGCATAGAAACCTTGGCTTCCCCTAGCGTCCCTCTGTCTGAATCTGTCATGCCCAGATGTGCCCAGAAGATTGCTCGCAACATGAACAGCTTCCCCGAGCCACTCAAATCACTACTGTAGATGGTTGTCATCGCCAACCCATGTTTGTTTGCACACCTCGCACCACTTGTCATCCGCGAACACATAAGCCGGCCTCTCCACAGGCGGGGTTGAAGCTGGTTAGATACTACACGCTATAGCTGGCCGCACATATCGCTCGACGCTGCAACTTGACCGGCTGTTAGTTGCCCTGCCGCCGTTGGGTTTGCGTAGTGCGTACCAGGTGCCCTGCCCAAACCATGATATGCGGATAGGGGCTCTTCTTGCACCCTCTGCCCGGCACCTATCTTCGGGAATGCCCCTGCCATGGCCTCGCATCCTACCCACTGAAGTGACATTTGTTTCATTTCGACACGACTTGGCTACCATCTATATTGATCTGCGCCACATTTCCGACCGATCGACGCTCTCTCCACACGCAATCGCCCTAGCCTACCAATGGCTCCAACTTACTCCAAACTTGGTGTACCACCGAAAATGGCCGACATGCGGCATATGCACTTCAGCATTGCTATCACGTCTACTGCAACCTCAGCCCATGCTTATCATGCCAAAACTGTGACTGCGCTGGCGAGATTCGACCGTCGCCCATCTCCGCATTGTGGCTGCCTACGAAAACCAATATCCCTATCGTACCACCCCACGATGCCTCACTCCTCAGCCACTGGTATGTGAGCCATTTAGCCTCTTTTCTATAAAACTACTCGCCTCATTCCAACATGGCGGGCACCCTACATCACTTGGCTCAACATGGCCACAATCGACCGCGTACTTTACCTTGGAAACGCGACCCAGCGTCGATATACGAGTGCAACCGTGTCAGTGCCTCGTATCTTTGGAAAGGTAGCCCTTGAGGAACATGTAGGCACGAGTATCTGGGCCAAGTATAATCTTACCCCACCCGCCAATGCTGTCGTAGGCGTACTCAACCGTCCGCCTACACTGGTAAGGCAACAAACTTCCGTGATCCTGTAAACTCAACTCAATACTCACTAGCCCAATACACTCGATACGATAGCACGCCTTGACGACATCAACGGACGCCTGTCGTCCATGAACCACAGCGGCATAGGCTATGTCATCGTCTCGCTCAGTTCCCCTGGCATCCAAGGCGTACACGACACCGCATTAGCAATAAAGTTCTCAACGGACATCAACGATGAACTCTACCTCAAATACGCCAATGCCTACCCCGACAAGTTTGCCTTCTTTGCTACCGTCCCCATGCAAGACCCCGTAGCTGCCGCCTCTGAGCTCGAGCGCGCCGTTAGTCTCCTCGGAGCAAAAGGCGCCGCTATAAACGGATACACGGATATTGGCCCGCCCGGTAACTCGACTACACGCTACCTAGACGACCCCATCAATGCCCCCTTCTGGAGCAAAGTCGCTGCCTTGAATGTGCCCATATACCTGCACCCCCGCGCCCCTCCACCATCCCAACAACTCGTATACAACTATCCCAACAACTCCCTTAGCGCCTACCCCGGCCTTGTGACAGGCGGATTTGCCTATGGCGCAGAAACTGCAGTCCACGCTTTGCGTCTCATGCTATCCGGCCTCTTCGACACACATCCAAACATCCAAATTATCCTCGGTCATGCAGCAGAAGGTCTACCTTTTCTGATACACCGCTCAGATACGCAACTCGCTGCAGAGGTTCCCGGTACTAATGGCCCATATAAGCGCCCACTGAGGTACTATCTCCGCAACAACTTCTACGCCACGTTATCAGGTGTGCGTCGCTTGTCGACGACGCAGTGTACGCTAGCGGAAATGGGTGAAGAGAGAGTCTTGTTTAGTGTGGATTACCCGTTTCAGAGTAATGAGGATGCGGCGGATTGGTTCGATGGGGTTGAGGGGATGAGCGTGGAGACGAAGAGGAAGGTTGCGAGGGGAAATGCGAGAAGGTTGTTTAATTTGACTGTGGACTTGGATGAGCGGCAGATTGATGGGGATTTCATGTGAAATACACGTGAACTACGCATTGTGATTCTTCATCTCGCACCACATAACTCATGTCATTACATTAAAAATTACTCGTAATACATATATCGAATTCACATGGAAAACACACCACACACACAATCGTCCTATCTCCCCATCCGGAACATGCCTAGAATCCCACCAAAACACCCCGCCCCTCCCTCACCATCATCATCACAGTCTCCCTTCTCCCCTGTCCCTTTACCCATCCTAACTAATTCCTCCTCCCTCTCCTGCTCCAGCTCATTCGCCCGTCGAACCCTCTCCTTCATACTCGCCCGTCGTATACCATAAAACTCCATCTTAGCCTCGTCGCGCTCAGCCTTCCACTGCGCCAGCGTCTCTCGCCTAGGTACCGTACGCTTCTCCAGTGTGTTAGGGCTGGTAGACTTGGGATAGTACCGATTGTTGGTTGGGGACGGGGTGGATAGTGGCTGCGGTGGAGACTTGTGGTACGAGTGTGGTCGTGGCCGGGATGACACGCTTGGGCGGTGTGGACTTCTCATCGGGTATGGATATGTCTTGTGTCTGTGGGTAAGAGACAGGGGACGCTCAGCCGTTAGTGCGACAAGCGACTCTAGTCGTGCTCGTTGTATGTCGCTGTGTTGGTGATGTTGGGATGATGTGCTGTGTCGTTTGTTTGAGCCGGGCGACTCGACATGTAGGCTGGGTAATGAGGAAGTTCTTGTACCGGTACCAGGTCGACATGGGAAGGTATATGACGGTACTGTGGTGAGCTCCTTGTGTATGTATCGAGTGGGCATGGAATGGTGCCGTAGTTTCGGAGGAGGCGAGGCGATGGGCAGCGGCGGAGAGGCACAGGATGCATCCGACGAGGAACCAGATCGCGATCTTCTTACTACGCTGTCGCGGGTGGACTGATAGGAGCTGGAATCTGTGCTTTCTCTCTCGGGCGCTCCAATGTCAAAGGTGGAAGCATCGGAGTGGCCAGCCATTGTCCCGAGACTGGATCGATGATCGAGTGTGTTGGAAGAGGATGATGAGATGCCGCTGATTGAGCGGCTATTTGCGAGCATTTGATGGCTAGAGTATGACCGGAGGCTGGTGCTGGAAGGGGATGGTATTGGCTTCCTCGGTATCGTGGAGTAGCCTCCGTTTGGAGGTATGTGACTTAGAGGCTGCTGACGATATGTTGATGCTGCTACAGCTCGTTCACTTTGTATCCTTGCTCTCTCTCTTCTTGCGTTCCAACCTTCTTTTTCCATGGCTGCTTCGTTGCTAGAGGGATCTTGCGACGACTGTACATGGTATGGTGAGGACGGATGCATAGGTGGAGAGACGGCAAGAGCCTGGAGACATTGTTGGCTTGAAGAATACTGGGGTAAGCTTCGCCTTTTGCTGAGGTCTTGAGAGCTCCTTTTGGTAGCAGGACGGTGGGTTTGACTTCGTTGTTTGGGCTTTCCCGCAATAAAGGAACTGAAGTCGGGCGCTGCATCATCTGTGACGCACAATTCACTGATAGTATGTAGACTTCTCCTTCTTCCCTGTATCTGTCGGGAATTCGAGGGGAGCTGATCGGTGGGGGCCATTCCCCGTGGAAGAGGTTTTTGGAGAGGCATATTCTGGGTTGACTTTGTTGAATAGGTAGCAGTTTGCTCGAGGCTGTGATAAGCTATGACGACATGTACGAGTCGCTCAAACGATGGAATAGACAGGCGTCTCGGGAGTATCGTCAAGCGAACGCTGGGTGTGAAGTGCAAGACCACAGGTAATTACGGTTAAGCAAGCTCCTTCGGCAATGCCTGCGGAAGGTAGCATCTCCAGTACCATGGCTTGCTTAAAAGAACCAGCAAGCGCGATTTCCCGGTGTACACTGACTCGGAGCACAGATGAACGAGCTTTTCTCCTCACCAACGACGCGTCTCGATGCACATGATCGGTGGATCTCGGAACAGAGCTGGAGTCTGTGTCACAACCCTTGCATACATCGTCGCTCTTGCGCCAACTTGCGGCTTTTCAAAGGTCTGAACGTTTCGTTGGCGTTGCACAACAGTTCAAGAACTGAACTTGTAGATACCTTGTACGGACAGTGCTCCTTGGAAACAGCGGTCAGTGTGGTTGAGGAGTAACCTTGGTAAGCAGCGGGACTCTGATAACTAGAGAATACACGGGTGCAGTGACCAGGAGCACTGCGACCTCAACCGACGGCGACTTCAGAAGGAGGGGTTTGAGGGGCGAAGTGCTGAATGAAGCATACATTCTCATCTCTCGGCATTTTCCTGAATGTTCAACATCCCCGAGATCTGGCCAACACTAGTGCTAAATCTCATCAGAAGAAGTAACAGGCGGAGCTATTTACTGTTGAGGATCAAGGTTGATCACATCGGGAAGGCCATTCCGTCGGCGACCCGAGCATTGGTGTAGAAGCGCGTGGCCGACAGGGGAGCCAGTCTTATCCCGTGACAAAGCCTAGCTCAGATCCAGCTCGAGGGGAAATCGGACCCCGCGAGTACGACAGCGTGGCAACACGACGAGATTACAGGTCTATGCGGGCGCACCGCCACGTTGCGTTCTGTGGGACCTCGTGTAACAATGGAGCGGCCCGCGTAGTGAACCATCGTAGGCTCGGAGGAAGTGGATATCCAATGGTCTGATGTACATCTAATATTGATAGGGATAATAATAACTCCAAAGCTGTGGTCGGCGACAAGTCCGCTACTAACAAGGAGCGATACACTGCTCCTGTCAAGCAAAGGTCATTGTGTCTCCTGTAGGCAGCGTGGCAAGTCCGAGACACGACACCATTTCGCCTTTTGCGACCATGTCCGCGTTGAAAACGAAAGAAGACTGCATGGCGCGTGCGAACAATCGATGCCAAGAGCTGTGGGTTGTGGGGATGTCGGTGCTCCATCGGTGAGCTGTTGGCGAAAGCGGACAGGCGCAGTGGGGTTTGCGTATTGATATTCGTCATCGTCATGAGAACATGGATTTCTTCTTTCCCATTGTATTCGCCATGACTCCTCTTCTTCTATCGTAGTACACAGCGTCATTTGCCGCGCCAAACACCACCCTAGTCACAGCTATCGACTCTCCATCCGGGACGAACGATTCGTTTTCGCGTGTTCGGATGGCGAGCCGAAGCTAGAACAGCCATGCCGTCAGTGCGTGTGGCCTTTTCCTCCGATCATGGGTTAGGTGCAGTAGTATCGCTCCGATACCGACTCTGGGGTGAGCCCAAAGGTATCCGAGCAGGTCTTGAATCACCAATTCTTGAGAAAAGAATGGTTCCATCTCGAATAGGCGACTGGCATATCACATTGTCTTGGTGGCGCCGTTGCGGGCAAGGTTCACCGAGAGTCTACTTATAGAGCTTGAGCGACGCACATGAAGAATAGGGCGATGCGATTCCGTGGATTTCCTACCAACAGACCGTTCAATCTTGCTAGGCACGCACGGGAAGGCTCGAAGAAGGAGTGGTCGTGGCTCTCTTCCATGGTAGCTAGCGGCTCTGACGAGAGAGGGGGCCGGGCGCTCTCCACTCTTTTTCTCAGGCTCTGTCGTGGTCGGGGCTGGGTTCGACTGAGGATCTTCAATCACGTGGGTTTGCGGTTGTGTATCAGGAGGCGAACCAGATTCCATCTCGGGTTGCGTGGTGTTCTGAGGCGACTGCCTTGCCATCGAAGTCGGCTTGGTGGGCCGGGAGAAGTTCGGAATATCCTGGACAGCATGTTTGGTGATGATTACAGGCTGCGCAACAACATGCGCTGATGAAGATTGTACGGGTCGTGGAATTCTTGAAGTGGCAGGGAGTGACCATCGCGGGATATTGGATCCAGTACTTGACCTGCGTGTCAAATGCGAGGTCGCTATAGAATGTCGCGTCTTCTCCAAAGGTTCCATTTCGGTAGTTTCGGCAACTGATGGGAGAACGGGGTTCCTGAGGCGCGTAGCACTGGATGATCGTGTGGAAAGACCGCGCTTCAGGCTTCTCCGGCGGGTAGGTGCGGTCGGGGTCACTACTTCCTCTTTCATATCGAGATGCACTTCCATGACGACCGCCACCTGGCCAGCAACATCTCGCGGATCCAGCATAGCCAACTCTCTATATCTTTCGTCAAACGTCCTCCACCATCTCTGGCTCATCAGGTTCAGAGTCATGGCTAGCGTGCGAGTGCAAGCCATGTTTTCGGTCCAGGTTTTGTGTATAGCAAGAGCACGCTCCATTTTTTGGCAAGCTTTCGCAACACGCTCTTTGCTCAGACGACTCCATGGTTTAAGGATTCCCACGACATCATCACTTGGAGCATCTGCAGTGATCTCGCTCCAAATCATGTACAGGCGGTGAAGGTCCCATCCGGCGTTCAGCAGGTTGTTGCTGGTCATGACCACGATGGTGCGCAGATCTGATATCTTATTGAGAGTGATAGTAGTTACCATTGTGGTAAACCGGAAGTTCTCGATACTATCCACAAGGTCCTCCAAATGGTCATTGGATACGTCAGAGCCATGCGCACCTTCGACGACTGTAGAGCGCCGGGAGAACCGGGCATTGTTAGACGGGCGTCTCCGAGAGATCCAGGAAGGCGCGTAATTCGAGGCAACAACTGCACTGCGACGCGTGTGTGTGTTTGGTACACGCGTTTCCTGTCCCAACTTGGTCGAATGTCCTGTGGGGATAGGGTCTAAGATGGCTGAGAAATATGCACACAATTCATTTGCGCCATTCATACGGATTGCGTCGCATCCTTCCATGCCAACATTGTCTTTGATACGTTAGCACGAAGGCAATGAGGGTCCAGCAAGTAAGATACTAACCGGGCACGACGGTGTACATGCGAGTGTGGATGCCCATCGGATGACGTTCTTGGCTACTTTGGCATTAATTTGACGCAATATAAACACTGGGGAAACAGGTCGCTTACGATTAATTTAGCACTATAAGTGTACGGAAAAGGAAAGAGGCGGCTATGGCTGACAGTTTTTAGATAAACGATTGAAGACCAGCTTCGGAGAATTCTTTTGTCGCAGCAAGTGAAAAGGGGTCCATCTGTCAAAGAGAGGTACCGTATTGTAGCAGACACGGTTGCTTCTGCTTACGTGATCGCTACCGGCTGAGTATGCTCAAAGACTTTGGAAGGTTTACAGTATTTGAATCAGTAACTGGGGACCGTTCCAACTTTCAAATGTTGAGGGTTGACTAGATGGGTCTGGCCGTTACGCTTAGGCCAGTCGAAGTTCTGTCGGATGTACTGCAATTTCTATGCTACAGCCGTCAGACGCGGGATGTCAACAGAATAACTTGTGTTGACCCTGCGTCGGTCAAACCAAACGGTATGTTAGTCCGGTCACGTCCGCGCGACCGTGTTTTGAGCTCCCGCCGCATTGCGCGAATCGCGGCCTCGGTACCATGACTGCGGCCGAGATTGCATGCAGGGTGTTAACGGTCCGAAGGCTTGTCATAATATCATTATTGATTCTTTTATCTTTGTGATGCTACTATTCAAGCCCAAAATCCAGCAACCAAATGAACTCCTAAACGCTCAGACAGAGTCTCCACATACGCTTCCCGGTGTTGTGGTCGGTGGTATCGATCGGGCCGAGTCGTTAACGTCGTGGGAACAGAACATGCGATATCGATCAAGCACTATTCACTGTTAAGTTCAGTTACATGTACATGCCAGAGGGCTGGCGAGGGAAGAATAGAAAGGAGGGGTCGTGTTGCGGACAAAGTGCACGATGAAAGCGATGGGAGTCTTTTCGATTTGGATGACAACAATGTGTTATTGGCTGTGCAATGCCAATTAGCATTCGTCTGTCCTCATCTACTCGGTACCTTCGTCGCTTTCGCTCGTGCAGTCTTGTATGGCGCAGTGTAAGCGAAAGGGCGAAGGTGGGGGTGAACTTACTACAAGCTTAGCGTCAGGTCACCGCGAATGCTCGCTTTGAGTTCAATCTCGATTTCCAAATTCGCCTCCAACGTCAACTTTAGACCGTCCTGGTCCTTCAGCTCGCTGCCCTTTTGTTGCGGCTCCATGCGGTAGGGTTCGTTTGGGTTTGTGCCGCGCATGGGGATCTCTCCTCTCATTGCGCGCGCATGTGTGACGGGGCCGTCCATTGATGTGCTGTCGGGACCGATGCGCTCGAACATGCCCATCTTTTGGAGGTCGCCATTTGCATCGGCTTCCTCGAGGACTTCTAACGATGTAGTGTGCATGTACTTTCCGTTCTTCTTGTCTTCTTCGAGACGTTGACGGCGGGCACGGCGCGATGATGAGCGGGACCGTGCAGACTGTAAGCCCGCCTCCCGTTTGTCTTGTTTCTTCTTGTTGATGGCCTTTTGCTGTGCCATGGTCGACCTCTCCTGCACCTCCGAGTCGGAGCCGTTGTCTTGGTTTTTGTCCGCCATGTCGTCGGGAATCCTTGCGATCATTCAATGTCTCAGGCGGGTGATGGGACGAAAACTGCGGTAAACAGTATCTCAAGTGTATAGTAAATGAGGTTGAAAGGGAAACTTCAGACAGGGTAAACTGCCAAACAACAAGTTCCAAGGTCAAAGTCCAGGTCAAGGTTCAAGCAAGAGCCGGAGGTTCCACACAAGGACGCATGCCGCGACTAGCATCATGGCAGCTCCACGCCAAAAACAAGATTACTCGCAACGCCTGAGATGACCAGCACCAGCGCTGCAGAACAAGGCTACAGGCCACAGCAGAAAGTCTAGCCCGTTCCCACTTCATCCGCCGCTGCTGCACCCACTATCCGTTTCACCGTTCTAGCATAGGGCCGGTGACGTCAAACATTTATCCCCAAGCGACCTCGTCTCCACATACTTGACGGCTGTCGGTTGCATGATATGAGACTGACGTAAAATCCTTGTTTTGGCTGATGTGGCTCTGCAAAGATCACTACTCTTTTTTCTCCTTAGCTGACGACGCGCGAGGCAGGCGAAGCGGACCAGTCTGCTCCGCCAAGCCTCTTCCGTTCCACGTCCCTGGCTAGACCAACTTCCCGTTCCAAACTTCCCATCAATCGCCTAACGCGGTCCGCTGACCGCGCTGTCAATAACCGTTTCGCTATTGCACTTCCTGCTGCTCCCAAGCCGTGGCGAGGCAAAATCCTGTCTCGTCGCATAGCGAGGAAACGAACGTGGTTGGAGCCTGCCTGATTGCGAAGACGCTTGTTTCTATATCTAGTTTATGATATCATATTGCGTTCAAGTAACTATACAGTTTGAGTTCACCATTTATCGAATATCACGTGTCAATTGTAAACCTCGGCTCCATCATCACCCAAATCAAGGCCAGAGATTACTATTTGATTTCAGGTAAAAGTACGATTGGTTTTGTTGTATTCTGAATACATTGCGCACAGGCACTGTGGCACTACCTGCGAAAACTCCAGGCCAAAACGCCATCCAAATGTTCAATTAAAACCGTGCGATACATGTCGTGCATTAGCATTAATCGTCGAGTACAGTTTAGTTCCTGAGCAATGTTAGCAATGCGAATCATCAATGTCTGACATAATTGTCACTTACAGTAATCCAAGTGTGAGGTCACCGTGGATCTTGGCCTTGAGCTGAATCTCAATGTCGAGATTGAGCTCCAATCGCAGTCGCAGTTGCTCGCCTCCATCCTTTCCACCTTCTTCTTCACCACCGCCGCCGCCGCCAGTCAGACCTCCAAGGGCCTTGCCAGCAGTGTCGCCAACTTGGTTGACGGCGTTACCAGCGGTGTTTTGGACCATGTCTCCAGCACCACCGAGCGCGTCTCCTCCAGGGACGTTCTCGGTGATGTCGTCGAGTGGACCGCCGCCCTTTCCGCCCTTCTTCTGGCGCTGGCGGTTGCGACGGCCGCCTGATTGCGAGACATCCGACCGCGCATCCGATTCGGCACCAGACTCTGCGCCTCGACGGCCGCGGCCACGCGACTGGCGGCGTCTCGATTGCGACTTGGACTTTTCTTGCTGGGGTTCATCGGAGTCGTCGGCGTCGGCGCCGTTGGATTGCTTTTTGGATTCTGCGTCCTCTTGCTCAGCTTTCCCTTCGCCATCGCTATCGGGGGCAGGAGTGGCTTCAGGAGTGGGCTGCTGTTGAGGCTTCTTTCCGCCCAGCTTCTTCGGCGTCTTCCTTTCGGTTTTCTTACTCGATGATTCCGCGCTGCCCTTGCCGCCTACCGAGGCGTTGGCGTCTGCCTGTCCCTCTCCCGACACGGATTGCTTGTTCTCCTCGACTGTATCCGCCATGGTGTTGATGCGGTTTTAGGAGTGATTTGTGGAAGTAGTAGTATGAGTGATGCTTTGCGCACAAGACGTAAGTAAACTCAATGCTGCTTCGGAAGTTCGACAAGAATCTAGGGGCCACGGGAGCAATTTGTTGGTAAGATAATACCCGACAAGAGCACAGGAACCGGTTTGATGCTTGGACGCTTCTTGTTACCCATGCCGCTACACGACCCACCCGTCATGCGGCCTGACGCACAATGTGGCACCCACATTCACCCCACTCACGAGGCGAGATCCCTCGTCTCAAAACCTGACGTCATATCTGGATCCCTCAGCCCCGGGACACCAGCCACACCTTTGACACCTGGCAGCATCCCGGAAGATCAATGCAAATTTCGCTTCGGCAACTGTGCCCACTCCAATGCGTTCCAGGCTTTTTCTCGTTCCCTGATACCATGTCTGATTAGAGCGCGGATAGTCGTCCGTTAGTCCGGTGTCAATGGATCGAATCGATCGAGCAACGCGTCAGCCAGACGCGTTCATGTCGATCGCGTTGCCATCGTATGACTTCCAAGGTTGTGTTGTGAAGTTGATATTACTGGATTCCATGCAATGGCTAGCGAAGAACTACATCATGTGATATAAGCCTCGCAGTCAGCCTCCCTAGCCTGCTTACCATACGACGGAAGCTTGCCGTATTATGAAACTAACCGAAATTGTGGACTTCCTGTCTTGGTCGAAGGCTGAAGTTTATCAAGGATGTTGGAATTTTGCTAGCAGCTAGCGGGCGTTGAGAAAGGACTAGACGATCGCGGGGTATGGCTCGTTCATCTTCCGATCATCGCCGGGCCGACGGCCTCCGGGCAAGCGCGATACATCGTCCACACACCGCGCCTAGTCCAGCTCCCATAGGAGAACAGCCACCAGGAAAAGATCGCGATCAACTACCAATGGGTTCCCCAAACACCCAGGATGAAGCCACCAGGCAGCGCATCATTAAGCACATGAACACTGACCACCACGACTCTGTACGCGCGCTAGAACAACGTAACGCTGATGTCAAGCACGAGTCTCGTTTCTGATTCTGACCGCAGATACGCCGATATGTCGAGGCCTTCGCTTCCAAGTCCGTGTTCCAGAGCCGCAAGGCGCAGATGATCGATATCGATCTCAACCAGATGGTGATTAGCTCCGGGGACGGCCAACGATCCGTCATCACTTTCGATCCACCGATGCAAAATCTCCGCGAAGCCCGTGAGCGCGTTGTGCAGCTGGACAAAGATGCGCAGCAAATCCTAGGCCGAAGTGATATTCCAGTCACAACCTTCATCCCCACGTACAGGCACCCGACCCATTTGGCTCTGTTCACAACGTCCTTACTGTGCTTCCTTTTGCTTCCTCGACAGGCCAACTGGCAACCTGGTTCGCTACTTTACGATAGCGTGCTACATCTCGTACCAGGTACCGCCAGCTTTGTTGCTAAATTCGGTTGGACCGTCGTTTTTCTCATGCTAGCTCATGTTATTGAGGCTTTCATCATGGTGAGAAAGCTGGCAAGGCACGGATGCACCTTTCTTGATGCGGTGTGGTGGAAATGGGTAGGTACCTGCCTCGTAGAGGGCTTTACTTCGTTCAGGAGATTGGACGCTTTGGTCGAAGAGAAGAAGAGGGAGAAAGAGGCTAAGAAGCATTGAATGGTGTCATTGTTCACTGGTATCTCAGGTTTCGCAGTTCATGTTGAGCCTCGTCGGGGCACGTGATTGCGCATTGTCTCGTAAACCTAGCGTGTGCATGTTTGAGTCGGGGGCAGCAGCATGTGGAGAAAGAAAGCATTGTTGTATCTTGTGTTGAGCGATATAAAGCAATCCAGTGTATCCTAAGGCTCTGGCTTGTTAGTACCTACAGAGATGCGTGTGCTAGGGCAGCAAAGAGTCATAATTATCATCATTTTTGACCCTGCACAGCCTTGCTCAAGGCTACCGAGTGAGGCGGGTGTGGCTTTTTCGCAGTCTGCCTTGCCTCCGCCGCGCACCTGGGTGACATGAAATACTTGACATAATAGTATACAAAGGCCACTGTAGGCGCCATGCACGCCTGTTAGGTGCGATGCTGCTTAAAGTGCAGAGTCTATTCAAGATTATGAGTGCGTGCTGAGAACATTGTTGTGGTTGCGCCTACGTGAGGGGTATGGACCTCAACCCCCCTCTTCCTAGCAGAGCCGCATGACGGAGTTGCCGGAAATTACGGCGGTGAAAAGTCTAGAGAATTACCGAAAATTACGGTGATGCAAAGCCTGGGGAATTGAGTTGGTCAGGCCATTTTGCACTAAGCCTATTTAGCACGCTACCAATCGTAACATGTTTGTTCGCGTCGAGTGTATCTGTGCTAGGTGTGAAAGAGGTGCCAAATCAAAACGGTGCCTAGGTAGTTCAAGAATATGGATGACATCATTCACTCCGAGTGCTAGCGCTGACCTTTGCTGCAATGTAAGATAGCCAATCGTAACTCGTTCAAGGGCGGCCCAGGCAAGTGATTGCGGCGATGCATAACTGAGAGAGCTGCGATGTGGACGCAATTTTGCACTAAGCCTATTTGTATCGAACGTTGTAACGAGCGTCACGTGTTGTCGATTCTTGCGACTAAAGTATGAGAAGTGCTTAAAATATATGAAGATACGGCATGTATCACACACTTCGCAGAAGACTTGCGCAAATGAACTGGATATCAAACTTTACGTGTTGATGACTATATCTATCCCACCGGCGAGCATACTCACATCATCTTTCTCCAAGGGGTACATATACCACTAGCGCACTTTATGTAGACGATGGAGGTGCCGCATTGGCACCGCTCTTATCGTTTAAGATCGAAGGGCACATCAAGCTCTAAGAGCGCTATTAGTATTCAACCATGCGAGAAAACAGTTGACATTGACATACCATGATCGCGGAAACTCGATCTGAGCCCTGCACTTCTTTGGAAAGTCCAAATCCACCGCGCGCAAGTTGTAATTTGCGCAACTGGCGGGATTGAACTGCCTGAGAGCTGTTAGAACCAGAAGACTCCAAAATGAGTCATCTCTTACCTCCTCAATTGTATCCTTCATAATGTACCGAATAATCGTAACTGCTCTCTCTTGTCCAAGTCGTATAACACGCCCAATTGCTTGATTCTCCACTGAAGGATTCCATTGTGGCTCGACGATATGGATGATATTGGCTGCCTTGAGCTTGTTCGAGCCGACTGCGCCAGTGCCCAGAGTTATCAACAAAACCCTCGTAGTCGATGACTCCTCAAAATCAGTGAGAATACGGCTTCGTTTGCTGGCAGATAAAGTGCCATGTATGCGGAAGCACGAGATGGAGTACTTGTCGAATAGGCTAGCAGTAATGTCGAGAGTCGTTTTCCAGAAAGAAAAGATGATGCTAGTATATCTTTAGCGCATGAAAGTAGGTGATAAGAAGCCAACTATCAAGGTTTTACCAATTTGTTGAGAAAGAGACTTGCCATTTATCTCTGATGCTTTGATTGCGGACGTTGTCAAGGAGCGAGAGTAGTTTGGTAGGGTACTCCGTAACCTTTATCTTATCGCTGTCATTCTCAGCCGAAGAAGGGTTAACCAAAAAGGAGTGTATATCTGCTCTCAATCCACAGATAGGGCATCGGCTGCGACCGTCTTCTAGATTTTCGTCCAAATCTGTTTCAAACTCGACAAGACATACCCCACACAGCAAATGCTGGCAGACAATGAGTGTGCCAGAGCTTTGATCGTCCCTTTGATACATGGCCACAATGTCGCAGTCACAATTGATGCATTTGGCATCTGAGGAGGTTTGCAAAAAGCTCAAAGCTTCTTCAGGCTCGATGGGGAGTCCACGGGCATGTTTCCTATTAATCAAAGCCTTTTCTCCGTCGTTGCAGAATAGTCGCATGCCTAATATGGCTTGTATGACATGCTGATTTGCTTTTTGAATACTATGGCCCGACACTGCCAAGTCGATCGCATGTCTACAGCCTTCTGCATAGTCGTGGTATTGTATATGCTCCTTAGGGGAAAGCTGGAGAAGCGTTGTCATCGTGATTGGCTCAGGCTGATTCAACAGCGCTTTTGTTCGGCGCAAACATATCGCCTGAAGTAGCGTACTCATATTCGCGAAGCGTCCGTTTGTGTTGGTAAGAATGGGAGTGCTGATGCTTCTGCGAAAGACGACTAGATCTTCGAGCACTGGTACTCTCAGAAACTTGACGAGCGCACCAAGATCTTCTAGAGAGTTCTGGATAGGTGTTCCTGTAAGGCACCAACGTATATGTGCGGGTATAGATTGTATGGCTCTGTATTGTTTCCGTGACGGATTCCGAATGTAGTGAGCTACAAAAATGAGCATATATCGTAATAGAGAGCTTGGGGAGATGTAATTACCCTCGTCCAGTACGAGGCGGTACCAGGCAACATGGCTCAATATAGCTTGTCCGCGGCAGAAGTCTGTAGCAATGGTTGCGTATGTCGTGAGGACTATATCTTTGCGAAGTAAATCAGAAAGATCGATAGCCTTGTCTGAACCATGATAACGATGCACAACAACGGTTTCAGGAAGGAGATGTCTATTCGATGTCAGAAAGTTCAAACCATATGTATTGTATCACAGACTTCCTGATCTCCTCTTCCCAGCTGTCCAACAACACTGACAACATTAGCCTTATGTCTGATTAAGTGTGGGAATCTATCAAAGCTCACATGACGAAGGTACAACGACGAGGGTTGTCTTGGAGGGAGTAATGTCTTGCCATGATGTTGTCGAACCTCTTGTATGGGTTACAGCGTAATCGAGAGCTCTTCCTAGTGAATTCACTATGACGGCCAACATCGAAAGTGTTTTCCCCAGACCCATATCATCCGCAATAATGCCACCCGGGATATCCTCTCTTTCGCTTATTTTGGCACCGGTTATGGAGTGTTTATAACTAGGAATTTCAGTGTGAATACGATAGGCTGCACAGGAGAAGCTCACTAGAACGAACCCCCGGGCGGATAGTGGGGTCTCCAAAGGCTTAATGGAGGAGGCAGATCTCCCGTCTCTCTTGCGATCATGTAATCAACGGCTTCTTTCTGGTATCTTTTCGGCATCAGCAAATGTCAACGTGTTGTACAAAAACTTACTTCATCAGGACGGTGCGTATCTGCGTGCTCGTTACCACTTCTCTCAGAAACCTAGTTTGAGGTATATGGTCCAATATAGAGTCCAGCTCCAGTCTCGAAACTTCTTTGTCGGCATCTTGAATTGTTACCTCTGAATTTTCTTTTGGTGTGTTTAACACGTGGATGTGTGAGACATTAGGTAGTTTAAGGTACTGAGGGTTGTCATAGGGTAGTGATACCGTAGTAAACCTCGGGCATTGAAGGAAACATTTCGCATCGCCGAGTAATTTACCCGCCGATTTAGCGACTGTCGTGACCCCGGGTCCGTTGATGATCATGTCTAATGAGAGAGTAGCAGATGTTCCAGACTTTCTCCACTCTCCTCTGGCGTTTTGGAGGCTTGCCCACAAGGTAACACCTTCTAGCCGGACGCCTGGGAGGTTCTTTAAACGTTTTAAAACTCGTGAAAGTCTTCCGTTCAAGCATCCGAAATTGACGCCATCGTATGATCTCATCCAGCAGTAGCTATCGACGAAGCTGGGCTCAAACGTGATGATACTGTCCTTCTCATCTTTTGGTGGATTCTCACAGAAAGCTAGCGGATCCCCCCTGATTTGCAGGGACAGATCAAGTAACTATTGAAGTAAGCCTCTGAGTTGAAATAGATATCGTTGGTTTTGGTCATTACTGAGCCATAACAGACAATCTCCCCTTTATCCAGTCCTTCAGAATACTGCAATGGACTTCTGCTTGAGCTTCGTGAATTATCGTGTGAACCATGCGTGTCGTTGATGCTACTAGATATGCCAGACTCAAGGCTTGATTCGTGCTCAGTATGACCTGAATCAGCGATCAGTACAATGCCAATTTCTCAGCCTTTTACGCAGCAGTACCGGAACTTGAGGTAGAAGATACAGATCGCCTCTTTGATACCGTTGGATGATCGCTCGGATGCAAGAATCTTTTCATCGTGAATTGTACCAGGTGGGTACCTAATACATCGTGTGGTTGCGACGGGTACCTAGATGTTAGCTCCAGGAAGCGACCTGGGCAAAATATAACGCCAATTGTCCAAAATTCGCCACGTCAGCGGCACATTGTGTGACTTGCATGTCGTCGCACAGTCTGGGCGGGCTGAGTGATGGGGGCGGATATTGACCGGTGGGCTCAGAACGGCAATGCCATGGGCCGACAGGCCACCCTCGCACAGCACCACGGCTGCCCTTCACTTCCAACTTAACACTTACATGATCATTACCGTCAAGACTACCAGATTATGGCTGCCCAAGCTACTGCGTTCCATCTTGTGCTGGAGAAGTTCAAAGCGAGTTTAAGCGACAAAGAAAAGAAGCAATTTGCAGCAACCACAATCGATGATCTGAGTGCCGCCATAGAAACGATTCAGCAGAAGCAACAGTCCGAAAAGAAACTGAGAGCCATGAGCCAACTTGAGCGGTTTCTCGAAGGCATGAAAGAATATGACAAAGTCCTGTCCGTATTCCTTAACACCAGCACAATCCTGGCGTTTGTTTGGGTACGAGTGATACTGAGATAATGCGTCGCCTAAGACTAAATTGAATGCAAACAGGGTCCTATGAAGCTCCTCTTACAGGTAGATACGTCTTCCACGGCTACTCAGCACCGCGCACTCCACAGCCCGCTGTATAGCTTGCATGTCTCTTAACAACACCAATATGTCGAGCCTGTAGGAGACGGTGCTTGTAGGGACAAATTGCTGACTATTTATAAGGTAGCATGCACATTCCATGAAGCATTTGATGCTTTAATGAATGCTTACCAGCGCATTGGAGAACACATGCCTTTACTCGCCCAATACGAAGACTACTTTCGCAACCACCCAAGAATGTTTCAGCTGCTAAGACTCATATATGAGGACATCCTTAACTTTCATTGGAAAGCAATGAAGTACTTCAAGAAACGCAGTGGGTGGTTGAAGATCATGGATTAATTCAGCAGACATCTGACTGACAGACTACAGTGTGGCAACAATTCTTTCAAGCTCTTTGGAAGAGTTTCGACGCCGAGTTTTCAAACATACTTCGCAATTTACGTGAACATATGGCGTTGATCGAATCACAGGCGACTGTAGCACAGTTTGCTGAGATTATCGTTACCCGAGCAAGGGTCGAACTGGAATTCGACAGGCAAAGAGACGAAGAAATACACAGACGCCGCATCATGTGTCATCAGTGGCTTGTAGCTGCTAATTGTGGTGCCGATCAAGAAACATATGCCCGGGTGCGGCAGGAGTATCCGGGCACTGGACAGTGGTTCTTGCAAAAGAACCGCTTTCGCTCCTGGTTTGACCCGAACTTCTGCTCAACACCTTTACTGTGGATGAATGGTATTCCGGGAGCAGGTAAGAAGCTATTGGAACAATTACAGACCCGGCTTACGTTGAAACAGGCAAAACCATTCTAGCATCTTTGGTGATTGAGGAAGCTCAGAAGCTTCAGGATGTACACATTGCATTTTTTTATTGTCGATATCAAGACAATGACAAGAGCACATTCCTCAGAGTTGCACGTGGTATTCTCTCCCAGTTACTGCTACAGGACGATGGTCTGCTTTCTTATCTCTACAACAAGATGTCGACAAGCGGGCAAGTTACACTTTCAAAGGAAACCGTCGCCAAAGAGTTGCTGGAAATAGCGCTGAAGGCCTTTGAGAAGCTTTACATTGTTATCGACGGAATCGACGAGTGTGAAAAAGACGAGAGACACAAAATCGTGTCGCTCTTCGAAAAGACGTGGGAATCACTGCCCCAAGGTGACGCTGATCAGCTTCGTTGCCTGTTTGTTAGCCAAGACGACAACATTGCTAGGAAGGACTTTGAGAAAATGCCATCACTCAAAGTCACAGAGAGCGATACACAAAGAGACATAGTCACGTATGTGACAGCAAAAAGCTTGCGTATCAAGACCAAGTTCGATTTGACAGCAGACCGGCAGCTTTTAATCCAAGACCAAATAATCAAGAGCGCAGATGGTAAGAAAGAGATCGTTTTGAGATTCGCGCATTCTGATGTACATAGGTATGTTTCTGTTTGCGCACTTGATGACATCTTACCTCCTCGATCAAACCTCTGTGGCGGAACTTGAAAATGAGTTATCACCGGAGAAAATCCCGCAAGGCTCCACAAGGCTGGAAGACATGTTAGTCGCATTTCTAAAATTCACTAAGACACACGATAACACAAGACAGTTATTCTCGAATTTGGGACCGTCTGTCTCACAGAGCAGACTCTGCAAATACCAGGTCTCTTCAGTTGCTGACTTGGCTCATATGTGCAAAACGACCGCTATTATGACGAGAGAATCAGTGCGCAGTTTCCATCAATCTTAATGACCAGAGTATGGACTGGGAGCGCAACCGGTTTCGTGTCGATTCCAAGGAATTGTGCGGGTCGCTGGTCGAGATACACGCTGACGGCACTGTCGTCCTTGTCCACCATACTGCCAAGAGGTAAGAAAGATCTAAGCCTTATATCTACCAAAGGAACTTGTCACTTGTATCTCGATGAGTCTTGCTGAGTAATTCAGGTACTTAATTGACAAGCATTGTGTCGATCTAGGGTCGGGCGAGGCTGCGTTGGCCCTACTATGCCTCGGTTATCTTGTCTTTGAAGGCTTCGACGTTGAATATGACGAGCTTGACATATCAGAACGTGTGCCTTCGGGTTATTATGGCTTTTTGGATTACGCTTATGCATACTGGTCCCGCCATGTGGATGCATACTTGCGTGTGCACGACACCAACGAGTCCACCCTACGCGAAGTGTCTGAGTCTGCAGAGGTTTTCATGGATATGTATTGGACACAACCTCAGACCAAGACAGTGGTTCCAAAATCATTCTTCGCACGTTGGGAGTTGTTGAAAGATAACCGCAATTTCGACGAGCTGGTCGTAGCAGGCTACCTCGCCCAGAGGCAACTTGTCGCATTAAAGACGCATGCCACAGATGCGCAAGCACCCAAACTCTGCAACATGCTGACCAAAGTACGCGAATGCCTTGAGAACGTAGTTTCTCCAGCAAATGCAACGGAAAAACTTCGACTGATGTATGGTAAGGATATCTTCAGATGTCCCAAAGTACATTGTGTAAGATTCTACAGCGGCTTTTCAACTGCACAAGAGCGAGAGGATCATGTCCTCAAGCACGAAAGGTCCTTTTTCTGCTCTTTTCCAGGCTGCGCCATGGCTATACTAGGTTGCGCCACGCTGAAAGAGCTGCACAAGCATGAAACCGATTTTCACGGCACATTTGATTTTGACGATGACGAGGCTGAATACCCAGATCTTCCTCCCCGGACCGTGTCGTATGATTGCACGCAGTGCGACGCCAAATTCACGCGCAATTTCAACCTCAAAAACCATATGCGAAGTCGCCACCAGGCTGCTGAAAGTAGACCTACCTATGTCTGTACAACATGTGGTAAAAGCTTTGGGAAGAAAGGCGATTGTGACCGTCACGAGACCACCACACACTCTAGAGCCAAATCTTTTGTCTGTGGAGGTGAGCTCAAAGATGGTACTCCATGGGGTTGTCGCAGAGATGTCAACAAGCAAGTCAAGCTGGCTTGATTCTTATCGATTGCAGATCACAGACCATTCTCAGGGACGTGCCACTGGGCACGAGCCTCTATATTGTCTGTGATCTGGCACTTACTTGAATCAAGACAGATTAACTAGTGTGCAGGCGACATAGGCAAGGTGTGTATGCTGCCCAAACAGCAAGAGGAGGAAGCAGAGGCGGCTAGCTCGAACGCTTCAGCACGGACCTCCACTGTATCCACACCAAATACTTGAACAAAAAGAGATTAGCGTAATATTAGTCGTTTACAACAGCTTTCTACACTTTGCATCGCCGCAATCATGTGACTCAAGTGGCAATATTTTGGCCCTCTATACTGAAAATGGCAGTTGAACTGCATAGTGCATTGCCAAGCTAAGAGATACAACCAATAAAAAAGGCTCCCACACCTCCACTATTACGCCACTACCTGGAAAAGGTTAATGCAAGTCAGAATACGGAGGTGCCTTTCAAAAGTTCTGTCCTGCCAAGAATAATTCAGCCGAAGTCTGGCCGCCTCACCTGAGGCCGATCCCTCCTCTATATACTCATTACCATCTTGCAGCTCAATTATTTTTGGAATATGTACAAGAATTCGCTTAATCCAAGCTTGGATTCTCTGCTGAGAGAGATCTCTCCAGCATTTCTGCCAGATCTTGACCGCGTCAGCTCTTGACTGAGGAGCTCCCTTCTTTGTTGTCTCCTTTTTCATGTAGAACTAGCATGGCTTAATGCAGTTACAGTCTGGCGAGTTACCACACCAGAGTAGTCTCTGGACATCGTAGAGACGATATACGACGCTCTGGTAGTAGTGAGCGTGGGCATGTGCTTTATCCTCTATTACGACTGTCTGAGGCCTATCTTGGAGACACTCTTTGGCGAAGGGAATTAGCTTTAGAATAAGAACGCAGGTCTGATATCTCCACCAGTCTACACCACCTCCAGACGTACGCACCAGCTTGCCTGTATTCTCTGTCCATCTCCACTGAGGTTTTCTGCCAGACTTATTGCGTAGCCCTGTCCTTCTCATAGACTCTGACAGCTCCCACTCCTCTCTCTGTATAGGCTTAAGCTCTGCGTTCAGCTGCTCAATCTTCTGAGCAGCGTCTTCTTTCTCCGTCTTCGTCTCTGGCTGATAGACATGGCATAGACCTTTCTTGTCGTACGAGAAGCAGCCCCAGAACATGAACTCAGAGTATCCCTTCTAACTTTCACGGATATAGCTCTTAACTACTCTCTCATCTGCTCTTCTCTAGACTCTATAACCCCCACGTCGGTGGTTAATTACTACAGACGTCTCATCTGTCTAGATGACATTCTTCTAGTCCTCTAACGTCTAATCCTTGTGATCTATTGCCCACCTTAGACGACCATTCCCTATCTGCTGTGTTAACCTAGGCTTCCTCGTTGGCTTGGTCTTCTTGTACCCCGCCTCTCCTAATACCCTCCAGACTGTAGTGTCTGAGATATTGACTCCTTTGAGACTGAGAGCACCAGCAACGTCAGCGCAGCTCTTCTCTCGTCCATATTTATCACGCCGTACATGTTGGATTATCTCCTCCTTCACCTCCTCCGTCTGCCTCGTGGGTCGGCCAGAGCGAGGAGCGTCCTGTACGTGGTGCGGGAGAATCTTGAGAGGAAGGACGTTCGGCTCGAATCCAGCAGCGATAGCTCTGCTATAGATACGGTTGACCGTACGAGGATGAACACCAGTCAGCTCTGAGATCTGTGACGTAGACTTGCCTACAGGAGGTGACTTTAACGTCATAATTAAGGCACAGGTGTAAGAATTATTATTAGGAGACATAGTAACGATACAGAGTAATCGTATAGCTATTTAGCTTGTTGGAGGTAAGATTTATGCCAAGAAGAGTTGCGCCGAAGCACCGAGATTAGCGTGGGACAAAACTTTTGAAAGGTACCTCTGTTACAGTGCAAGCAGTGAGAGAAAGATGCTGTGCATTTGTTGATGTATTGTTGTATGTACTGCTGTGGTGATGGCCTTTTATATGGCCATCACAATAGTCTGTTTACATGACGTATCTATGACACGGATAGGTGTAGAAGGTGCTTCTCAAGAAGAGGAGGAACCATCTCATCACCACATGGCACCTGGAATGTCCTTACCCCATAAAGCGTCACAACCTCCGTACATGCAAGTCAGAATGACAAAGCCGCGTATGCCTCGCGCAGGCCCTACATGGCCACAATAACAACACTGATTATAACTCTACACACTTGATGAAGGTGGAGAAAACGTGTGTGAACTTGTTATATTAGAGCTACGGGAGGAGGGAGAATATCTATGGTGTGCGCACGGAGCAGCTGACTAATCAGTGCCTGGCAAATCAGAGCACGGGAAGCCTGATTCACCGTGAATACTAGTGAAGGCTCTCACCGCGTCTTGACAACACTGAGCGAACAACAGGCCCTCTCGCCTGTACTACTCTTCAGCTGCAATAACACCGCAAGATTCCGTAATTCTCATGTATTTACGCTTCGGCTGCGACATTTCAGATCTTCAGACCTCCTGGTTCTAAGTTACTCCTCACTTCAGCGAGTAACGATGCGCCTGCCCATCTTTCAACATCAAATACATATTCATGAAGCACTATGTTACCCCCAAAAGCACACAATTCTCGCTTCAATACTCTCCCTAGGCGGCTCCTCCTGACTACCCTGTAGCCTAAAAGCAGTATGAGGACATCTCCAACCCGGACTATCCCTCTTCGTATCAAACCCCTTGAAAACCACCATCTCCCAAGGCTGCATCTCAGACATATAGTACCACTGATGCTTCTGCTCCTCGTCCCTATGACTCATTACATAATTCTCCGACTTAATACCCGTCCTACTGAACTCGCGCAAACGGACCTGATAATCATAGTCGGGAACGGTAGTAGCATCGCATACAGCCAGTGGATCTTTTCGCACCGTCTTCAGGGGACGCCAGGCGCCGAGGAAGGCGAAGCGCGTGCTTGTGTCGAAGAGTTTGGAGATGTGGGGTGGGAAGTTGAGTTCGAGTTTTGTGCCTTCGATGGCGGCTGAGGAGCCGGCGTAGTCGACGTGAGGGTGGCCGGCGGGGATGTCTTGCCAGCGGCCTTTTGAGTCTTGGATGCCTTTCTCAGATGGGGAGGAGTGCGCGCGCATCACGTGATTGAATACGTGGGCTGTTGATGCGTCGGTTCTGGTGGCTGGAGGTCAGTTGTTGTAACCTAATATGATAGTGGTTTTTACATCTTTTTGGCGATATCTTCAAGCTCGGGGTAGTATTTGCGCTTCACCGTTTCTTCGTCGTCGTCACGGGTTACGCGGGTTTTCTTCTCTGGCAGTTGCACGAATTGGAAGCCATGTACGTCAAGATTGAAGGGTTTAACACTTGTTCGGACATCGCGTATGAGCATGGGACGTGTGTAGGCGTCGTTGGAGTCTAGGTATCGCGGCTTCCATTCTGACTTGGGAATTGGAGTACCAAGGGCTGGGAAGTAGTTAACACAGTCCGCAACAATCAATTAAGTGGGTCCTAGAAGGTTCAGATTGGATTGATTGATTACCGCTTTAAGCCTAGTAGTTACCTATAGGAGTTTAAGCCCTACCTAGATAGGTAAGTGGGTCTAGGAGAGTGACCGGATTGAATTGATTGTTGCGGAGTCTAGTAGTTAATGTCTGCAATGACGTCAGTACTGTGTGTTTCTCGACGCATGTTTAGCATGATGAAATATCCGTTCAAATTGATATCACTCTCTCGAAAGTTCAGTGGGCTGAAGTCTGGGTGCTTGAGGTCTTAGTCTGTACATTGTTGAGCGTCGCGGATCCGCTCGGTGAATGGGAAGTGGGGTAGATCCGGCGTTACATTTCAGCGGATAATACTCAACTGGTAACCAACACTACCTAGGATAAGCATTTTGTATTCTCGCAAAGATGAATTAGGTAATAAAACTGCCGTGAGTTATTATAATGCATGGACATCTTGCAACGTATGAACAAAATACGTATCTTACCCGATTGCTACTAAGTATCACAGTCTTCCTTGAATCTGTCCGTTGTCAACACTTCCTCCAAAATCTTTCAAATCAACAGACGCATCGTCGTTACTCCTAGTTCCTGATTATCCAGGGGTATGCTGGATACAGCGGACTTGCTTGGACGAAGTTAGCCACCAAGGCTCCCAGACCTACTATTCTTATACCTATCAATCTTCCTGTCCGCAGTATGGTGAGCTGTATTTTGAACCCCTTCTTTGTTGTGTTATATGTGTATGGAGCAGTATGTGAATACCAATTCTCTATTTCTCGTAGCCACCCACGTATTTTGTTGCTGCTAACGAACTGATGCCTTAATGTGTACTTTGCATCCCTAGGAAGGCATTTCTATTTTGGTTTATGATTACAATTTCAGGTACACCCGGGTGTCATAAAATACTGGGCATACTAGTGTAAAAAGGCCAATGTAGTCGCCAGACACGTCTATTGGGTGCTTACCCACACTGTCCAGTATTTTATGTCACCCAGGTGGGTACGACCCAAGACATGCGAAGCAGAGGCGCCATCACTACAACCGGTAGACGATGACCATGCATGAGCCAATAGACCCTTGACCTGACTTGCCCAGCCGGCACTTACCCCCGGTGTCTTCTTGGCTTCAGTTGCTAAAGGGTTTGGATTGTGACGTCGATGTTTTCTGAGCTTGAATCCAGATACATATACTGTCTAGATTTGAGACAACCAAAGAGCTGTAATCACGTTGACTGGAGCCCTCTCCAGGATACCTGGATATGATGTTGGCGATTCTTCATGAACATCCATTACTGGAAATCTGTCAATTACGTATTCCGGGGCCAATTATCCCTCTCGTCATCCTCTCTTACCCTTTCGTGGTACGATTGCGCACCGGCCGCCGTACTCTATCCCATCTATCTGCCCAAGAACACCTCAGACACTTCCTGACCCTATTCTAACTCCTATTCTACATCACCAGCATTCACGACTTCCTCACCAAGAAAGAAAACGAGCAAACAATCAACCTCCCGTTGCTAGAATATCTCTCCCTAGTCTATGGCGAAGTAGCGCTAGCAGAGTCCAGTGTATGGCTTTACACTTCCATAGCTACAGGATGGCTCCTATCTACCTTCCCGAGTATCATCCCCACCCGACTAAAAGTACCACTGTCTACGAGAAGATGGATCCCACTCCTCTTCTCCATATCCGGCGTTCTGGGCACGAGTAAGCTACTGAGCGCCGAACCCACGATGAGCGCATTATCGTTGTTCACGCGGATGGTGTTCTGGCTCTCGAGTTAAACAAACAGTTCTACACTGGTTCTCGGCATCCACACCTTCTCGTCTCCTGCTCCCCGTTTTCGCGAGACCATGCTATATCCTCTTTATCCGAGCAATACGCAGCCACTCCTGGTCAAACAAACTGTACTTCGCTATTCGAGCCTGGCTTTGCCGCGTCCAGCAACGCGTCGTACCGTGCCCAGATGTTTCTAAGTTCACTGTTGCCCTGCATACATTGCATATCGCAACGTGGATGATGACTAGTTTAGTCTTCACCTGCTTCCCCTGGCGACGGCTAGTATTTGGTGAACCATCGACGGCACCGGCTTGGACTGTATACTCGATGATGGGGGGATGCAACTCTTCAATTGTTCCTGTCTCGTGATCTGGTGGCAAGAGTGGCGTCTTGTGGGTGAGGGCTCGTCTGCACAGAGATACTTGAGGCACTGTCTGCTGGAAATGTGGTGGACAAATGCGTCCTATGTAGTGTTGTGGTTAGTATTGGAGGGGATTGTTTGGGCGATGAACTAGGGTTTGGTGATGAATAGGGATTTATAAGTTTGCGTTCTAGATTCTGTGAGGCTCTGCTAGATGGTCAACACCGTACATGTCGACTCTACCTGCATCGACTGAAGACACATCTCAGACAGCTTCATCCAATCGACTATTCCAACACGAATCCCTACACTCCGCCAGACCCCGTTATGCATTCCCCGTCTCGGGATCCATCAGTTACCCGGACATTTCTGACGACTGATTCGAAACCCTGGTGCCGTTAGAAGATATATTGGTGCGGAAGACGGGATGTAGGCGGCCCGTGAATTTCGTTTTGGTGCAATCTCTCAACTCTTTTCGCGGGGACATCAAAGGGTAAAAAAAATTCAAAAGGACAGTTCTCTACGATAAAAATAAAGTTGCTCCAAAGTAGAATACAAATGAAATACTAAAACAGCCGCTTGATAAGATGGTAACGCCTTGCACCCCTCTTCCTTGTGCGTCGATAGCAAAATAGAAAAGCACCTTGTCAACGCCTATCCAGGTGTAAAGACAAGTTTAACTGCATCACCAGTCAACGTGCAAATTTTGCTTGGGTATCTCTTGGTGTTGAATTGCGAAGAAAAGAAAACTACCTATATATCCCTAAATGTGCCCTTTGGAGGAAAGTCCCTCACTAGATCGAAAATTGCAGCTATTGCGCTCCTGGTGAAAATGCTCGGTATGGCTGTTGTTGCCCTATGGACCCAGACACGGGTGTGTATGCCCGCTGACCTGGGTATGCTGGCACAGGCGGGGATGTAGGCTTGGCCGGCTCAGTGGCCACATAGCCTGGCGCAAGTGACTGTGGTACTGACTGTTGTGCAGGTGCTGGCGCGAAGTTGTCGTAAGACGGGGCTGGACTGTTGTTGCTGTCGTTGTAGCCGTATGGGTTCGACGGTGGTGGCGCTGGGGATTGGTATCGATCCGGCGAGTCATAGTAGTCACGTTGATTGTATGAGCCTGCCTGCTGGTACGATCCTTGTTGATTGTACTGAGATGTCTGCTGATTATACTGAGACGCCTGCTGATTGTACTGCTGGGAGTTTTGTTGGTTGTACTGCTGGGAGTTTTGTTGGTTGTACTGCTGAGGGCTCTGTTGGTTGTACTGCTGAGGGCTCTGTTGATTGTACTGCTGAGAGCTCGGTTGGTTGTATTGATTTAGCTGGTCTCGGGAATCGTATGCTTGTGGCTGGCGACCGTATGGTTGCTGTCGTTGCTGCTGTGCGTAACCCCCAGCATATCCCCCTCCACCCTGCACTGGTGATGTATTCTGGGGAGGCGAACGTCTGCCATAGCCGTCTTGCTGGGCGTAAGACTGGTGTACTGGCCTTGGCTAGTGAGGGGTGCCGTTTCACCGCCGAACGAGTCATTGTCACGGCCTGAAGGGTAGCCGTAGTTGTCTACTGCTGAAACCGGGGACCTGCCCGGGCCGGGCGACCGTCGCGTTCCAGGTATTGCGGCTGCGGCTGTGGCTGTGGCTGCCACGGATCCGCTGGCTACGCTGCCGTTGCGATCCAGCCTGTCCATTTCCAGATCACCGCGCTTTTCAGGCACAGGCTGTTCCTCGACCTCGATATGTACATCCCGCCCGTCCTTCCATGTCGGCATAGCTGGGAGGGCATCTTCGTTGACTACCGCTTTGGTCGAGTCAAATGTGGCGAATTGTGGTCGTTCTGGCTTCGCGGCGGGGGCAAAGGTCGGCATGGCATTGGAGCGATATTGCTGGTTTACGGGCCGTGTATCAATTGGCGGTGCGGGTGGTGCAGCGGCATGCGCTTGTGCGTAGGGGTTTTGCGCATAGGGATTTGGTGGAGGGGCTCCATATGGTTGAGGATATGGAGCTGCCGGGTCACTCTTGACGCGCTTATGGCCTCTCGAGCCACCGCTGGGACAGCAGCAGGTACAGCATTTAAAGCAGCAGCATGCCAACTCGGCGCCGCAGCATATACAGCGCGCTATGCAGGCAATGACGGAGAACAGAATGAGGCCTCCGATGATAATTCCGACAATGACTGGCCATCTGAGGTATGTGAGCAAGGGAAATCAAGGCCTCTCGTATCTACGCACTTGCAGTAGGTTTTGGACATGCAACTGTCCCATGATGAAAAGGTCGTCTTTACATCATCCAAGGGGTTCTGGCGCGCCAACAGCAGAGGCGCAAGTCGGGAAGGCATTGCGACGCCTAAAGACAACACAACGTCGAAAAATTCAAGGAGACGATGTGTCTGTAGCTATGGAGATGCCGGCCAGCGGATATGTCGTCAAGTCGTGAAATGCGGTACGGGGCTGGGTATAAATGCCGCTATATGGCGCTATATCACTGTCGATGAGGAGAAGGATATAACGATCGTCGGTGGAGGGCGTGCCGCATGTCGCTACTAAGGCAGCGGCATCAGGAAGGAAGGATGCAAGAAACAAGCGACAGACTCATGAGTGCATCTCTTACACTCCCCTTGTTATGACGCCCGTTGCTTAAGGCGAAACGTCTGTGAAGCTTGGAAGGGGCGGGAGAAGGCCAAGGACCCTTGCAACGCGTTCGGTGGCTGAGCTTCCGCGTCGATCCTAGGCCACCCATTCCCCGCGCTGACCAAACCGCGATCCTCAATTCACTGCACAAAAGACGCGCGTGAATTGATGATCATGTGGACAATGCCGCGTATTGGCTTTGCAAGTTGACGTCTGGCGAGTACCGAGTTGTGCTAATGAAGAAAAACCCCCATAGGAAGCAACATCATCAACCAACACCTGGGACGTGCAGAACTATATCTGACTGGAGGCCTATTCGACGGCAAGAACGGCACACAATGGCAAACAAGCTCCAGATTCAACTATATTAAGCATTCACTTGTTCAAACAACTTGGCGACCTTGTCTAACCATCATCATGCGTGTCACTCTTTTACACAAACCATGCCGCTCGATCGTGGCATGGTCTTTTATAACAGTTATCATCACAGCATGGGACACTGCTTTCATTATGCTTCGCCCTCATAGCTTACCAGGTGGTAAACTCGCAGTCTTCTTCAAACCCATGGCACAATGGGCTAAGATCGACTACTTGTATGGCGAGCAAGCATGGTTAGACAAAAATCCTTTGCCCACAGGAAAGGTTCTCGTTGGGTGCGTGGTGCAAAACTTGTACACGTTCTATCTGTTGGCTCTGCTCTCAGGAGACTCAATGGGTTGGCCGTTGAAGTCGAAGGGCATTAGAGGAGCCTCAGCCATCGCCGCGACTATGACTGGCCTAATCGCGGCCGTCATGCAGCTTACCACAGCATCATTCTACAGTATGTTTGTCTTTGCTCCATGCGTTGGAGGAAATACACTGAGAGAAGCCGTAGTCTCGGCAGAACTGGGATCCCCCGTGTTTTATGAGCAGACTTACTCAATCACCATCTGGCTCGTCGTAACGTAAGTCCTCAAAACATGACCGATCTAGCTTGGCTAATGCTAGAGTACAGCGTTTCGTATCTCATTGCCTCCTATTTCGTTGCGGGGCATTTCGTAAAGTACGCATTCGGTGTATGGAGATTCGACAGTGAGACGGAACAGTCTGACACTTTGATAATGCACGATAGACGACACATACTGTAACATGATCCATGGGCGAGCGGCGCACACGGGCGAGCGGCGCACCCCACCAACTTTTGCAACTTTAAAGCGATGCATCTCAACAACGCGATAATATTATTGCTAGATATTAATACAGTAGATTACTCTATATTAATAGTATCAGTCTTGCATGTGCGCGAGTTGTGCCCAGTCTCCTTGCACCTAGTGCAGCGCCTTTGAGCCCGCTGGCTAAGGCCTGATCGCGCTCCTCCTTGACGCTCTTCATGAGCAATCTGCTGGTCAGCCTCATTTTGAGCCAGTATATCCTCTCCAGCTCCCTTTGTGAGTACTCCATGCTTCTGTATACGCCTTTTAGAGCGCCGCCTACGCTCTGAGGCTGCGCTGTTGGCCTTCTCAAGACTAGAGATCCGATCGCGCATCAGCTCAGCAGAGAGCATCATCACCTCGGCGCCCTTCTTTAGCTGGTCAATCGCCATAATAATTGAAGCTGGTGATGAGCTCTTGTGCTGGCGCACGCGCTCACGTATTAGGCTTGACTGAGCCTCAAGCTCACGTACGTTGCTCGGCGTTTGAGCTACCCAGGGAGCCTCTGGCAGAGCTGCTGGAGGAGTAGGTGTACGCAGTTGTACATCTACCTTTGATAGAACAGCCTCTGGTTGTAGAGGAACAAGGCCTGCGCCGCGGAAGGCTGAGCAGATATTGGCTGGCGTGAACGCTTGATCAAATGCTGCCTTGAACGCTGGCAGAAACTCTAGCTTGGTGATGTGGTTGATGTGGTTGCGCATGAGGCTCTCCACCTCACGGCTGTACGCGCGCTTCAATGGCGAGAAGCAGCCAACATCAAGTGGCTGGAGTAGGTGAGATGAGTGAGGAGGCATACAGAGCGTATGGATATTGTTCTCCTTGCAGAGCTCCTGGAACTCTAGAGATTGGTGGCTCTTATGGCCATCAATAATAAGCAGGCGACGCGCGCCTACACTACGAGCCTGCGTGTGAGCGTTGAAGTGCTTTAGCCACTCAACTCCAAGCTCATTATTCGTCCAGCCATTATCGCTGACTGCGATCGCCCAGTCGCGTGGGATCTCAGCTTCCTTATACCAGGCTGATAGGTGGTACTGGCCAGCGAAGATGAGGAACGGTGGGACTGACCAGCCAGCAGCGCTGATAGCAGCGATCAGCGTTACCCACTCGCGATTGCCTGGCTGAATACTCTTCGGCCTGCCTCTCCTCTCTGCTCCTGTTATAACTAGCTGCGTTGTAATCTTGCCCATCATAAAGCCAGCTTCATCAAAGTTGTAGACGTCCTCATCGCAGATACCTAGCTCAGCCTTTGTCTCTTCTATAAGCTTAAACCACCTCTTTATTAATGTTGCATCCTCACAAAGAGCTCTCTGCCTATCGTACGCTTGGTTGAAACACGTCCGAAGACTGTCTGTACGCTTAACAAAGGTAGATGGCCAGTTGACTCCAACCTGCTCTCCACCACGCGCAGCCAGCAGCTTATCAGCCATATCACGTACAGCTGTGTAGGTAGGCGCAAATCCACGCAGATCTAGCTGAAGTATATAGCTGATAATCACCTCCTCTTCTCTCTGGGTAAGCTTCCTTGAGTTGGGCGGGCAATCGCGTCGGGCAGGTATACCAGCGCGTCGGCGGCGGAGCGTTGTTTCGGCTACGTTGTAGACTACTGCAGCAGTACGGGTACCTTGGATCTGGTGCGCATTAATAGATGAGATAGCAAGCTGAATATCTGCTTCATTTGATAGTAATTGAGTAGCGCTGCGTTGAGCCATTGTAGATTAAGATCAGTAAGGTGAGTAAAGTTGGTGGGGTGCGCCGCTCGCCCGTGTGCGCCGCTCGCCCATGGATCATGTTAGGATGGTAATAGAACTATTATATCCATCAATCCTCCTGACATGTGATACATCGCTGTATGGCTCCACCGTGTCCTAGATACTGCGCGTGCCCAGCATCGGGTGCCCCGCACTAACCCGATTAGTCACCTGGGCAACACTCCAGCTTCTACATGCAGACCTAGCTGCCCCGCCGTACCGCCATCTTCACACCTACGTCACTGATCACAACGCAACCACTACCCTACCCCAGCTGCCTACATAAACAGAATGTCTTCCTCTTCCTCCAGTAACGCCCCCAAGGACGACGACATACCCTACTACAAACTTTTCCCAGACTTTTCCCAGCCTCCTGCTGAACCAAGCAAGACCGAAACAGCTTCACTCGAGGACGACGTCAAGAAGCTTGACGTAAAGGAGACCGACACACTAGAAGACCAGGTAGACGCTTACTGTCGCGAATTCCTGTATCTCGGTGGCCCAGAAGACTTTATCGGAAGCGAAACCAAGGAAGACAACGAGTCACTCCTCCTCAAGAAATATGCCGGTTCATCCAGCTGAAGAGACCGCCACTGGCAGTATGTACCATCTTCGCCCTGTCTGTCTTTACCTGGAGCAAGAAGCATGCTAACACACCATGCCAAGGCATCACCGACCAGGTTGCCAAGGACTCGTCTGATTCAACCGCATCTACGCACCCGAACCACGATGTAGACACAGGCGCTACCTCTGGCGGCGGTGCAAGTGCCATGGCTCACAAAGCCCACCCGGTATACCTCGCTTGATCACATTCATACATGAGAAAATACTAAGGAACATGTAGGGCCCTGTCATGGCAGACAAGATGCCTGCCCCGGAGACCAAGGAAGACCTCAAGAAGAGGGCTGAGGAACTGAACAAATAGCGTATTTGCCAACGCTCGGTGTGCGCTGCGTAGCGTATGGCGATCGGATCACTGCACAGGATGCAGCGAATGAGCACCTCATAGTAACATGACCTAATGCACACATCTCTCTCATCTTGATTTTTTCTTGTGCAGTTTTTCAATACCAGGATTACACTTGCTATTGATAAGGCCGACTATCTCTCTTTCGAAGCACAAGCGTGTGGTCCTACTGAGGCCCGCGCGAGGCCAGCCCCCTGTCAAAGCTATCCTTCGCACCACTCACCGCAACCACAGCCTCTCCACCGCCATTGCTTCCGTCATCCAGTAAACCGGAAAGTTTCAGGTCAGGTCCGCTGGCATTGCGCATGCAGCATGCATGTGACGTGCTGCAGTCGACGTTGGCGTGCGACAAACATGATTTTTCGCAGGGTTTAACTGGCGGTGGCTAGAGCCCAACCACCCCGGTTCTGGGTAGAAAGTCGATATCAGCCCCCTCGTACCAACAAGTTCGTACGGATGGCTGGTACCCAGGCTTGTTTTCTGCTTCTCGTAGTCCATCTGCATTCCTTTGTTACTTTCGAGGTCGTATCTAACGTCTGCGTCTGGCCAGTAGTAGTGTGTGCCTTGTTTGAGCGAAAAGATCCCTACAGCTGTTCATCATGCGGAGTAGTTCCTCAGTATGGATTCTGAGCACAGTGCCGATGGGTGTACTGGGTAGTGTACTATCGAGGTCTCATGATCTCAATAAAAGTGGGTTCATAGCATAGCAGCAATCATTCAATGTACTAACTTTACTAGCTACCACAGCTGATGTATCACGACTATATGGCACCAGGCTCCCCACACCTATACAAGCGTCGCCTTGCCTATCCTCCAAGGGATATGAAACAGCAGCGAATTCTTCGACACCAACTGCTTTTCCGTCATCAAATCCTTCGTCGCCGTATGCTGTAAATACCTCGTCACAATTACCGTCCTTCGCCTACTCGCCGCTGTCGCGCCCAACAATCTTGACATACTCATCGCCTACTTTGGCGTTTACCCCTGACCATACATTGGTTGTAACAGTAGTTGTCTCAAAGACAGTGTTCAACGCGCCAACATCGATCTCATCGGCCAATTTGTATCCTGTATCTCAACTATCGACTCCAGGACCCTCATCACCTCAGCCTGAGATTAGCGCATTTGCTGCACCTAGTAGCTCCATCGGCACATCATCAGCTATTCAATCTTCAGTATCCTCTATTGTCACAGACACCGAGGTTGCAGTGGCTCTACAAGTTAGCCCGACCATCAATCTTCCACTATTGTCCTCCATATTTTACGGGTCAGAGATCCTTCAGAGGTCCATTTCAGTCAGGACAACCACGGTGACCACGGTCGTAGTAATCAACATCACTATACCGGGTCCACTCCCTACATCGTCGTTCGGCGCCATGCCAACAGCACCGACAACAGTCATCACTACTTCTGTAGCTGTACCCCCGTCACCATCTCTATCCGCGACAACAGCTTCTCCAGTGGCAACATCGGCCAATATTCCAGGGGTATCATTATCTGCCTCTGGTTCCATCTCACCCACAGATATCGCGCCTACTTCTGCAAATCCATCAGAAGGTGCATCTACCGGTTTCCCAACTGTTCCACCATTCTCGTACAATCCCTCCGCATCCCGTGGCTCGGCTTCACCCATCACAAGGCCCACCCCTGAACCCTCCAGCGCAAACGTTGCAGGATCCACGCTAGGTACCGCTACAGTATCCACTTCTACATTCATATCACAATATAGTGGTATTCCGCCTGCGCCGAGTGCAGCTGGAGCTTCCGGGGGTCTCAATGGGAAGGCCAAAGAAACGGTGTGGTGGGTAGTTTTCTGCGTTCCCTTCATGCTCCTGGCCTAGGGTTTCCCCTTAGTCGGCTGAGCGACATTTACATATTTCTTACGATCTTCATGTTCTTCATGGTTACGATAATATCTTCATGTTTCGACGTATAGCGAGTGGGCGTTTTTTGTAGTTGAGCCATGCATATACCAGGGTTGCAGTTGTCAAGGGCGTTCATAGCAGGGTTAGATTTTGGGATGATTTTGAGTTGGAGAAGGAAGGACAAGGTGTATAGTCCTGCAAAATATTGCTAGATGAGATATAATGTATTAGCATCGTCTTACACTTGGGAACAGAATGTCCTTCGTCTTAATCTCCTTAGGTAGCTGTGAAGATGGATCAATCAAGCGGGAATGCTCCCTAGCTTCCGTAAGAGTCGTCGGAACTACGTCAGATTATCTTCGGTGGATTTAGTAGTCGAGAAGATCTGGGGTCTAGTATGCGGGGACTTTTGTTCTGCGAAGATCGGAAGTGGGGAAAAGGCCGGCTAACTTAGCACAGCCGCCAGTTCTTCCATCAATCAAATTTCAAGCACCACACGCCCAACCACACAAGATACCCTAATACAATGCGGAAATCATTGATATCAGCACAGCTACTATCCACCAGGATAACAAATGGCCTACGGATATATATATATTACCAGGGAGTCCGCGGCGCTGGCCTGAGCTGTGTTCACATTTTTGTCAATGCGACCCTTGCTTGGGATGGCTAATATGCTGCAAAATCGCCGTTTATTGGGCCGGTACCTTAATATATAAGAGCAGACTCGGGAGGTATTTGTCCGCTGTCCAGCATGGATTCTGCATCTATCCTTTTTGACGGTCCGTAGAGCCTAGCGGGAAAGTATAAGAGCAACAGTACCCTGTCTACAGCCCGATTCTTTGTCAAGAAAGCGCTTGTAATCCATCTCAACATGCGGCATTTCTTCTCTAATTCGGCCTCCTTCCTTGCTGGATGTGCTTTGCTCAACATCAGCAACGCATACGACCTTGTTCGAAGACAGCAAGCAGTGAATGCAACTTACAAAGATGCATCTGCCCCAGTCGAGGCCAGGGTAGCGGACTTGCTTTCGCGGATGACCATTGAAGAGAAAACTGCTCAGCTTATCCAAGGCGACATCTCCAACTGGATCAATACAACCACGAATGCTTTCAATCAGACAGGTCTGGAATGGAACTTCAATGTCCGCGCGGGCCAATTCTATGTCGGCTATGCCATACCGCCAGACTGGATCAGTAATGGGATTAAGATCGGTCAAGACCATGTCATGCACAACACGACACTAGGAATACCAGCAATGGTTCAGACGGAGGCTATTCATGGTCTGTTAGTGGGCAACGCGACAATATATAACAGCCCAATTGGACAAGCGTGCTCATGGGATCCACAGCTGATCCACGACATGGCCGTGGCTATCGCGACCGAATCGCGGTCTCTTGGAATCAATCAGCTTTTCGCACCACTCGCTGATCTAGCGCGTGAGCTGCGCTTTGGCAGAGTAGAAGAAACCTATGGTGAGGACGGATTCTTGGCCGGTGAAATGGCCTACAACTACGTCAAGGGAGTGCAGAGCCTCAACGTCAGTGCTACTGTAAAGCATTTCGCGGGTTTCAGCGCCCCAGAGCAAGGCTTGAACACCGGACCAGTTCACGGCGGAGAAAGAGAGCTACGGACGACTTGGCTCCCACCCTTCAAACGTGCTATCATGGATGCAGGTGCATGGAACATTATGGGCGCCTATCACTCGTACGATGGTATACCCTCCATTGCTGATGGCCATCTTCAAGAGACGATTCTTCGTGAAGAGTGGGGTTACAAGTACTGGCTCACTTCAGACGCCGGGGCAACAGATCGACTGTGCTGCGCCTTCAAGCTTTGCCGATGCAAGTCACAAGATGCACCAATTGATAGCGAAGCTGTAACGCTCATGGCTCTACCAAATGGCAACGACGTAGAAATGGGTGGAGGATCTTACAACTACGCTAACATTCCTCGCTTGATGAAAGAGGGTAAACTGGATATTGAAATTGTTAATAGGGCTGTGAGTCGTCAGCTTCGAGCCAAGTTTGAGATGGGTCTATTCGAAAACCCATACCCGGGTCTCGTTGCGAATCTGTCTCAATCCACCATACACCCTGAAGAGCATGTTAAGCTCGCACGGACACTTGAAGCCGATTCGGTTGTTCTGCTCGAGAACAAAAACGCTACTTTGCCGCTGTCAAAGTCCGCCAATATCGCCGTCATCGGACCCATGGGTAACATCACCAACCTCGGGGATTACGTGGTATACCGCTCCCAGTATAACCCCACGAATGTGTCGCCCCTTCAAGGTATTATGAGCGCTTCCAAGGGCAAGGTAACATTTGCCCAAGGCTGTGAGCGCTGGTCAAACGACAAATCCGGATTCCTTGCCGCAGTCGCTGCTGCAGAAGCAGCTGACGTCGCAGTGGTTGTTGTGGGCACATGGTCTCGCGACCAGAACGAACTCTGGCAAGGTTTAAACGCCACGACCGGTGAACATGTCGATGTTGCATCGCTCAACCTCGTCGGTGCAATGGGCGAGCTCGTACAAACAATCATCGAGACCGGCAAACCAACCATCGTCGTATACTCATCCGGCAAGCCCGTCACCGAGCCCTGGATCTCGGAAAACGCCGCCGCGCTCCTCCAACAATTCTACCCCGGCGAACAAGGCGGCAACGGTCTAGCCGATGTGCTCTTCGGCGACGTCACTCCCTCTGGCAAGCTCTCCGTCTCCTTCCCCTACGACGTCGGCACACTACCCGTCTACTATGACTACCTAAACTCCGGCCGCTCCACCGACCCCGGAGCCACCCTGGCAAACGGCACACTGAAATTCGGCCATCAATATGTCCTCAATACCCCCCAGCCCCTCTACGAATTCGGCTACGGGCTCTCGTACGCAAACTTCACTTACTCAAACGTCACGTTGTCGAAGACAACGGCCAGCGCGAGCGATATAGTGACTGCGATGGTGAGCGTGAAGAATACATCGCCCGTGGACGGCAAGGAGGTTGTCCAGGTTTACGTGCAAGACGTATACGCCAGTGTTGTCGTTCCCAACATGGAGCTCAAAGGGTTCAAGAAGGTGATGATCAAGGCGGGCAAGACAGTGGATGTTAGCATTGACCTTGATGTGAGTAAATGGGGCTTGTGGGATCGCAAGATGCAGTATGTGGTTGAAAAGGGAGATTTTGTCGTACATGTTGGGTCGAGTTCGAAGAATTTGAGAGGGAATGGCACGGTTACTGTTGTTTGAGGGGTTGAGATGTCGAAGTGGGCTGTAACATCTCCTCAGTAGCCTTGTAAAGATACTAAATCCATTGGTACCCATCGATCCCATTAATCCCATCCCGTTAATTCCATCAACCCTATTAAGCCCATCGGCAACCATAGTCCACACTAATATCTCCACTATACTACTTTCAATCATCATCGGCAACAGCGTTTGAGAGGATAGCCAATGTAGCATTACGTTCCCTAACCACCTCTAACGAAGCTAATAGAACCTCAACGTTCTCAGCCAGCTTCCGATCTAGCCGTCTTGACAGCACCACGGTCTTCGACTGTTCAAGCTCACTAGAAACGGCATTCTTTGATTTCTCGCATAGACGAGCGAATGTCGCCTCACGTTATGTTTTCTTACTTCAGCTAACTCTGCTTCCTTCGACAGCACCAGTTTTTCGAGCGCATCGAGCTCCAGTTGCAAATTTGCTTGAAAAGCCGAGTAGTCAACCAGATACTCCTTTGCCCCGTTCCACTCTCTTGCCGATGTTCTGTTCGCCGAGTGTTTACTCAGGCCCGCGGTAAAGTGACTGAAGCCACCGGCATTGTGGATGTAACCTTCTGCCAGCTTCGTGAGCCCAATCTCAGAAATCTCCGCATGCTCCGGTAGCCAGATGAGATAGATGCCGGCTTTTTGGATCTTATAGACCTTACTGACAGCGTTGCGAGTGGCGTGGAAGATGGCAGCCGTCAGGTTCATGATATAAGTGGAGCTGTTGTGGCGAGCATGGTCCTTGAGACGGTCCAGGCATCGCTTTGAGTACCCAATCTCCACCAGCGGATGCTGCATCGGCTTATCCCGATCCTCCAGTGGTACCGATGCGATGCGTGCACGCAGTTGGTCGATGAAATGCACCGTCTCCTTGACATGTGCCGGGCTGTACCCCTCCATGTAGACTTTGTCATCAATCTGGGTGCCCGTCCTCCGGGCCCGCTGGGCCGTGAATGGATTCTTGTAGTCCCCAGGGTAGACTTGTAGCGTCCTGTTGAGATATCGGCGGAACCCTGACTGAGACTTGACCAGCTTTATAGCCTTCTTCTTCGACCGATGTAGGCTATCGAACACATTGGCGTCCTCGAGGCACACGTGAAGGAACTTGAAGACCAACTCAAGACACGCCTTACCGATCACAAAGCCCAGATCCAATCTATGACGGCCACCGCTACAAAGCAGTCGGCAGAGATTGTGGACCTCAAAAAGAACGTTGCCGACGCCAACGCACTCGCCATAAAGCGACTAAGCGACGCCGACCGCGTTATATCGCGGGCCAGAGGGATGACGCAGCGTTTCGAGGCGCCTGAAGACACTCGTACCAACCTTCAGATGGTGCTCGCAATCAGTCCGGACAATCCCAAGGCGGTCGATGATCGCTGGTATCGTCACCTAGCAAAAGGCATGTCGTCACTTGGTCCGTTAGAGACGATCCGCGCCGAGCTTCGTCGAGTCGGCAAGGATATCCCCTTGAAAGAGCTTGGTAACACTATCAAAGAACTCGTCGACACCGTCGAAGCCACCAAGCAACCCAGCGACGACGGACGAGAGTTCGCGATTACCATGGCCATGCAAGGACGCCTGGACTTCTGGAGCACACACCACATGCTGTTACCAGTATTTACACTGATCGCTCAGTATTGCCACGGCGTGATCAGTCCCATGAACTTCGGCCAGGACTTGGACGACGCGCGACAAAAACTCTACAACAAACTAGCCGCCGGCACATGCCATTGGTCACTGGTATAAGAAGCCGAAGTATGGCAGAACTACAACGCATCGATAAGAACGGTGACTACCGTTACATCGATACGCTGTTTGACAACATTGGACGAAGCAGAAAGATCAAAGACATCGCCAAGATTCCTGCCGACCTAGTTGACCGCCACCGCAACGAGCCTGGTAAGTTTACCCTAGGACCCACACAGAGACTGTGGGAAGCTCTACGAGCCGTGTTAGACGCCGATCAACGAGTATACACGTTCAGCGACGATACCCAAGAGCTTCAAGTACAACGCCCGGGGCAGTACCAATCCACCCAGTCCCCCACCGAAAGCTCCACCAAGTCCTCTACCCACACACCGCCCTACACAATCCTTTACCGAACAAGCAGTCATTTCCTCTCCCTTCACAGGATCCGTTACCGATCGTCAGATACAATCACCTATAAGGCACCCTAACAAGTCGTCAGTCCCGTCTCTGAAACGACAATCTCCTTTTTGTAATGGCCCCACAACCGACAATATGCCACTCTCCTTTCAACGGACTGCAGAACCGACAACAACATATTCGCCAAGCGATCACTGGTCGACGACGGAGGTAGCGACAACCAGTCGGGAAACTGATGGGCACTCCTTTGGGAGATAAGCCCCAGTCGTACAAAGCCGACATCGAGAGCGAGGCTAAAAACCTTGACTATATAAACATGGACTTTGGCCTCCCAGGCCTTACCGAAAGGTCCATTCAACATGCCGCCGGCATCACAGTGCATCGAACGAGAGGTCCAGCGCTACCTCAAACCCCCGCACATACCTAAGGTGTCCAAAACGGCATCCAGCAAAACTGACGACGACACGTATGCAAGGTCCGGCGGGAATGTATGCTGGGATAGCATTGAGTCGCCCTTGGACACAGGAAAGGTGGGAATCTAAGAGCCAAGTACTGCACAAAAGTCTATCGCGAAAAGTCTCGGATCCGCACCCAAGAAGTGGATGGTGGACGCCAATGGGAACCGTGAACACCTCCACGACACTCCCTCTCGCACCCGCTCAAGAACTCTCTTGGAGTTCATGACTCCCACACCATTGTTATCAGATCCTACACGCCAAGGAAAACCCGCGTTCGAGTTCGGTCAGGCCAGGCCGTTGGTCGGTGCGGACCAGCGTGGTCCTCCCTATCCCTCTCAACCGCACACAAGCAGCGAAGTCATGCCCCCTGTGTAAGAATGGGCGGTCGAGAGGCCATACCATCATTCACGATTTCACGCTTGGACCGAATGCCATCGAGCCATACATGTTCTCGTGGGCGGGCATATGGACTGAGCAGTCAAGAAACCGAGGCTCTTCGAATGCTACACCCAGGCAGCGAAAGACAAAGAAGGTCGAGGAAGATGGCAAGAAGGTCGACGGTGAGGTTGAAGATAGTGTTGATGAAGAGGAGGAAGGTGGCCGCGAAGAGGGGACCGTTGGCGAGGGTGGGACTGCTGATCGGTTTGGAGAAGACGACGAGGATGTGTTTCCTCTTGAAGGCGGCGGAGATGATGACGAGCAGCCTCGATTTTTGGATCCTGCCGACGGTCTAGGGCGAGATTACCAGAGATAATAGACTGGAGAAGTGTTCTATCCATCAAGCGCAAGATGTTGTGCATGACATATTGTCGAGACGCGGTGAGAGCCTTCACTAGTATTCACGGTGAATCAGGCTTCCCGTGCTCTGATTGGCCAGGCACTGATTAGTCAGCTGCTCCGTGCGCGCACCATAGATATTCTCCCTTCTCCCGTAGCTCCAATACAACAAGTTCACGCACGTTTCTCCACCTTCATCACATATGCCGCCCATTCCATGTCGTCAACGTACAGTGCCTTCCTCTCTGCTAGCCGTTGCTGTATCTCCTCCTCCATGACGGCCGCTGCCAGTCGCTTGGTGCCACCAAACAGAGCAAGCAGATCGCTACCTTACAGACAGATGCCGACGACTACAAGGCTAGGCTCAAGACTGAACACGCCGCACATGTCAGATGCCGAAGCTGGTACAGCAAGACGGCCAAAGAGCTTTCCGATGCGAAACAGCAGTATCGGTAGCTCGTACATACCGAAGACGTAATCCGGGAGTCGGAGACGGAGCTTCGCGACATCAACACGAGCCTGCGACAGAGTTTAGACGAGGCGCTTAATGCCAAAGAAATCGCTCTTACCGAAGTTTCGGCGGCTCAAGATACTGCAAAAGAGCATATGAACCGCGTCAAGGCCGACTCCGTGCTGGAGATGGGCAAGATGGAAGCTCGAATGAACCGCGTCAAGGCTGAGTGCATGCTGGAGATGGACAAGATGAAGGCTCGGGTAGGAGATCTCGCCAAACACAATGACGAGACTGTCAGAAACTACGACGCCCGCGCCGTAGAGATGGGCTCGGTCTGGCAGACCAACCTCGCACTTCACGCCGAACAAAACAAGATAATCGTCGACCTAATGACACAAATGCTAAAGCTACAACTTCAACAGCAAACCGATACCGCGGACCGACTTAGTGAGGCGTTGGAAGATGAGAAGATGAAGTCTATACGACAGGACTCGTACTACCGAGATGTAATGCAGACGCTGCAAGATATGACTAAGGTACTCTCGGCCGACAAGCTTGCGTATGCGACACAGTTGAAAAACAAACTCCGGGACAACCAGGATAAGACTTTAGCTATGACCGAAGCGAAGAAGAAGATGATACAAGTTCCGTGGAGGCTAGCTGCTGCGTTTGTGAGGGTAGAGATACAGGATAGACTGGTTGCGAAAGCTATCGTGAAAGTCATGGTGACGAAGAGTAGGCTTGAAAAAGTGAGGGGTCGCCTCCGTAATAAGGATACAATGATGACATAGATAGCCTATGCAATGGGCAATATGTAATAATACGGTATAATAAGGTGTCACAAGGATGTATTTAGTAAAGACGTTTAGTAATAGGGCAGCGGTGATGTAGGTGTCTAAGACAGACATATGATTTGCAGCGTATTAGAGAAGGGACAGTATTTAAACACTTCAGGGTACAACTTACATGTCTCCAAATCTTCTTCAAATTATATCGCAGTAGGCTAATCGAGGAGATAATATATAATCACATGCGTAATGCAATGTCAAGGTCCGACGATACACTATTTTGTTCTTCATGCCGTGAGCGATTTCGTATCTCTTCGTGCTACTGAGATAGCAGAGGCGCGTAGTAAATTAGAGAGCGCCTTGATCCATCACTCGTACTCACCATCGCCATGATGTTTGTCGTGGAGAGTAGAATGTCAGGTATCTTCCCTGGTGCTTAAAATACGGTACCGACACTGTCATGGCACAACCGACCTTACAGCGAGGCACTCCCAAAATTACCGCATCTAAAAGTCCTCAACTGATCACACCGACGCAGCAAATTTGCGATCGAAAAGAACTTTCGGCCGTACTTATCGTCGTACGGCCGGTGGGTGTTCAGACCGACAAAGAAGTATCCCAAGATGGTGTCGTCGTAAGTCTGTATCGGTACGACAAAGAATACTCTTATCGGACCCCCAAAGGCACGCTTTCCAATGCCACGGGTCCAAACTCTCGTCATATGATGCGATGATAGTCATACCAATGATTTCTAGTGGGCTGAGCGACGACATACCTCTGGTAACGAGATGATACCAGCACCCATCTACCTCCTTGGTATTGTCCAGACTGATCGCCAGCACCATCTGAAGATCGGTACGCGTATCGACAGGTGCTATCCCTCTGGTCCGTAACTTGACGCCTTGCTGTAACGCGCCCCATTGGGAGGTTAGTTGGGCCTACACAGTGTGTGGCTGCATCCTACGCCCATGAAGCCGCCTAGATTGTATGAGGAGTCGGCCTTGGCCATGCCCAAGATTGTCGACAGCATGGCTGACTGACAACCGCTTTCATCATGCACCGGCTCTTTCATTTACGCCTCTACTGGCGTCCTTCCCTCGTCGATCACGAACGTTGGTGCATAGTTGACAGTGAGAATTAATTCTACCCAGATAACCCGAAAATCGATAAGGAAGAGATCATCGACATTGTTGTATCTACGACGAGCAGATTCTCTTGGAATATGGTCAAGGGTCCTCGAGGTAGAAGGTCAGATTTTCATGAGCTTGGCTCTACGCGTCCGTGATCTTTATGCTGTCGCTTGACTTGAGCATGCTTCGTATGTACCTAGTTATCGCGTGGAATACAAAGGCCTATATGTATGTGAGATTAGTGTGGATAGACCAGGTTTGTTGACGTTGTGTATTGGCCATGCGTTCATTTCCTGAAGCTAACTAGTACCCGCAAGTACATTGCATGGTGCATGCTTCTGTCAAGAGCTGCAGGGAAAAGACAAAGTAATGGGTCCAGATGCTGCTCAGATGATCTTCAACTGCAGAAAGTTTGCTGAAGGTACCGACATACTCAAGCAATCAACGTCTCCGGAGGAGCTCCTCCGCTTCAAAACCCTTGGCAAGGAATTCGAGCATGTTCCAAACGAAGAGCAGCAGTTGATTGCTCTAGATACAACTTCGTCTGAAATTGGTGTGACCACAATCATTGGCCCGCCAGGTTGTGGCAAGACGATGGTGGACATCCGAATCCTCTGGGCACATACAAGGCTGGGACGTCGCGTCATGGGAGCTGCTCCTACAAATTCGGCTCGCGACTCACTCGTACAAGGCTTCATCAAGCAGAACAGTAGCCGACCGGTCAGCGAGCAGGTCCCAGATCACAAGTGGGTCGTCTTCACTGGTGGACAAGTGAGCATCGAAGGTGCATTGCGACTTGGGTTTGACCAGATGAAGGAGCTCAACCCAGAGAAGGAGCTTATGGAGCGGAACAGCGCATACTGGGCCCACCTCTGCGATGTTTAGTCGCGCAACCGAGCCCCCCTTGCCGCGTATAGTGTCGGCCTCAAGCTGCTTCACCGTATTGCTGTCTGGAAGAGCGATGTATCATACGACAGTCCGCACCAAGGTGGCGATCAGCTCTATACGTGGGCCAATGACTTCGATAACACCAAGGCCAACCTCAAGTACATCCAGGACCCAGAACAGCACGGCCGCTCCGAGAAGCATATTGAAGCCCTCGAACTGACGCTGCAGAGGTGCTTCTTGAAGGAAGTGTCTGTCTGTTTTTGCACAATCTCAACGTCGGCCCACCCTCTCTTGCTCGAGAGTGGTATCTGGGATGGAGTCATCATCGACGAGGCCGCCCGTGAGACGCGTGCTGGAATGGCGACTATCATGGGTGCATTTAGTGGCCGAATTCGCCACTTCACTCTGTCGGGAGATCACTGGCAAGGCGAGGGCATTGTGGTTGGCAGAAACTCCAATATTGGCTTGAAAATCCTTTCCCGCAACGTCTTCGAGCAGTTGCCGATGTTCAGCGACTCTACGGCCGACAGGTCTCAGTTGAGCTGCCGCACATCAACGCACAGCATGTGTTCGGAGAGTGGCTGCGGAGCGCATGTGTTGAATCTCTCTGGCTCCAGTATAACTCCACCCCTACTCCAACCTTTCTCAAGATCAAGTTTGCGGGTCCATTGGAAGCTTTTGCTGGTCCTCAACCCCCTCAGCTTCCTATGCCTTCTGGTCCGTCTGGTCCATCTGGTCCGTTTGCCCCGCCTGTCCCTTCTGGTCTTGCTGGTCTTTCTGATGAGGAGGATTATGGTCTTTTGTCGCCTTCTGGTCCCCTGGATCATGATGATACAAATATGCTTTCCCCGACAATATCGAACCCCGAAGCAACAGACGAAGGGCTTTCGTGGCAACTACCACAAGGTCTAACATCTGGAACAGCCCGCTATCTTGAGCGATCAACGAAAGTGGGTCCACTCTTGCGTTTGGAATTTGGCAGACCAGGCAATGACGTTCTTTCGATCATACTCAGCAACCGTTTCTCCGGCGAAGCGATGTGGTTCAGGAAAATGAAGGATAAATCATTTCTTCCCAAGAAAGCCATGTATGGCCAAGGAACGGGTCGCTGCTTACCTGCAGTCAATACGCAGCACTGATAAACACATACACATTATTGTGTATTTTGCAATGCGATTGCAAACATGTTACATCCCCTCACCTCTTACTGGCGCCGGAATCCGTCTTGCACCTGTCTCATTAGAGCATCAGTCCGGAGAGCATCAGTCCGGAATGGAAGTGGGAAATGCTGCCAACGACTAAACCAGATGCGCATGTGTCGATCGTCGATGTCTGTCCAATGATGCCTTGCGGACCCATGTTTGGAACACGCATATTCCGAGAACTCCGCTTGTATCCATATCATATGAAAAAGCGAATCCTGTAATCTCCTTCACTGGAATGTCCATGGGCAGTTCCGACAGGCGGGTGCAATGATGACATCCCTGGCTCCTGGGAGAGCCCGGATCGGTACCAAAATTTATTGGATCACTGCAACACCAATCACGCAGACGAGCCTTTACTGTGGTCCATCACCACAGAAACTCAATGCGGCCTGGGTTTCGACTCGCGGGCTGATCTGGAGAAGCATCAGGTTATATACCACCCTGGGGCAGATTCGACACCATCTGATGTACCGGAAAGCGCCCAGGATGGTCAACGCGCAACGTCAATACCATCTGGTGTACCGGATATCGTTCCAATGAGTCAATAAAGAAGGTCGAGAGCACAACGGACGCAGGCAAGAGCCGAGTGCTGGACCCGGGAAATTGATGCAGATTTGGACCAATGCGTACGAGCAGACGGGTTTGCATGCAAGAGTACACTTATTCGACAGTGGCTCGAACGGCGTACCCTGAATTTCTCATTTGTTGTCAGTATCACTAGCAAGACCACTCTAGGTTTACAATTGTCTACAACGGTGTATACATGTAGAGGCAAGATGTCTTTTTTACTTACCATCCTCAAACTCTTCTAGATCACCTATAGGATCATGGGCAGCTACACGAACGCAAATAGACTGATCCTTTAAATCACTATAATAAGCTGCAAACTTTCAAGGACGCAGTTTCAAGGTTTTCCAGGCGGAGAAATTGGGTGTGAAAGTAAGGCTTGCTGGTTTGGGGAGAGTGCAGGTCGCGAGCTGTCGTTGCAGCAAGTACTACCTAATGTGGCTAGGCGGCAGGCCCCGGCCTAACACTACGCCAACACACATGCTTCTGGGCGGCTCATTCATAACCATCGACAGCCTCCTCTTTCACCGCTCCATCGCCAGCTGCAGCATTCTTCACCTCTGCGCCAAACGAAAAGCGAGACACGAAAGAAACACGATAAGCCGACAAGCACGATAGCCGCCGGCTGCGCTCCCAAGTATGGGTCTCTCCGACGTCTGCTACAGATTCCTCTGCTGCGGCAGTAAGTTGCAAAGCTTGTATCGCATGGCATATTTACTAATATGGAATGTGCAGCACGCTCGAGAGACAGTATATACGACCCGGTGCTGGCAGACAGTGAGCGGGAAGCTGTTGCCGACCTGTTGGGCTTCCTGGAAAACGTACGGCTACCGCCCGCCTCATAAACACACCGACACATACTGATTCCAGCAGCGAGCCGAAACCGACTTCTTCTCGGGCGAGCCCCTCCGCGCATTAAGCACCCTCGTCTACTCGGACAACATCGATTTGCAGCGCTCGGCAAGCTTGACGTTTGCCGAGATAACAGAGCGAGGTACTTGACCCGATAGCTGCGCATGGCCCACAACTGATAAACGTCGGCGTAGATGTCAGAGAAGTCGACCGCGACACGCTGGAGCCTATCCTGTTCCTCCTCCAGAACCCCGACATAGAAGTGCAGCGTGCCGCGAGTGCCGCGCTCGGCAACCTCGCCGTAAACAGTACGTGCACCCAACAGCTCCCGGCCGGAGCGTGCTAACCCTCGCAGCCGAGAACAAAGTGGCCATTGTCGCACTGGGCGGGCTCGCGCCTCTGATTAAGCAGATGAACTCGCCTAATGTCGAGGTACAATGTAACGCCGTCGGCTGCATCACCAACCTAGCCACGCACGAGGACAACAAGGCCAAGATTGCACGGTCGGGCGCACTGCAACCCCTCACCCGGTTGGCCAAGTCCAAAGACATGCGCGTGCAAAGAAATGCGACGGGCGCGCTGCTGAACATGACGCATTCAGGTAGGCTGCGCGCATTTTTCTGCAAGGTTTTGTGCTAACACGCAATCAGACGACAACCGACAACAGCTCGTAAACGCCGGCGCCATCCCCGTCCTCGTCCAGCTGCTCTCGTCGTCCGATGTCGACGTTCAGTACTACTGCACCACGGCGCTCAGCAACATCGCTGTCGATTCCAGCAATCGCGCCAAGTTGGCACAGACCGAGGGCAGGCTGGTCGGCTCCCTCGTACACCTCATGGAGTCATCCTCGCCAAAGGTACAGTGCCAGGCTGCACTTGCTCTACGTAACCTTGCCTCGGACGAGCGCTACCAGCTGGAAATTGTACGCGCTCGCGGCCTGCCATCTCTCCTTCGTCTCCTACAGTCATCATACTTGCCACTTATTCTATCCGCTGTTGCATGCATACGAAACATTTCAATCCACCCCGCAAACGAGTCGCCTATCATCGAAGCCGGTTTCCTCAGGCCGCTGGTAGACCTGCTCGGCTCCACCGATAACGACGAGATCCAGTGTCACGCAATATCCACCCTCCGCAACCTCGCCGCAAGCTCAGACAAGAACAAGCAACTGGTTCTCGAGGCCGGCGCTGTGCAAAAGTGCAAGTCGCTTGTGCTCAACGTGCGGCTTCCAGTCCAGTCCGAGATGACGGCAGCTATTGCAGTCCTCGCTCTCAGCGAAGAGCTGAAGCCTCATCTGCTCAACCTTGGAGTTTTCGATGTCCTTATCCCACTCACAGAGTCGGAGAGCATCGAGGTACAAGGCAACAGTGCTGCTGCACTCGGCAACCTATCGTCCAAGGGTAAGTTCAACTCAAATCCCATCCGTTCGTCGCTAACAAGTGCAGTCGGTGATTATTCCATCTTTATCCAAAATTGGACCGAGCCCGCCGGCGGAATCCACGGCTACCTACGCCGCTTCTTGGCCAGTGGAGACCCGACCTTCCAGCACATCGCCATCTGGACGCTGCTACAATTACTCGAATCAGAAGACGCAAAACTGATGGAGCACATCGGCAAGTCGAACGAAATCATCGAAATGGTTACGGAGATTGCCGAACGCAACATCGAGTCGGACGATGAAGACAACGAGGACGGCGAGGGCGAGGTTGTCACCCTTGCACGCAGGTGTCTTGAGCTTTTGGGCAAGAGCCCCAAGACCCTGGTTGAAGGGTAAAAAAGAACATCGGATGGCATTTTATACCCTGTTCATCAGATTTTGATTGCTCTGTTTCCCCTGCTCGTCCCCACCCCGTTTATTTTCCTGTTGATGCGTTCATGGTAAATACTGCTACAGGCAGTTTGGAGATTGGCGTTCATGGAGTAGCTGTGTCTTTGGTATCTCTAGCGAGCATTGGCGGAGCAGTATCCTTTACACATCGGCATGCACATATCTTACCACCACTCTCAGCCGAGTATTCGACGCAGAATTTGTAATTGATAGAATTGGATGCAAGATTCCGTCATCGTAGCAATGAATCAAACGATGTTCGGAACGACTAGTGAGCTTTTGACCATGTTCTGTTACGCGTGTTGGGTTTCTCTTCTCCATTGGCTCTTTATATAGGACCTTAGGTACCAAACCCCCGCTCCGCCCCGCCCCTCATCTGGCCATGTGACATCGCGTTCTACGAATTCTAGCGCGGTTTTTCTCGCCGATTCTCCGAAATATTTCTCGACCACAACCAACTCTCCACCCCGCAAACCCCACCTCATTGCAACAGTAATGGCACCAAGAGGGCAGTCAAGTACCCGCGCCCGCGGTAGCGCAAGAGGAGGTGCAAATGCAGCGCGACCATCTGCAAGCGATGCGACTCCGCAAACCACTGCAACAGACCAGACTGCAGAACAAGTTGAAAGCGACTCAAAGCCAGCTGTCACAGGAGAGGGTATCACAACGACTACCGAGTCGCAAGCCTCTGTTCAGGCGGGTACCTCGTACGTTTGACATGAATCCGTCCGTACAAACCGCAATGCTGACGTCTACACAGTACAGAGACTTCCGTCCGTCCTCCCGCACAACGACTCGGTAGTCTTCAAGGCTCGGTTCCGCCTTCACGATCAGCCTCACCGGCGGTACGCGGCCGCGGTGGCACAAGTCGAGGGAAACGGGGCGTCAAACTACCTAGCTTTACAGGACGCAGGAGTAAAGAAGAGCGAGATGCCATGGTGCAAGAGCAGGCAGCCCGAGATCGCGAAAGGACCAAAGAGCAGATAGCAGCTGATGAGAAAAAGAGGAGAGACATGGAGTATGCTCGAAAACGGGAAGATAAAAGAAAGAACTTCAGAGGTGGTTACAGTGGCGTAGCAACAGGCCCTTTCTCACTTGGAAGTTCTAAAGAAGGCATGTCAAATCTCTTCACATGCTAGACTGCATTAACAATTACCATAGATAGGAAAAACAACTCCAGGCCTGGATACTCAGGGTTCGGCTCAGGATTCGGCTCAGGTTCGGGTTCTCGAGCAGAGCGTGTCAAGAATGAGGATGGTAGTTATGGAGGTTCAGGTCACCAATCAACGCGAGGCGGAGGCGGCTCATCTACCAAGAGAGAGGATGGTGGCCTTGTGTCGTCAGAGGAAGAGGAAGAGGATACTGAAGTACACCAACCCCGCATGAACATCGACGAACTTAAAATATCCTCAGACGATTTCGCCGGCAAAGCACCAGAGCCCACGAGCATGGCGCAACTGCCAGTTCGCGCTGGCAGGAAGGAACATCAGGAACGAAAGCCCGGTTACAACACAGAGGCCAGCACGGCGAAGGTACTCGAGCAGGCAGAGGGAAAAACACCAAAGCTGAAGAGCGAGTCCAAGGAAGTAAAGGTTGAAGGAGGCAGCGACGACGAAACCATGTCTGATGCAGGCAAAACAGGTCTGCCAGATGCTCCAGCTCTAAAACAAGACCCAAGTGTTGAACATAGGCCCAAGCCAAAGACCACAGATCCAGCACAGCCTGCCTTTCAAACTGATGACGACCGTGCAGAATGGGAGCGTATCCAACTGCACAGACGTCTCATAATCGCGGAATTTGGCCCGACAGAGACGCCAGAAGTGGATAGTTCAGGGGATGCAGTCATGGCAGGCACAGCCGAGAAGCCCACGGTACGGACTAACAACGTCTATCTCTTCCAGATACCACCTCTCATGCCCGAAGTGGAAGCATCCATCAAGAAAGAAGCACCAGATCCCAAACCAGAAGCAAAGATCAAGCTCGAAGAAGGGGGTTTCTCCGATCCGACCGCCAAGCCCACGAGCGTTCGTTTTGGAAGCGGACTAGTGGGCAAACTGCGCGTACACAAATCGGGTCGTACCACGCTGGATTGGGGCGGCACAAGCTTTGAGGTCACCGATGTTCGCGCCGGCTCGGGGTCGCGCCAGGAGGTAGTTAGTATGGAGTTTACGCCGGAGAACCAACGGTCAGCGCCCGAAGATGCTGGGGATGCCTACAGTCTAGGCCCGGTCAAGGGCAAGTTTGTAGTGACGCCGGATCTTGAGACCATGTTCAAGTAGGGCTGTGATGGTATACGATGCATTCTTAGTATCGGAGTAGTATAATGATGATACCCTATAGCCATCGGCCTGCTTTATCGGCTGTCTGGCTGGGAATATTAAGCCCAAGTATACATTTCGCACCTGCATTAGTCCCGGCCTGGTGCCGGACAGCGTCAAAAGCAAAGTATGAGTAGCGCCATGCGTGGCCAGCTGGTGCGATTACGTCCTGTGACGACTCTCATCTCAAGTAACTTGTGCAGACGTATCTACTACATGTACCACGGTAGTAACGGCCCTTGCAGCGTGTCAAGCGCGCGTTCAGACGAGCAGACGCACAGACCAATCGGGATCTACCATGGAAGTCGACATACAAAACATCTACGAAAACGACCCCAGACCAACGTTCCTTGTGGATTTTCAGACGGAAACTCCCGCCATCAGCCATGTCAATCCTGCACTACTTGCCATACCACATATAGCCCAATCGCTCCACGCACACGATGCGCTGCGGGACTGGTGGGATCCAGAGAGTAGAGTAGCCTCTCAACACCAAACCGGGTTCCTGCATGGACGGTGCCGATGGATCAAGTTCCGTGTTGATCACCGATGGCTTGTCGTTACCATTGTGGAGCAGTCGATTCCTACGGATGATCACCAGGAGGATCTGCAAGAGCCTGTGAAGCCGAAGTTAGCCCGAATAGCCTCACCCTTGTTGGAATCACGTCAAGATACCATCTTCACCGTCAAGATACAGTCGCCAGAACTCCGTGAGCATATTGATCACGTTCAAAAGGTCAATTGGTCGAAGACCTCTCTGGGCGCAATTAGTAGTTGGAGCTATGAGCTCAATGTCTTGGTCACTACCCTGATGCTGGAGACTCGTCCAACCGCTCTCTTTCTGGGACCTGAACACACGATCCTTTATAACCTTGCCTATGGCGCTTTCAGTGGCTCGAGGCATCCTGCGATACTTGGCCAGAATATTATTGATGCTTGGTATGTGAGATACTATGTACATGAAAGGACAGTCTGACAAAAGTCAGGCCCGAACTAGTCGCCCCGATTTCAGCTACCATGGCCCGCACGGAGAAAACAGATTTTGCAGATGCCCCAGAAGAAGAATATCATCTCATGGTTGAAAGGGATGGCTTCGTCGAAGAAGCTTTCTTCATGTGGAGTCTTGTACCGCTCGTGGGTAATATACGCGGCATGTACTCCATGGTGACCGAGGTGACCAAGCAGAGGTAAGCGCATTCCGTGATCGCAACATAACCCCTGACTTTCTCACAGACTACTTGAACGCCGCGTTGATACATTACTTAAAGTTGGTCAATCAATCAGCAAGGCGAAAAATATGAAAGACTTTTGGGCCAACATAGCGCAAGCTATCGAACCTTATCAGTACGACTTTCCGGCAGCCGTTTTATACTCTCAATGCGAGTTACTTGACCCCCTAGATTCCAAAGGCGCTCTGAGAGAGCCACGGGATCGATGCACTCTGGAATGGACCATTGGTTATAAACCTGATCATCCAGATCTGCCTCAGCATTTGAACCTAGACAAAGATTTTGGTCTAGGACGCGCCATGAGTGATAGTGCAAAAGGGGGGCCAGCGCTGGTTTTCAGAGAAGAAGACGGCGTACTACCCGAGGCTCTCTATAGAGACCTCGAAAAACGAGCCTTTGGAGATCCAATAGGAGTATTTCTTGTCATACCAATACGGAGTTACGACGCTACCATTGTGGGATACCTCCTTGTTGGTCTGAATACCCGCCGGCCGTACGACGATGAGTACGAGGATTGGATCAAAACGCTTTCTAACCTTTTAGGCGCCTCTGCTACATCGGTAGCCCTTCAAGAAGAAGAAGTACGAAAACGTACACGGCAAGAGGAACAAGCCGCGAGGGACCTTGAGGCTCTTAATGCTGAAGTTGCGACTCTTACAAAGGAAGCTAGCGATGTCGCGGAGAAACTGCGCAACTTTCACGACATTGCAGACCAAGTTGGTCTCGGCTACTTTGAAATTTCTGTTGACGGGATGATGGTAGATGCAAATGTATGGAACTAACCCCTGAGAACTTTTGGTGTCTAACAAGATGACAGGAGACATACTTTGCTCAGACAGGCCAACGAAGAGACTTTGGCGATGGCCCACCATTCGCATACAAGGAATGTGTATACGAAGGAGACCTGGAAATGGTCGAGAAGAAGTGGGAGGTTTTGATAAGTGGTGAGCCAGCCACATTCGAAATTCGCTGGAAGAAAGCCGCCAACCAAATACACGAAAATGGCAAAATCGGCCATGACTATCTATGGACTTTGGCAGCCTGTGTTCCTATCAAATCTCCAGACGGAACTGTGACTGGTGTCTTTGGATGCAACACCGACATTTCCGCGCAAAAGGAGGCTACTCAAGCTCTGATGATGCGATCGGAGGCAGAACGGCGTCTGGCTAGCTTCACTGAACTTGCACCAGTGGGCTTGTTTCATCTGAACGCAGATCTTTCGATGAAATACTGCAATGATCAATGGTTTCGTATAACTGACCATCCGAAGATACCCATGGATCAGGTAGAGTGGCGGTCGGTTGTCTACCCGGACCAGATAGAGCGCGCCTACCGTGAGATAAGGGCTACAAGACAAAAACAAGGGGCGCATACTTTTACATGTCACCTGAAGAAACACTGGAAGGGACCCGATGATATCTCAACACCAACTTGGATCCTCGTGGCCGCCACAGCGTATACCGACGACTCCATCATGGGAACAATGACAGACATCTCGCAGCTAAAATGGGCCGAAGCCATCCAAAAGAGCAGAGTAGAAGAAGCGCTAGAATCAAAAAGACAACAGGAGAACTTCATCGACATGACAAGCCACGAAGTGCGTCTCCACCCCCTGATTCCACGTACCCAACTAACCACTTACCCACAGATGCGTAACCCTCTAAGCGCCATGGTCCAATGCGCCGACTCCATCTCATCCTCGCTCACTGAAATAAACGACCTAACCCGCGGCTCCGTCCTCGCCGCCCAACCGGTCCTAAAAACCCAACTCAACGACCTCACAAGCACCAGCCTCGACGCCGTCGACACCATCCAAGCATGTGCCACGCACCAGAAACGCATCGTAGACGACATCCTCACTTTATCGAAACTAGACTCTAAACTCCTCGTCATCAGCCCCATTGTCCTGCAGCCTGCAGCCCTCCTAAACGACACGTACAAGATGTTCAAGGAAGAAGCAAATAAAGCACACGTCGACCTACGCGTTAGATGCGATGAGTCGATCGAGGCTTTGCGGATTGATTGGGCGGTGCTGGATCCAAGTCGCGTGTTACAAGTTCTTATCAATTTGTTAACCAATGCTATAAAATTCACCCAAGACCAGGATGACGAACGCAGGGTCGAAGTCATAATGGGGGCGTCGCTCAACGCAGAAAAGATGTCGGAGATTGAGTACGTGCCACAGGAAGCCGTGCAGAAAGATTTCCTGCTAGAGCCCGAGTGGGATGGTGCGGATGAAGTGTTTTATCTCAGCTTCACTGTTAGGGACACTGGGTGTGGGCTTTCTCCTGAACACAAGGCAAAGGTAGGATATGGAGCAGTTTTCGGATAACAGATGTATGCTGACTTGTTCCTCCCTTCGGTTTTGTAGCTCTTCAACCGCTTCTCACAAGCATCCCCGAAAACTCACGTTCAGGTATATCTACCACCCCTCTCCCCATCTGCTTGCAATACATAGACCTAACGAACATGTTTCAGTACGGCGGATCAGGTCTTGGCCTCTTCATCTCCCGCGAACTCACCGAAATGCAAGGTGGTGCCATTGGCGTTTCGTCTTGTCAAAACGTCGGTTCTACGTTTTCTTTTTACATAAAATCGCGACGGGCGAGCTCCCCTTCTTCCCCCCAGCTCGGCACCACCACCACCACTACCAGCAACAGCACTCGCACATACACGCCCACCCCACCCCACCCCAAGCCCCAACAAAAACAACGCGGAAGAAGCAGCTTCTCCAGCTGAACCCCAAGAAAACGACGACGAACAGAAAACCGAGGAACAACCAATCTACCACATCCTCATCGTAGAAGACAACCTAATAAACCAACGCGTCCTCTCCGCCTCATTGCGTAAACTGGGTCATACCATCCACGTTGCAAACCACGGTGTTGAAGCGTTGGAGCATCTTTCCCGTACTATTTTCTCCCCATCCCCATCCCCATCCCCACCTCTACCCTCACCCCCCTTATTCAACCCATCCCTTTCTCCACCACCACCACCACCACAACAACAACAACAACAACCCCTCCCCCTAACAGCCGTACTGATGGACATGGAAATGCCCATAATGGACGGTCTAACAACTACGCGTCGAATCCGCGAAATGGAAGCAAATGGTGAATTGCGCGGTCACGTACCCATTATAGCGGTTAGTGCGAATGCGAGGAGGGAACAGGTGGAGGAGGCGAGGGAGGCGGGGGTTGATGGTGTGGTTTGTAAACCTTGTAGGGTTGGGGAAGTGCTGGGGATGGTTGGGCGTGTTGGGAGTGAAGGTGTGGGGGCTGATTAGATCTAATTGATGTTTTTTCTAGAGGATTTGGAGTGGAGTGGCGGATTGTGGTGGGGTGATGAGTTAGTTGGAAAGAGAGGGAGAGGTGTTTATTCAGTGGAAGCGGGCGAATGAGATGAACGGCACTTGATCCATTTCTAGTAGCAAGAAAACGAAACTTTGATTCTACTACTAGACGAGCGCTTTGTTTGCTATAACGTCAGTACAGTAGTTTCCAACAGCCCCATTAAAACGCCCCGATGTCGACGTTCTTCCAGCTAAGAAAACACAGCCCTTCGCTCCCCTGG